GGCAGGTCTGTGGCCCTGGCCAGCCTCTGGCATCCGTGGGGCAGGGCTGGGGGCCTGAAGCCGGCCCCCACCCCGCCCACCTTCTGCCTTGGAAGAGGGGACCCACCTGAGCTGGCCCTGGGCCAGCTCGACTCCCCGGTGTCTGGGAGGCCGGGCTCGCCCAGCACTGGCCGCTGGAGGAGCAGGAGGCAAGACCAGGTGGGCGCTGCCAGACGCCGCCTGCACTTCCCAGCCTGGTGGGCCAGGTGCCCGAGTCGGGGCGCCAATGCGCCTGGGAGCATGAGCTGCCGCCGCAGCCCCTCACACTGAAGTCACCGGGGCAGACGAAGACGGAGGTCACCCCAGAGCAGGCCGGCCTGACCCTTGGACGGAGCCAAAGCACCCCATTCCGGGAGCCAACAGAACAAGGAAGTCCTGTCGGAAAGGGCTGAGGTGGACGGCTCTGACCCGCCTCACCGGGCCCGCTGGCCAGGACCACCGCCCCGTCCCCCTCACAGCCCCGCCCCGCCCCCGCGGAGCTTGGACTTCAGCCTCCGCCTCTGCTCGCAAGTCTCTCCTGCTCCCGGCCAGCGTTGGGCTCCCTGGCGGGCTGCTCCCTCACCGAAGGTCCGCTGAGGGCCGCTGCCCAGGGCAACAGCCGAGCCTCCACCCGCCCAGCCCCCCACCCCCTCGCGCCCCTGGGGCCGCTCCCCTCCCCACGCCGCCTCCCGGGTGGGTCTGCCGTAGAGCACGCGGCACAGGTCAGCTCCCCCCTAGGAAGCGCCCTCTGGCCTCCCGTGACCCGGCGCAGCTCCCCGAGGCACACTGGCCCCTGGCTCACGGCCTCCTCGCCCGGCCGCTGCAGGCTCGGGGCCCCCGCCTGTGTGTGTACAGTCTGCATGTTCTCAACAGACCCCCCAAATCAAGTTCCAGATGAAGCCCATGGATGCAGTTACCGGAGAGGCTTTCCGCAGACACCAGAGCCGCGTGCGAGGGCTGCCCTCCCGGAGGACCCGGCGCCCCTTCCCGCCCAGCGCCCCCGCCACGGCCCGGAGAAGCCGCTGCCACCTGCCCTGAGGCGTGTCCCAGGGAGCCCGTGGGGAGACGCAGACGAGGGCCTCTGGGGACCCGAGTCACAGACGGAGCCGGGAAGGCCGCAGGGCGCACGGAAGCCGGTTCCAGCGGCGGAAGTGAACACGCGGGATTCAAGGAGTCGACAGGATTCTAAATGTTATTTGAAATGTTGCCGACAGCAGATTCTTGGATTTGAGTTCGATATTGCCGCCTGCACTTTAATCCCCGACCCTCCCCACACCACACGCAGCCGAGGGGGCGCGCGGCGCTCAGTGTGACTGCAGGCAGGAGCGGCCTGGGGTCTGAGAAGGACCATCCGGCCCCCTCAGGGACGACATCGGCGTGTGGGGACGTGACCCCGAGCGCAGGCCGCCCGTTACGCACGCTCACCGCGTGCTGACGAGGGAAGTTGGGGTCAGGAAAACCTGCAGTCTGAAGCCGTGCATCCGAGACCACCCCTGTGGGCCTGGACGCGCGGCCGGGCGGCGCTGCGGGCTCTCTCCTCGCGGCCAGGCTGGCGGCGGCGGCGCGGTTACCTGGGGCGGCCCAGGGCAGGCGCTCGCTGACGCCCAGGGTGGGGCCTGTCTTAGGCGCATGTGTTTATTTTGAAGGCATATGATTGTGTCACTTTCGTAGGATTTTGAATTTCATGCAAAGCACGTGCTCAGAACTTACACCTCAGCAGCGAATGTTCAACAGCTGCCCCCTGCGCCGCCTTAGCCTGCCGAGCAACGAGAGGCCTTGCATTGGAGCCCTCAGAAAGAAAACAAGCCAGGGTTTTAATCAACAACCCCCAGAGGGTATCAGAATCACACTAGAGCCCCCCAAACACCACACACCCTTTCTTTAAGTCAAGGGTGGTGACGGGTATTTACAGTAACGTTTCTCATTTTGTAGCTGAAAGTGCGGGCCTCCGTTTTCAGCCACATTTTCTCCCCCTGCCTACTGCCCTCCTGGGCGCCCCCTAAGAAGCCACCAACGTCTGGTAAATGTAACCGGGCGAAGGTGAGACATTTACCTTTTCTCCCCGCCTCATCCCTCCGGAACCCGGAACCCCAGCAAGCGCGTCTCCGTGGCAGGAAGATTCCTGCGGCAGAGGCGGCTTCTGACGCGGGCAGATTTCCGCAGCCGCTAGGATGGCTACCCCGGCTGCACTCACACACGTGACCCGTCAAGTTGTTGGAAACTAGACTTATTTTTGCCAACAGATTAACTGCACTACAATTACCCTCCACAGAAATAGGGGCACCTGTAGGAAGAAGAACTAAGTTTGCCCCTTTGCGGATCGAAGTTCCTACGACGGTGACCGGCTTTGAGTTCTCCCTCGGCGCCTGCCTCCGCGCTGCGCGCTGACTTCTGCTGTCACTGTCGCTGCGCCCTTGGTCACACGGGTCGTGGCTGCGCCACTGTGTGATGCACCAACCCTCAGCGCCCGGCCCCACCCTCCGTCCACGCCCCAGGGTGCAGGGTTGGGGCTGACGGCAGGCGGCTGTGCAAGGCCCACTTGTCACCCCACCCAAGCATCAGGCTCGAGACAGGGCAGGCTCTGCGTGGAATAGAGACGTGAGCGGGACGAACTCAGATCTTTGGCAGTGTTTCTGGATTCGTTGCTACAGTAATAAGCGCCCAAGAAAAGAAACGTTCCCGCCAGACACTTGCCGGGCCACGCTCGGCTCAGGGGGGCCCGTGCCTAAACTCCCTCTGCCGTGCTTGGGCGAACACCCCCGGCAGAGTCGGCGCAGAACCAGACAAACTCAGGCCTGCGCCGGGGCCTGGGCCTGCAGCCTCCTGGCTGCCTGCCCTCGGGCCCCTGCCGGCGGGCCTGCGCTCCAGCCGTCAGCGCTCTGGCCGTCATCGCGGGGCTGCTTGCCGCGGGAAGCCTCTCCTCTCCGTGGCTTGATGCCGCACGGGCAGCACCTGGGCAACGGCTGCCATGCCTGGAGGCTCACGAGGGCTGCGAGCCTCACGCGGGGCCTTTAAGAACCACAGAAGATCCTTGTCCTTAAAGGCGACGGCGGACATGCCCTTCCTGCCTGGCGCTTTTGCTCGGGGGCTGGTTCCAGCGGTTTCCAGGCCGGCTCCTCCATCCTCTGGGGCGGGCGGCCACCCCTTCCGCCCCTCACTGCCCTGCTGGGAGTGGGCGCCCTCACTGGCTCAAGCAGGGACGCGTGTGACACATGTGACACGCATGGCCGGCACTGTCTGCACGTAGACACAGAGTGTGCCCAGCCGCCGGCAGGCGGCGTGACCTCAGCTATTGCTCAGGATGAAAAGATGTATTTTAGGCTGAAATTGTCTATTGTTTTTCTCCTCGGCGTTACGGCGAGAGCTTCCATTCGTGGACTGAGAACGGGATCAGCTGAGCTGTTCCAAAAACCAGCCGTGTATCCCCCTCCTCCAAAGGGGTCGCCTCTCCAGCGGAAGCCTTCTAGGGCTCCCTCAATGCTGGGGCATCTTCCTCGGGGCCTTCAGTCCTGGGGGAGCAGCTGCCGCCACCACCTGCCGCCCCACTGTGGGCAGCGGCTACTTCTTGGCAAGTGCCCGATGGCCTGGGTCTACTGCGCCTGCCGGGCACTGACTCCCCCCAGGCTGGAGACGTGGCCCCACGCCCCCACTAAGAAGCGGGGTCCCGGAGCTTCCTGTTCCGCCTGGTCTTTAGCCGGGTACTGTGGAAACCGGGAGCCAGGGTGGAGGCCGTGGGGGCCGCGGCGGCGGGGGACTGAGCATGCCCCGTGTGAGGCGTGCGGCCTCACCCCAGCTGGGTGGGGACTCATTCGGGTAGCCGGGTGCTTTCCACACGTCCAGGAGTCTTGGTTATCAAAGAAGCAAGCCTATGTCTTGGGGCGGGTCCCGCCACTCATGGGACCCGCATGCCTGGAGCCGGCTTGGCCTCCTGCGGGCTCGGCCCTCCGTGCGGTGTGGGCAGGCGGCTCGCCAGCACCGGAGACGGGGAGGGCCTCGCTCCCAGAGCCAGAGTGCCGCGCGAGCCCCGGGCCACCGCTCCTCACCGCCCAGGGCGACCTCGGCCACCGTGCCGCCGGGCCCGCGCCGCCTCCGGGCGGACAACAGCGCCCTTGGCCTGGCGGACAGGCTCGCCTCAGCCCCGCGCAGCCAGCTCCAAGCCGCAGCCCCGGCTCGACTGGAAGGGCTCTTGTTAACCGGACGAGACGCCAACAGAAATAATCAATACTCTGCTCAAGATTTTTCTAAAAAATAAAACATTTTATTTCAAAGAGCAGACGAGAATCTCGCTGGGCGACGATCGGGCGAGCAGGCGGGCAGGACAGACAGAGCGCGGCCTAATAAATAACAAATGCCATTCAGGCTTCTGCAGGGCCCGCCACGTGGCAGCGACGATAAATAACCTGCCCGGTGCGTGGCGACAACATCGGGCCCGTGCGTGAGAGGGGAGACCCTGCCGGCCCCTCTGGTCTCCGGAGGAAGGTTCCCCGCCTGCAGGCGCCGGCAGTGTGGGGTTCAAGCTGGGCCGAGGCTCAGTGGGCTCTGGGGCTCCGGCCCTTACCAGGCCGGTGGCTTCTTCACTGTCCCCTCAGGCCAGTTTCCAGGGGGGCGCGACGTGCCGGGTCGCAGGTTCCCGCGGGCCTCCCACCTGGCTCAGTGGGCGCCATCAGAGCTGCCGCCAGCAGCATGTGCCCCGCTGGGCGTCCCGGCCGAGATCCCTGAGAGAGACGGAGGCCCCCCTGGGGCCACGCCGTCCCCACGGCCGGCACCCATCGTGGCGGCGCAGGCCTGCAGGAGCCTGTGCACAGGCCAGCGGTCCCGGACAGCCGGAGGCGGACGCCTGCTACCCCTTTCTTCTGCGCGGTTTAAGATGGAACCAGGAGTTCTCAAGCTGGCTTTTGTGTCTTTTCCAGGTGCATGTGCAAAACGCAAGGTAAGTCGTTCTTTTCAACACAGGATCCTTTATTTGAACTTTGCCTTGAGAGACAGTGGGTGAAGGACAGGCCCAGCCTCCTCCACGCACTCCGGGTGTCAGTGCTCCTTGAGCCTGAAAGGGGGGGAAGTGGCAGCGTCACAGGGCCGGCAGGGGGCAGCTGGCCAGCCACTGCTGCTCCCCTCCCTCGGCATTCCCGCAGCAGGGGAGTGGCCCTGGGGAGAGGGGAGCAGCCCTGCAGGGAGGGGAGCAGCCCTTAGGACGGAGCCAAGACACCAAGGGGCCGGGGGCGGCAGCCTGAGTTCTGGGCGCTGGGATCTGGGTGGAAAGCTGTGGCTTCTCGCACAAAGGAGGCCGATCCCTTCACACCTTTCCACCCAGATTTTACAGTGTGGTGGCCACAGGCCACAGGCCGCCATGAGCGGTGCTCTCAAGGAGAGAAGGGAGGGCGAGCAGAGGAGAAGGAAGGGTGAGCACGACAAAGGCGATGACAGGACGCGGGAAGCTTGCAGGAAGCTTCCTTTCCGCCGTGGGCCATGAACCCAGCAGGGGAGGCACAGGGAGGACTTACGGCGCTTGCTCTGCCAACACCGGCCCGGGGCAGCTCAGCTCCTTGTGGATGAGGCGGACCAGGAGCTGCACCCAGAACATAGACGCCCCGTTACCGTGGTCACCGCACAGGGACACCCTCCAGCCCTGCCCCGATGCCCTGGCTCCCGGCAGGGGGCGCCCCCGAGGGAGTTCAGAAAACACAGGACCCAGCTCCAGAGGTCAGGCCGTCAGGGCAGATGCCTGGCACAAGCCATGGTTCAAATGACGCGAGTCCACCGTAAAATGTCCATGTCAGACAGGGGGACCCACGAGGTGGCCCACACCCTGGGCCCCGGGCGCTGAGGTCTCTGTCGGGGGTAACAGTGACAATTCTGCTAAACTGAGCCCCGAAACCTCCAGCTCCAGGCAGAACAGAGGCCTGCTGAGCCTTGGACAGACGCCCCCCGTCAGCGGGTGAGGCGCAGCCGCAGAGGCCCAGGGTAGGGGTAAAGGATGTCAGGCTTTTCCGCTGTCAGGACTGATGATGGATCCCTGCGGTCCTGAACGCACGCCTGAGGGCGGCAGCTGGTGTGGGGTGGGGGCCTGCGTAAGTGGGTGCGCCTGGGCTGAGATGGGCTTGTAAGGGCGGCGTCTCGGGAGAACGGGGCCACTAGAAGGAGAGCAAGCGAGAGAACGCGACCACGAGAGCACGCGGGAGAGCCCAGAAGAGTGACAACCTGCCCGGGGCTGGGAAGGCCTGCCAGCCTCCCGATGCCCCGGGCCCCCTGCCGGCAGTGTACCTCGTAAACTCAATAAACCCTGAAAAAGCCCCGAGGGCTCCAGGACTCACTCTCCTTCACCCGTCTTGCTCGGGGCCATCCTGCCGCTGCACCCGGGGTATAAAGAGTGGGGGGGACAGCACGGGGGCACGGGCGGTGACGGGCGCGGCGGAGGCGTGCAGCTGTGAAGCACCCCGAAGGCGAGGATGGAGCTCTGGGGCCTGCGCACGGCTCGCCCAGGAGGAGCCCGCGGCGGGGACACGGGCGGCGCGGCGAAGCCCACACGGGGAGAGGCTGCAGCGGTGCTGAGCAGGCACCGAGGGGGTCCGCTGAGATCATGATTTGGAAATGAAATGGGTCTTTCTGGGGAAGATGCCGCAAAGGCCGCTGGCCAGGCGCAGGCACGGCGGGAAGCCGGGGAAGGCGGGTGCAGGGTGAGTGAAAAGGATACCAGGCTCCTCTGCCCTCCCGCCATGAGGATGGGTGACGGATCCCTGCGGCCCTGAACGCAGGCCTGACGGCGGCACCTGCAGTGGGGTGTGGGCACGTGGAGATGGGATTCACCTGGGCTGAGACTGGGCTTAGGAGAGCAGAGACGCAGAGAGAACGAGCGCGCGAGAACCATGAGGAGCCGAGAAGCAGGGAGAACGCGCCAGAAGGCCGGAGAGCCCTACACAGGGAAGACTCGCTGGGGGCTGGGAGCCTGCCCGCCTCCCGGCACCCCAGCACCCCTGCCTGCCGCGTGCCTGGTAAATCCCAATAAAGGCCTGAAAAGCCACCGAGGGCTCCAGGACTGTCTTCTCCTTTACCCCGTCTGCTCGGGTCATAGAAAACCTGCCCTGTGCCCACTTCTGCCGCTACGGCAGGGAAGGCGGGAAGGCGGGAAGGCTGTGTGCTTTGCTCTCTGAAAAGACCCGGCCCCGCCCAGCCTGCCAGCGCCCTCTCCTGCCGTCTCCCCCCACAAGGCTGCTGCCCAGGCCCCTTGGGCTCTCGGCTATGCTCCTCGGTGCCCAGCCTCTCCCTCTGGAGCGCCTACTGGGCGGCGGCCTGGACCAGCTCCCCTCCAGCTCCTGTCTCCAGTCTCCCCACGGCTTCCTCCCTGGGCTCCACTGTCCCTCCGTCTCCATCTGACCAGCGCTGTCTGTCTGAAAGGATCTGGCTCCGTTCTCAAAATCTCAGTTCCCCCTCCGACCCCCCGGCCATGTTAAAGCACCTGGCTTCCCACAGTGCCCGCCCTCGCCTTCACCTGCGCGTGGGGCGCCCTCCTGCCGCGGGCCCCTCCCTCCCCAGCGGGCCGTCCCTGCCACCCCCGCCTGGACACTCAGGCCTGCGCAGCTGGCGTGTAGCTGACGGCACGTCGCGGACACGCATGGCGTCTATTCACATCTGCGGTGACGGAAGTTTCACTGCTAATTAGGGAAAACGAGCTGAGGATTTCAGGGGGGCCCTCGGCCATGAACAGACCCAGCCATCTGAGGAAGCGCCGGGCAGCCTCCAGCTCGTGAGTGGAGGCTGGCGTGGCTCTGGGGGCCCGGGCGCTGTATTTAGGGCTGAGAACCCACCACCTCACTTCATCAACGAAGCTGGTACCCCCAAATCCTTGACACGCTGTCTTGGGGTCCCCTGAGCCCTTTCTGGGGATGAGGTGTGCGGGTGTGTGCGCAGAGCAGGCTGGGCCTCATGACCATGTCTCAGCGAGGAAGAAAGGAAACAGACCACTTCCATTCTTGGGGGCAGGGCGACCCCAGAACCACCAAGGCCACCGCCTGCCTGGGCGTCCGGGAGCAGCGTCTCCTCCACCCAAACAGCCCGGCGCGGGCGCCACTCGGGTGCTCTCTGGGAGCATCGGTGATGCGGAAGGGCCAGGTCACCTGCCGCGAGGGCACATACCTGGCAGTGGCGGCTGGACCCACACACCTGTTCCTGGCATGGCGGCTGGGCCCAGAGAAGCCCTGTGAAAGCTTGGGGAGCAGGCTGGTCGCCCTGGCTCTGACCCTTGCTCAGCCCAGGTTAAGGGCTTGGACACGCACACAGCCCCTGACCTGCCCAGACTCTGCGGGTGCCCACAGGGAGGGCACCACCGGCGTCGGGCTGCAAACCACAGGCGCGGTGAGAGAGGCTGTGGGAACGGCGGGGCCTTACCAGCAAGGCACAGGCGTCCGCAAACATCAGCATGTAGAACACGTTGTTCCACCCGGACGGGGAGATGAGCCCGGCCAGCAGCGGGCCCAGGGCTGCTCCTGAAACAGGAGAGCAGACACGGCGTCACGTGGAGGAAGGCTCTGGAGCAGGACAACCTCCACACTCAGGCCCATGGAACAGGATGGTGCCCAGCGCCTCCCAGTGAAAGGCCCTCCTTCGCAGCTATGGGACGGCGGGGGCACACGGGGCAGGAGCGGGCTCACCGGACAAGGCCTGGGGGATGGAAGGTTCAGTCTCGCCGCCCCTAGGCCTGCCTCAGCCAAGGGCTCCTGGCCTCCCCAGCACGTGTCTCTGCTGTGCGGAGCCCTGGGCGTGGCTGCGTGAGGCCTGTAGTGAGAGCCTGCCGCCCGCACACCCATCCTGGCTCCAAGGGGTGCCCCAAAAGGGATGGTCTCACTTTAAACAGAGGGGTGACTGCCCAGCAAATTGTCGCCCCTGGATCCAACAGAATGAAGGACCTGACCACCAGGCCCGGGCCCTGGCGCGTTCACCGGCCCTCTGGGAAGTGCCTGCCTGTGCTGCTGGAGCACACCCCGGCCCCTGACCCCTGCACACACCCCCATCCCCAGGCCTGCCTCCCGCCCCTCCCCTCTGTCCCAAGCGGGGCCTGGATGGCAGAGGACACACCAGGCTGCTTGCCAGATCCTCTGGGGTGTGGGTCCACACCAGCCAAGTGCCAGGCCTCGGCTTCTCGTGTCTGGGAGGGCACAAAGCTGGGTAGGTGGGCCTGAGCGGGAGGCCGCGGGGTGTCCTCGGGGGTGCGGTGGCGCCACCAGGAAAGGACAAGGATGTCACAGCCACCTCCCTTGCCGGTGGCACAGGCCTGGGGTCCCAGCAACCACCTGCTCGTTCCCGAGGGGCCTAGGGGCTCCGTTGTCCCCTCACCCTCAGGGACATGGCGCTGAATCCTCTCCAATGCCCTCGAGGCTGCTGATGCGGAATCTGGCCTGCCCGCGGCCTGCTACTCCTCCGTCATCACATTTACGATTCCGCCCCTCTTGGGACGACAGCAGTAAGCAGCCGAGGGCAGCGGTGGCAGGGTTGCTGACGGCGGCCCAGAGGAACTGGGCGGGGGGTGCTCCTTCCCACCAAGGAAAACTGGTTCCCACCAGGCCCTCCAGACCTCTGGGCCTTAGTGGCGGGCCCTGCCCACACCGGTCCCGGTTGGCCTTGCTTCCACTCTGCTCACACTTCAGAGCTCACCGGCCCCTGCTCTGCAGGATGTGGAGCGTGGCCGCCCTCTGACCATTGCCAAGCGCGCGGGGCTGCCGGTGCCACCTACCTACAGAGCCGGTCCCATCGATGATGGCGGTGACAGTGGCGAGGGCCCGCGAGTTCCCCTTCAGGCTCTTGTGGGTCCCCTTGGAGGAGAGGAGAGCATGAGCGAAGCGGTCTCCCGGCTCAGAGGACACACGGCCACGTGCCCAGACGTCGCCCGAGAGTCAGCATGGGGGTTTCCATTAGGAAATCCAATCTGTCCTTGGAAAGGCGCCGTGTGGCGTCTTCCATCCTCAGACACGCCAGGAGCACCTTCCACGTGTGCTCCCCTCAGCATAGCCCCTGGGTCCAGCCGCACTGCCGCAGTGGGTGGGCACGCCCTTCCCCTACCCCTCCCCTGCCCCGCTGCCAGCCGTTCTGCCCGGCCCTCCTGTGACACCTGTGGCCACAAGTCACCCCACCGGACAGTGGGCGCTGCGGAGGGCGGGGAGGGCTGGACTGGGGCCGGGGTGCATCCTGTGGGCAGCCCCAGGAGTGCTGGCTCCCCAAAGCCACGTGCACACACAAACTGAGGACATGAGAAGGGCAAAAATCAGGGCAAAACATGCTAGAAGCCCAAACTATCAAAATAAACCAAAGCTGGTAGAAAAAAGGCGTGCGCGTGTGTGTGCACACACATATATAATACAGAACACACGTGGGTGAAGGGGTGCTCAGGTTCCCCAGAATTTAGAAAGGAAATGAAAGCTTCTCTCCTGTCCTCTGATCTTACTGGTACGGGTCTGGTGGGGACCCTTCCAGAATCTTCTCTGCTCAGACAGGAGCAAGGACAGGCCGTTAGGGAGGGCTGGCTATCTGGTAGAGGAGAGAGGCGCCCCAGGGGAACAGGCCCCCGGCCCTGGGGGGTTGGTGACGGGCAGACTCCTCCCCCAAGGCCACCAGAGAGGACTGCAGGGACGGGTGTGGGGCTGTGGACAGCGATGGTTTCTAGATGGGAGGGCCTGCTGCTGGCTGGCGGCTCTGGGTCGGGTTCTAGAAGGGCCAGGGGAGACACAGAGGAGCTCTGGGGCCACAGGAGCAGGGGAGGGCTGGCCTCCTCTGCGGAGGCCAGGAGGGCTGAGGGGGCAGCAGAGGGAGGAGTGCCTCCTTGCTCAGCCCCTGGGGGAAGGGCGGCCTCTGCCTACCGCCACCGTCGACCGCGCTCCCGACAGGCCACCTGCCACCAGGACGTGGTGGCCCCGCCAGCACTCACCAGGTCTGTGGAGACGGCGGTGGTGATCAGGGCGTAGGGCCCGCTGACCAGGGCCCCGCTGAGCAGTAGCATGGCTGTGGGGACCAGAGACCGGAAGGGGGTGAGCGAGAGACCAGAGCTCCCCGGAGAGCACCCTGGCCCCAGCGATCAGTAGGCAGCACCCTGGATCCTGGCCCAAGCTGAGCGCGCCTTGAAAGCCCAGGCACATCTTCCCAGCACGCAGGCTGTGAGGGGCCTGGGGCCGTTCCCTGCACCCACGCGGCCGTGGCGGCCATGCCCGGGGAGCAAGCAGCCACATGCTGAGTAGCCCAGCCCGGTCTCTGTGCCCCGCACCCATGCCTCGCCTGCAGTGGAGGATGCCCCGGCACTCCCGAGGGGACCCATGCCAGGGCTGCTGGGCCCGTTTCTGGGACACTGTCCCGCTCCCAAGTGGCCAGCTAGGCTCTTCCTGGCACCAGCAGCCTGCCCTCTGGCCAGCTTTCATGGGGTTACGGCTGTCCAGTCTCCGGCTGTGACTTGTTCTGACAGAAGGTCATTTACTCGGTGTCAGAGTCAGAATCTGAGCTGGCTGCTGCGGGGTGTCGGCACGGACCCCCACATGCGGTGCAGGACCGGGGCCGAGGGAGCTGCCCTGCCCTGCTCTGGCTGCTGATCCTGCCTGAGAACTCCCAGGTGCCAGTGGCACCCCAGGCTATTGCTGCCACATGGGTGGCTGGCCGCCACACCTGCCCTCAAAGGCAAATGATCCGCCCCACAGCCCCCCAAAACCAGCCGGGACTGTTCTAGGCCGTGTGCACCAGGCCATGGCCATGGGCAAGGAGGGCACAGCACTCACCGATGGTGGCCTCCAGCCCCGCCTGGCTGATGGTGGAGAACGCGTAGAGCTGTGGGAACAGCGGTTACTGCACAGCCTCCGTGGGGGGGCGGGGCGCGCTGTGGAGCGGTGGGGGAGGGGCCCAGGGGCCTGGGGGCTTAGGGCTCACCTTGGGGAGTGATGGGGGTGGGCTAGAGGCAGTGGGGCAGCGCTCACTGTGGGGGCAGGGTGAGGCACGGAGGGTGGGGTGGGGTGGGAGGTGTGAGCAGGGGGTTGTAGGGGCTGGGGAGCCCAGAGGGCGGCAGGGCTCACCGTGGGGGCAGCCAGCAGCAGCATCAGGCCGCAGGTGGAGGCTCTTTTCTCCAGTCGGTCTGAGATCACACCTGCCAGGATCCCACCTGCAATGCGGGGGGCAGCTGCTGTTGGGGGAGGCAGCCAAGGGACCATCCGGTGACCCTCCAACTGGACCTGGGCTAAGGAGGCTCCTCCTGGAACGTGCCCTTCCAGAACCGGCCCCGAGCACAGGCCCTGAGAGGAGGCCAGGGTGTGTGGGTCTGGACGGCACGCCCCGATGCAGCTGAGGCCACTCACGCCTGCGCCGGTGGGGAGGGATGTGGAGCCTCGCGAGAAACCCTCGCTGGTTAGAACTCACTCCCGATGGGACCGGCAGCCTGGACCTGTGGCCCCCCACCATGGGAATGGCCGGCTATGGCCACGGTGGGAGGCTCTTAGGCTGCCCCCCGGAGAGGTGGCACGGCAGGAGGGGGGAAGCAGCTGGACAGTCCCCTCTCCAGGCCCTTTCTCTGTCATCAGAAGCCACCGGATGGGGCCTGACCTCCACACAGGTCTCGGGTTGCTGTCACAATGAGGGGCCCTGCTAGTTCTGAGTCCCGTCTTAGGCCGGCCCCGAGCCCCCTGACCTGTTAGGGTACAGGCACTGCCAGGCTGTCGGCCCCTGGAAGGGGGGCTCTTGTCCAAAGGAGAGCCAGGAGGGGCCGCCCCAGCATGTTGGCCATCACTCCCAGGGAGAGACCCCTCGGAGAAGCAATCTGGGGAGCACGGTCTCTCTCAGGGTGGGGGCCACGAGTGCCTCTGCCACCGTGAGGAAGAGCAAGTGGCAGGAACTCACCGAAGATCCCGCCCACGTCGAATAAGGTGGAGAGCTCCCCAGCCCTCTGTGCGTCCAGGTGATCTGTTGGAACGACAGGGCCGCCGCCGCCGGGCGGTTGTGAGACCAGCACCCGAGCCTCACCCCGTAAGCACCACATGTCCCGGGCAGCAGTCACTGATGGGCTCAGGTGAAAGAGAAAGAGCAGCCCGCGGCGGGGGTAGACCCGCAGGAGAGCGGAACGCGAGCCCCAGAGGCGGCCCCCACCCGCCTGTGGAGCAGTGCCCTGCCCTGCAGTGGCACAGGGCACGGGACAGATGTGGCCCGGGCAGGGCAGCCCGGGAGAGGCTCGCCGGCACAGAGGGGAGGTCTGGTGGTGTGCCCACGCCCAGCTCGCCCCGCGCCCGGTAGCCGAGCAGAGACGGGGGCTCCTTCCCTCAGACGGGTGACGCTGGCTGCTGTGCCAGGAGCTGAAATGTCCCCCCTTTTGCAGCCACAGGGGCAGGGTGGGAGGGGTCAGCAGCTGCGACCGGGGGCCCACCCGAACGGGCCGCGTGCTGCCTGCCGTAACCCATGGGGAGAAGCGCAGGGCCCAGGCGCACCTCCTGCTCCCCGGCCTCTCCCGCAGGCCCCGTCTCTCCCGCAGACCTCTACCGTCTAGTCGGCCTCAGCCCAAGGCCACCCCCCTCATCCTTGTGACACTGCTGGGAGCGCCACCCTACAGCTCTGCTCCCAGGTTCACCAGTGCCCGCACCTCCCACGGGCCCCGATTTCTTCCTTCTTGCAACCCCCGACTCTGGGTCCAGGGGCTCGGGACCCTCCTGACCACACCCCTTACTAAGCAGCCCCCATCCACCTCCCTCACCCTGGCCACCCCCAGGCTGACACCCCTCGGTGTCCTTCCGGCCGTTCCTGCTCGGGTCCCGGCCCTCCCATCAGGCTTGGGCCATTGCTGGACTTTGGAAACGTGAGCCAACTGTCAGCTCTCCCTAGAGTTGTCTCCAACAAGCAGTCTCCAGGTCAGGTGGCGAAGCATTTACCTGCTGGCCCAGGCGCCACTCCTGCTCCAGCTGCCCTGACCCCAGCGGGAGGGAGCTAACCCTAAATGCAGCTGCCCCAGGACAGCAAGGACTGTGGAGCCGGGGCCCGGGGCACGCGCGCCCAGCCTCCCAGGCCCATCAGGCCACTACCATGGCAGCGGACGCACATCTGTCTGTGTGTTTCCACGGATCCTGTGCTTGATTCAGGTCTCAGATGCTCGGGCATCCCGCGGGCCTTTCCTCCCCCAGCCCAGGCCCCCTGCGCCTCCCGGGCACTCACCCACGCTCGTGATGTACAGCGGGAGCCAGAAGAGGAACGTGTAGCTGACCAGCTTGGCGAAGAGCAGACACAGTGAGAACTCGATCACCCCCTGAAAGAGAGCCGCGGGGTGCACACTCAGCAGGCTCCCCTAAGTGTGAGAGCGCGCCCGAGTTTCTTTCTCACCCCGTAAGAGGCGCCCTGGTCCGGCTCTGGCACCGGGAGGCGCCGGGTAAGGCCTCTGTCCAGGCGGCTGAGCGTGCGGTTGTGGGGAGGGGACCTGGGCGCCCTGCCCCTGGTGGAGCCCCAGCCGTGCGGGTCAGCCCCCACTCCGACGCCAGGTCACCTATGGCAAGCAGACGGCAGTTCCAGAACACTCGGGAGATTCGCGTGGGAAATCGGGTAACCCTATGGGAGTGATTCCCCTCCCCGGGCTCCAGGGGGCAGGAAGGCCACAGAGACCAGGCCAGGGGCACGACCCGCCATGACGCAGGGACTGAAGGGACGGCCGCTGCCAGTGGGAGGAGATGGGGCTCCGAGCAGGAGCTGGCTGGGGCAGCTAGCTCGTCGGGACAGGCCGGGCCACGCCAGGACAGGGCTCTGAAGCCTGTCCTCTCCACTTTTGTTTCCAGAACTAGCGTCACCTACTTTGAGCCAAAGGATTTGCGGCAGCTACAAAATGAAGTATAGCAGAAAGGTCGCCCGTTGTTATTAATAACGTCTTTAAAAATAGCTTTTTATTTAAAACCTGTGTGCCCTGCAGGCCAGCCCAGAGAGCTTCTGGAGGCCGAAAGTCCAGGAGAGGCCCCGCTGCTCTCTCAGGGCCACGGCTCCCGCGTCACCCGCACCGACAGCACTTGTGCCTGGAGTGGAGTGTCCCCTTAGGGCTATTTCTTTGGTGGTCCAGAGGTTGCAGGAGGCCCTTGGCGTTCCAGCCCCTTCCCCCACCCCAGGGCAGGCTGTGAGAAGCCGCTCTTCGGCCAGCGGTGAGCTCTGTGGCGAGTCTCAGTGTGGTCTCCAGGCCACGCTCACACACATGGGCACTGGGTGCTCCCTGCCCCCTGCCTTCGATAGCACCCAATTCTCTGCTGAGGAGCCCAAGAATTTAATAAAAGAAAATTCTAGCAACCAGAGCGTTCACCATCACATACCTCCACTGTCCGTGTCCAAGCCCCTGCGCTGAGCCCCCACACCCCTGTCACTCACAGGTGAGTGGCCAAGAGGCCTGGAGCTACCTCGTGGGAGCAGCACAGGACTTTTCAGCAGAGAACAGGCCCAGCTTCTGTGGCCCAGCTGTTCCCAGGCCCCAGGCGCTGCTGCTTGTCCTGTCCCTTGGCCTCTGCACAACCTTCACCCCATCCCTGTTGGCATGCAGGAGTCAGTCGGACCAGAGTGTGCCTCTAGAAGCCCCTGGCAGGAGCCGGGCCCTGCGAGCCACACAGAAGGTAGAGTGGGGCCTCCTAGGGCCCACTCGGGGTGTCGGGGCCTGCAGGGAGGCCAGGCCGGGGTGCCCGGGGTGGGCTGGAGTCAGATGCTTGGATTTGTCAAGTGCAGACGGGAAGGCCTATCTGTCTGTGAGGTTTCTGAGGAGCTAAATGGAGTCAACTAATTTCAAAGACTCTTAACCGCAATGTGAGGCACGGAACACCTGTTCTGTCCTGAGACCACCGTCCTGTAACTTCCGGCCGCTGCTAGGGCCTCCTGCTGTGGATGCCGTGACCGTGGGCTTCACTTTCAGCTTGCTTAATCTACACGCTGTTTCTGTCTAATCAGCACCCCCATCTGAAGCTCGCTCCTCCCTGGCACTTGTACTCACAGGAATCTTCAGGGCCCCGATGAAGCTGATGGCAGCCATGCCACCCCCACTGTCGGCCGGGAGGATGACCACGTGGTTCTGATGGGCCGGGCGCTTCCCGTCAGGCGGCAGCAGGCACTGTGTCTCTGTGTCCTGGAACCACGCACACAGGGAAAAGAGAATAGGCATCGGCATGTCTGTCCGGGAGGTGAGGCCCAGGCCTCGCCACGGAGCTGTTTCCCTGTCCTGTGCTGGCACCACAGCCTTGCAGTGGTCAGCGTCCCGTGCTGTGAGGAAATCCCAGCTGGACACGCAGGCCCAGGACTCCAGAGGTGAAGGATAAACTGGAGAGAGAATAACTACTTCAAATATAGAAAAGTGGGTTTCACACCGTGGGGGAGAATCGGCCCAGGGCATCCGCGTGGGTGACAGGTCCTGCGTTAACAAGCACGTGGAACGGCAGCGACAGGCAACGAGCCAGTCCCATTAGACAATCGAGCAGTCAAGGCTGCATGACCACGGTGAGTGCAGAGAACGGTAACTCCGTACCTGCAGGTCTGCCTGGGCGAGGTTCCAAGGCGACGGCAGCTGTCACCGTGCGCTGGGGGCATGCGTGGGTCTATGGAAATGTCAGTGACCTCCCTCCGCGAGCCTGTACTTTCTACGCTCACCACTGACATGCCTTAGAATCAACAATGTTATTTAAAAATTCATACACTGACGGCAATATTTTACGGATCCGACATTCTGGCACTGCTGGAGGGCAGCGTGTGCGCGTCGGAGGTCCGAGTCAGGGCCAGGGTGTCCCACAAATGCCCTTCCCCAGTGGATTTCCAGGACTTGAAAAGAAATGTGCCAGTGTATCTCGGAATTCCCATGAAACCAGGCAGGTTCTGCTGTTTCTCTTACTATGACCAATGCAAGTTGGATTCAAAATGCAGGTGAATAAAAACGCGACCATGCGCCCTGGTGCTGCAGTTCTCGTCGGTGAAGAACAGGCATCTGAGAAAGGCATCTGGCAGCAGGGCCCTGGGATCGGAAGCCCAGTCCCCGGCCCAGCACCGGTGCACCCGCAGCCCACCAGATGAGAGTCTGGAGCAGACTCTGCCCTGGGGAGTCAAGGGGCTGTGGGGCCGGGGAGGCTGAATCGGCGCTTCCCACCACCCCCAGCTGCAGACCCTCTCAGGAGCCGTGGGACCCGGAGACCCAGGCTGTGCCTGAACAGTGCAGCAGGCTCTCAGGGCCGTGCCATGTGTCATCTGGACTGGAAGAGCACAGGGGTTTAAAACCTGCCAAAGGCCGCTGGGAGGACACCGGCAGAGGGAGGGGTGAGGCCCGGCCTCGCAGGAGCGGGCGCCCTCTGCCGGGAAGAGGCGGAGCTGGGGGGGCGGGGCGGCCGCGGAAGGACCCTTCCTGCGAGGAGGGGAAGAGTGACTCTGCAGACAGCACCCATGGGGGTGGCACATGGAGGCGGTGCCTGCAAGAGTGGGGGTAAGTGAGGGAGCTTGCTGCCCCCTCACAGCAACCACCATGAGGGTGATGGGAAGCGCCAGCTCTGGGGGCAGGGCTGTCACCCCCCCGCCGAGAAACAGGGAGTGTGTGCACCCTGACCCCTCTGCTCCAACACCCTCAACCCGCGCCTCCCACTTCCCTCGACGCCACTGCACTGGGGGACGGCTGCTCGGAGATGCGAGATTCCCACTGGTGAGCAGGGCTCATGGCCGGCAGCCCAGGCCCCACTCGGAGTCACCAGTGTGTGCAGGCCTCAGCCACCAGGACACCCCCCCGGGAAGCAGAGCGGACCGGGACAAGCTCAAGGCCGACAGACCATCCCCCCCACCCTCCAGGATGGGGGGCTGGGCCTGGCTCTGCACCCACTCTTGCTTCGGGGCCCGGCTCCACCGCTCCCCAGAGAGGCCGGTTTCCGGCCTGGCCCGCGAGAGCAATGGTGGTGGTGGTCGGGCCCGGGCCGTGCGGGGCTCCCAGTTCCTGGGGTCTGAGCTGGGTGGCTCCCAAGGGGACCCCGGCTGTCCTGACAAACTTGTAGGACATCCACCGGCGCCCCAGAGCCGCGCCCTCCGCTGCTGTGGAAGGGCCAGGCCGAGCCTGGCGCGTGCTCAGGGCGCAGTGCAGGAGCCGAGGGGACACGGGGCTGCCCAGCACTGCAGCCAGGCCTGCCCGAGGCCTGCAGGCCGGGGGGGCGGGGGCAGGCTGCCCGCTGCTCTGTACCAAGTGGACTTTCCGGCCTGGAAGTTCATGTCTGTGGCGTGAGTGAAGGCATTTTTGTTAGCGAAGATGAAGACAATTTTTTTTCAACGTAAACTCAGACGTGAGTGGAGAGCAATCACTGCTGCACTCCCCCTGCGCACTTTTCTGTCTTCCATAATTCCAACCAACACAAATAAATTTCCTTAGGCAATAGAGAAAGGCAAGAAGTCTGTTCAGCAGCTTCATCTCTGAGCTCTTGGATTTGAAAGGGAAGATCGTAGGTAACAATTTCAATGACTAACCCCAAGCTAAGAGCCCTGTGGCCTGGGGGGTCACTTGTGTGGGGACCAGGCAGGTAGTGCAGCACCTCTGTGCCTCAGCTTCCTCCTCTGTATGAGGAAGGGAGTGGGAGGCCAGGGCGCTGGGCCTCAGGCCCCAGCCCACCCCGTGTTCCCTCCTCTCCCGGGAGCCCTGACTGCGTGTGTGCCGCCCGGCGGCCTTCAGGGCAGCGTCAGCTTGGCTGCTGTCTCACCTGCCTCCCCTACCTACCGGCCCCCGGGTCCCCCCGCAGGTGTCACAGCGAGGAAGCTGAACGGGCAAGCGGGTTGCGAGCACAGGTGCAGCCGGCAGGCCCTGCGCTGCTCACTCACCAGGACCTTGCTCTTCTCCCCCGGGGCCAGCTGCTTCTGGAGCCGGAACCGGTGCGTGCCGTTCTCGAAGGCTTTAGCCTGCTGGGAGAAAGCCCCTCCGTCAGGGGCACCCGAGCCCGCAGCAGAGGCCCCTCCCCACTCCACTGCAGCTGGGGCAGCGCGTGAACGCAGTTTGGGAACAGTCCGTGCTGAGGGGCGGGCGCCGTGAAGGGACTGCCCTCCCCTTGAGTGGCCAATGTTTTCAAGACTTCGAAAGAGCCCTTGAGAACTAGTGCAGGCCAACGCTCTTGAACACGGAAGAAACAGGCCCTTCCTCGTCAGTCACAGCCTCCCGGATGGACGGCCTGGCTGAGGACAGGAAGGGCCTGTGCCCTGAGCGACGGCGACCCTGCCCCCACGTCCAAAGGGAGGCTCCCTGAATATAACTCATGTCACCAAAGCAGCTTTCTTTACTCCTCTAATGGCAAAAGTTCATTTGTCTAAGAAATAACATGAGCAAATTCCCTTTAAAATAAGGCCTCCTTCTAGCCTCAGGCGGGCGGTCAAGCACTCACACTAGTGTCGGTCACAACAGACCCCTGAAGGCAGGGAAGCCGGGAGACCTAGCTCTGGATCAGTTTAGGGGAGACCCCAGCAGCATGTGGTGCTGCCAGAGCTATGGGAGGCTATAGGGGGGCTGTGGGGTGGGGGAAGAGGGGCTATAGGGGGGCCTGCAGGGAGACCTACCGGGCCTACAGGGTATCTGAAGGGGCCTACAGGGCTATGGGGTATCTGCAGGGGCCCACGGGGCTACGGGGTATCTGCAGGGGCCTACGGGGCTACAGGGGGGCCTGCAGGGAGGTCTACGGGGTTATGGGGTTATCTGCAGGGGCCTATGGGGTATCTGCAGGGGCCTGCGGGGCTATAGGAGGGCCTGCAAGGAGACCTACAGGGCTACGGGGTATCTGCAGGGAGACCTACTGGGCTACGGGGTATCTGCAGGGGCCTGCGGGGGCTACAGCGCATTCATGGCGCTCCTTTCAGAGTGACGAGGGGTGTGTTTACAGGGAACAGCGCTCACTTGAAAAGGTACCTGGAAGTCAAAGGAAAACACGCTGACCACATCGTAGGAAATACGACAATAAATCTTTCAAAGAGGTGTGCGCTCAGAGGAGCCTGCCTCCTAGGGCTCAGGGGTGGCTTGTGGCAGGCCAGGGGGCCTGGGCTAGGCCCTGGCCGGCGCATCTGCCGCACGGTCCCGGCAGGAGGCAGAGCTGCCGTCTGGTGGAGCCGGGGAGCTGGCTGTTGGCCGGGGGCCCGCGCAGGCGCAGTCTATTTCAAGAGCCCTCTGCTGCTGGCTGCGGTCAGCTAAGAAGTCAAGGGAAGAACTTCTAGAAAGTACCCCGAAAGGGAAGGGGCTGCTCTCCTTTTCCTCCTCCTCACCCCTGCTGGCTGAGATGCGGCCAACGGCTGCTCTCCAGCAGCCACCAAGACCTCCCCCCACCCCCCACGACATGGAGGCCGGGTGCCGGCCCCCGGACCCCTGGGATAGACCTCCCTGGGCCCCGAGGCATGCCTAGACATGGAGCCCCAGACAGGAGGCGCGGGGTCCCCAACACTGGCATGTGCGCCCCAGCCCTGGCTGGTGGCACCGCATTTACTGAAGGTAAGACAGACAGACGTGTCCATCTCACCGCCGCCGCCGCTGCGGGCTGCACCAACGTGCAGATGGAGAAACTAAATCAGCCAAACTCTGAACCTGCGGCTTTGGACCCAACAGAAGCCACAGAGGAGAGACCCTAAGTCTAAGTCGAGACCCGAAGCCAAGCACGGATCAGAACCCGGCGGCTGCGCGGCGGCTGAGGCAGCGGGCGACACTTTCGTCAGCGTCCTCAGGCCCGAGGCGAGCACAAGGCATCGGCCGATGCGTGTTTCTTGCTCGTTTGAAATAAAACCAGCTGAAGAATCAAGTCTGCACACGACCAGGTAGTCACAGGAGATGCGGGGACAGAGGCACGCGTTCCCCGCCCCGGGGATGAGGCCAGCAAAGCCCCAAGTGGAAACTCGGGGGGGACAGGAGATCTGTTTTCTCCCCCACAGTGAGTCAAAGAAGAAAACGACACCACACGCCCGCACACGCGCACACACGGGACCTCAGGAGAGTGGCGTGAGAGCACGCAGAGGGACGTGTCAGAATCGAGGTGACCCGTTACCACCGCGCTACAGACAGGCCGGCCTGGGGACAGAGGGGACACCTGGGGACGCACGCAGTCTGGACGACAGGGAGCGGAGAGCGGGTGGGTCCTTACCGCCACCAGGGAGGAGGAACAGGCGATGTCCTTGGGATCTGAAACAGCAAACACAGGCGGCTTGTGAGCGGCGACCCCCCAACACGGGCGAGGTCCTGGGACGCGCACCGGCCGCCGCGCCTACCGAGCGAGCGGCAGCTTCAGCACAGAGAGGCGGCCCGGGCCCACGGCGCCTGCCCAGAGCTCAAGGGGGACGTCGTCCTCCGCCACCGGCGCGCAGCACAGGCGTGAAGGATGCGGAGCGTGGGGCGCGCCACGCGAGACTGAGCCAGGAGCTGCGGCGACAGCCCCCGAGGCCGCCACGGTGGGTGTGAGGAGAAAGGCTACCGGGGTGCGGGCAGCGAACGCCAGGACACCACCGCTGGGCGCTTTCTGTTGTGGAGTCAGGAATGCCAACCAGTGGGGACCAAACGTATCTTCATGTAGAACAAAATCCTTCTTTCCACACGTGAGGAAGGAAGGTCGCGCGGAGCCTGCAGCTAGAGCCGGCCCCTCTGCCCGGTCTCCTCTCTGAGGCCCGGGCCCGCCTGGGCTGTGCGCCCCGGCAGACGTGGAGCTGGAGGGGCATGGAGGCACTTTCGGGGCCAGGCAGGGGTGGGGTCGCTCGGTCCTGAGAGCCCTCCTGGGACGTGCGCCCCATTTACACCAGCAGCTCTCCCACGGGGTGTCCTCAGGCACACCCACAGCCCAGGGGCCAGTCAGGGGTCTCCGCTCCTTACAGGGGGTCTCCTGGCTCAACCGTGGGGGCTTTCTCCCCGAGGAACCAGGTGGAGGGAGAGTGTCCCCAGCTCGCCGCAGCACTGGGAGGCATGCCTGGGCACGGGCCCCTGAAATAAGAGGGAGGCAGCGAGGGAGGAGGTGGGAGGTGATGGGGTGTTGGGACAAATGGGAGGCAGCTCTAGGGAGCCCCCATGCAGATCCTCTTACCAAGGTCTCCCCCCAAACCCGGAAGGCCCAGGAATGTGACTGGGTGGGGACGGAGCTCTGATTTTATCGCAAAGAGCAAACGGGAGCACCCTTGTTCTCCCTGCCGAGCGGAGCCGCCCAGCAGCCGGGGGAGTATGGGTGCAGTTCTGGCCCCGGCGCCCACTGCAGCCCTCACTGCAGCCCTCACCGCCTGCTTCCTCCCCAGCACCAGCCCTGCTACCTGCTGGGGAAGAGAATCCAGCCACGTGGACTCTACCCTGGGGCGGAGCGCCACAGGCCCGGGGGCCAGAGCAGCAGGAAGCTGCTGTTCATGAGGTGATACCAGGTGCCTGACGCACCAGCAGCCTGGGAGTGCCCAGGTGAAGGAAGCAGGCAGGGAAGCTGGTCTGGAGGAAGCAGGCGACCAGAAGGCCTTTCCCAGAAGTCCAGGGACACCAGAACTCCAGTGAATGCCATGGCTCAGCCATCTGGAAAGGAGCCCTAAACTCCCACTGTCCGCTGCCCCCTTAAGGCCGCCCTGACTGCGGGCCCGCGTCCCCCCTCATCGAGGACGTCCCTCTCCCATAAACAAGGTGGCCAGTGTGTCTGTAGCCAATAGGTGACATCATGATTTTAGAAATTAGAAAGGGCATTAGCCTTAGCAGCAAGGAAAAGGAGTAGGAAACTGAACAGGACAGGCAGGTGAGGGGCAGCTCCGCACGCAAAGCTGAAGCCCCGATGCCGGCCAGAGTGGACAGTGACTGGCTCCTGAGCACGCGCTCCAGGGCCCTTGATTTTATTGTGCTTTAAACTAAACCATGGGGGGCCTCCCTGGTGGCGCAGCAGTTGAGCGCTGGGTTGCGAAGCTGCCCGCAGCCTCTGCAGCGCCGGTTCAATCCCCGGCTGCTGGGCGAGGGTCCCACATGGCGTGCAGACCTCTCCTGCTGCGCCCGCTGCTCCCCTCAGCAGTGTGCTTTGTCAGTCTGCCTGTTCTGCTCCCTGCTCTGACTCTGGTGAATTCTCTCACCCTCCCGCGCTTCTGACTGTACCCAGTGCTTGTATAAATAAATAAATAAATCTTAAAAAATAAATAAATAAACTAAACCATGGAGGGAAACGCGAGCGCGGCTCATCAGAACAGCGGGTGGGCGGAGCGCAGACGCCATCTGCTTTCCCGCCATCGCCGACTATGGATGCTTCCCATCACCGTGACCTGTGGTGCTTTTCCTGCTGCATCTCGACTTTAAAAGCTAATTTCTAATTCAACTAATTGGTACTGAGTCTCCAATGGGACAAAAAACCTGGCAGGGCGCTCTTTACCTAATCAAGACACAGGGTTTCATTCATGCCAGGGCTTTGTGACGCTGTCCCAGAGCATCTTATCACAGCGCAAACACGCTGGCGAGGGGCCAGCTGGGCAAGCAGGTGCAGCCATACGGCCGGCGCTGCCCCTGCAGGTGAGAGCCGTGGCAGGCTGTGGAAGAGGCGGGCCTCCCGAACTGGAAACCCACTGAGGTGAGGGAGAGGCTACTGGCCAGAGGGACGGAGAGGCAGGAATTGAGACACTGGACACTCCAGAAATCAGCAAATACCCAGCAAGCCATGGCGAGAGGTTAACTGGGGAGTCCACGCTGGAGGAGGACAGTTGTCCGATCGAGTGGAGGGCACTGGGGTGACTCAGCCACCGCCGGCGGGGGTGTACTCACGTTCGATGAGGAAGAGAAAGCACACTATCCCCATGGCCGCCACGATGGCCCCAGGCACGATGAAGGACAGGCCCCAGCACGTGGACACCCAGTAGCCAGCAATCAAGGACCCCAAAATGTTGCCCACAGAGGTGTGGGAGTTCCAGACCCCCATAATCAAGCCTCTCCTGCAACAAGACCCAAGATGGCAAATGAGGCAGGGGGCTGGCTGGGCGGCACGGGCACACTCAGGCGGAGGAAGCGGGGTCTCGGAGCTTCTTGAAAGACGCCCCACCAGTGTGCGCCTCTGCAGCCCAAGTGGGGTCACTGTGGACACCTCTGCCCACAGCTGTGCACATTGGGCCCCACTGCCAGAGGAGGAGGCCAAGCGAGGCTGGGGAGCTGGCTCCTCTCGTCCCCCCGCCTTCTTAGGGCCGCCCGCTGCCTGTGGACGCTGGGCCTGGCCCCGCTGTGGAATCTGGTCTGGGAGCAGCTGGCTGGCAAGTGCTGGGTGACTGGGCCAGGACCTGTCGACCTCTGGGAAAGTGGACTTGGGTGGGGGCTGGACTCTGCATTTCTCCTGGGCCCCAGGCTGCTGGGGCCTGCTGGCTGACCCTGCCCACAGCAGGGAGGGATCCCCGAGGACAAAAGTCCATCTGGACTCACCACCCCAAGCCCAGAGGTGCAGGTCTCCTTACACCACACACCACACTAGTGACAGCAGCTTGCGCTATAGTAAGTCTCAAGACCCACCGAAAATAAACTGGTCTGGTTTTCATCAGAAGCTCTTAAATAATACTTGCTGCCTGGAAACAGGGCTGCCGTTCTCACCTCCCTTTTCCAAACCAGTTGCCGAGGCAGGTGACGACGCTGGGCCAGCCGGTGGTCTGCACCAGTCCGTTCATGATCTGTGCGGGCAGAGGGGAGATGTGGGCAGCGTGTAGGAGCCGACAGCCTGCGGGTGAGGCTCGCGCACCCACTTCTGGAGCCCGCGGGTCCGGGATGCTGCGGGAGGCTCGGGGAAGCCGGGGGATCCTATTTACCGTGGGCCTCGACAGCCAGAGATGTGCCCCAAACAATGGTGTCCATGCCTCTTACTATAAAAGCACCTGAGCCCTGGCGTGAAGGTTTTAGAGTAAGAGAAAAGAAAGCAAAGAAGCTCTCTGGACAGGTGTTATCTATAGTTAAGAGCTTGGATCCAAGCTTTCTGTTTTTTTTTTCTCATCTAAAAACTTTATGAGGGCTTCCCTGGAGGCACAGGGGTTAACTTTCAGCACTATGAAGCTACCCGCAGCCACTACAGCCTGAGTCTGATCCCCGGCCAGGAGCTGACCCACAGGGCGCAGCAGACCTCTCCTGTCTCCCCGCTGCTCCCCTCAGCAGTGTGTTTCAGTAGATCTGCCTGTTCTGCTCCCCACTCTGTCTCTGGCGAATCCTTTTACCCCTCACACCCCATTTCTTCTATGCATAAATAAAAATAAACCTTTGTTAAAAACAAAGAAAAAAGTATAAAAACTTTATGAAAGGATAGAAAAATGCACCTCTTTTCGCAGAACTGGGGGCGAGCTACAAACACAACGTGGCTTGCATGCTGCACACTGCCGCTTCCCGTCTGGAGCAGGCAGTACCTGCGGAGGCGCTGCAGAGAGCCTCCCCGGCCTAGCACTTTTCCAGAGCCCGCTGGCACGTGAAGGAGGCTCACTCCAAGCGGGCGAGCTGGTGTGGGGCAGCTTCAGAGACCACATGAAACAAACTCGCCCAGCGCCCTGGCAGCCGCCCCTGGCCACCAGCTCCTCCGGAGACTGACTGTGCCCGTCAGGCCTATGGGCCCAGACTTGACCTCACCCCAGGGATGTGCTAGGACTCTGGAAACTGCTGTTCCCTCCCTCTAATTTTCTCTGTTACTATACAAGGTAAATCAATTTTATAATTAAAACAGCCAAATGTTTCCAAGTCCAAGGCAAAATCTGTAAAAGCGAATTACGTACGGTTGCTCTGGTGATTTCATACCTTGACCTCTGGCTGTTTGGAGAGGCCAGAAGTTGAGCTTCATTATCTCAGTCATTTCCTATTTCTAGTCAATATTTACCCACAGGGCGCCCAGAGGGCAGAGGCAAGAGATCCAGAAAAGGCTGGACGCAGATGGAAGGGCACAGCTGTCTCAGATTCCCCCCACCCCTTCCCTGCCCCAGCCCGCTCTCCTCCACCCCGGCCACACCTCACACATCCGGCTCCCGGCTGGTCAAAGCAGTCACAAGACAGAGCATCTCAAATGCACCCATGCCAGGCTGAAGGACGTGGCGGGGCTCTTGCAGACAAGCAGGGTCCTTTAAAAGGCACCTCCTGAAACTAGGGCCAACTTCACAGCCGTGGCACCTCAGCGCCCAGAGGAAGGGGAACTTGGCACGCCTGCTGCCCCCTGCAGACAGGACTGGCTCCGCTGCCCCACGCCCCGTGTGCTCTGGGCAGAGGCTGGGCCCTGTGACATCAACACCCCCACCTCAGCCTGGAAACCCGGGGCTGAGCTCAAGCCCCAACCTCACCTGAGTCAGCATGTAGAACCCCAAGCTGTGGATGTTGTAGAAGTACCCCAGGCCGAACAGTGCGGTGAAGGCGCCACTGGCCAGCATCCCAAAGGTCAGGTAATGCCTGATGGGCAGCCGCTCCCCTATTATGCCGCTGTGGAGGGAGAGACACACATGAGGAACAAACACTCCCCGGGGCCAGCAGAGGTGCTTCTTCCCGGATGTGCTTGCGCTGTTCCTGAGCTACGGGATTTCTAAGCAGCGCAGTTTCCAGAAAGGTTCCATCACCATGATTCCTTTCTGGTGTTTATTAACCAGAAACCGGCAGTGGGCACCATCTTTCAAGACTCCTTCCTTCTAGGAAGTCACTAAACGTCACATCATAAGATCTCAGACACGACTCCGCGACAGCTGACAAGCGGGACAGCCCAAGGCACCTGCTCGCCCGTCCTGCTCTCTCCAGAGGGCTCAGGCAAGGCAGGGCAGGCAGTGTGAAAATTGAAGGAGTTGAACCACAGACAAATGTCCTGGGCGGGGACCGATGTGCGCTCGGGCAGCCACCGGGCCCTGGAGCTGCAGCTATGTCATCTGCACTGGGCTGAGCTCCGCAGGACGGGGGTCAGCTGGGGGACGCACCTTGGCCGGCTTAGTAAGATAGCTCCAGGGGTGCTGTGAGGACGGAGTGTCCAGTTTCACCCCGGGTACCCAGCTCCAGGCCTCCGCCAGCGTCGTGCCATGCCACCCAGTGCCACGCGGAGCCCACTCCTCACTGCCTGCTGGGAACACCCCCAGGAAACTTGACATTGTGACCGAGCACCTGAGTGAAGACACCACAAGACAGGCACAGCGGGGCCCAGCCCTCCGCCACCCTGAAATACCCGGGGCCTGTTTGCTTCACATATCCACTCTGGAGGAATATGGAGGATGCCTGCCTCCAGCGAACAGCACTCTGGGAATTGGCTCCGAAGGCTGGTCTCCTCTGGAGAACCGGTACACCAGAGAGTGCTTCCTTCTGCATTTACCGAGTGAGAAAGACCTGCCCAGTGTCCCACAAAGACCTTACGCACAGAGGAAGTCACTCAAAGCCATGAACAAGTCAGATCGAACTTTAAGCCGAGCAGAAAGTGACCACATGACAGGGCATCCAGAGGAATGGGGTCTGCACCTCACGGCCCACTGCTGTGGTGGACACACGCCCGGGGGGCACCTAGTGGTCACGAGCCCTGGAGCCAGGGGGTCAGTGAGGGCTCAGGCATGGCCTGCCTCACTATAGTGCCTCAGGCCCAAACCCTCTGAGCGATGCTGAAGGAAAGGCCAAGAGAACGGGCACCAGCTCGCCTGTGCCAGCTCAGCAGTGACGGCCACACGTGCAGCTGCCAGGGAGACCCGGCCCCGAGGGGCCCTTGGCTGACCCGCTCTGACGCGCCGTGCTACACCAGCAGGGAGGGGGGAACTGTGCGGCCATGCAGGGATGGATGCAGTGGTCATCAGCCTCCTGTGGACTTCGCAGGACATGTCTGCGCTGGACAGTTGCAGCAGCGATGGCCTCTCAACACCACGTGGCCACGCAGCCCCACTCACCACCAGCTTTTTGCCTCCACGCCCCACCTCTCGGCCGGTGGTGCTCCGTGGCGAGGGTGACCGGTGGGCTGCCGTAAGTCAGGCCCACCCCCGGTCCCCGTCCCTGGGTGCCACAGTGCCCCCTTTTCCTAGGGGCCAAAATCACTCCCAGCTGAGAACCACGTCCAAATTCCGCTTTCTAGACACGCAGGCTCCGAGCTTCCACCGCAGTCAGAGGGACGGTGTCCACGCAGGTCACAGTCTCTAGACTGTAGTATCTGACCTCGAGGGGAACACGGTGAGCGGCCTGGCTGCGACCTGGCTGTGCCCGCAGACTCTGCGCCGTCCTGGGCAGACGTCCCTGCAGCTGGGCTTGGGACCCTGCCACTCCTCGGCCCATTCAGGCGCGTTCTGAGCAGCACGCTGCGGGCAAGTGCGGGCGAGGGGATGCCGCCTGCCAGGCAGCCACCAGCACGAGGGCCTGAGGCTGCTGGTGGACCTCAGGGAGGAAGCTCAGCACTTGCAGGGATCCCTGTGGTTCTATAAGCTCCAAGGAGCTCAGTCTCTGAGCAAACATCCCTTGGGGAAAAGGCCCAAGTCCCTACAAAGCTTGTCTGCTGTCCGTGTGACACCCGGCGGGGCGGACATAGGGTCTTTCCCCACCTTCCGTCAATTCGAGATGGCGTCAAGGCGGGACCCATGTAACAGACGCAAGGAGCGGAATGCCGGGCGCGGTCCTGAGCCTCCCACACGCACTCACTCATTTAATCCTCACCACAGTCCTGTGGTGGTCAGAACCACAAGGCCCGTTTGGCAAAGGGGAAACTGAGACCCAGAGAAGCAAGAGAACTTGCCTGGCTGGGAGAAGTGGCTTCAGGCGGGGGTGCGTGTGGGGCTGGGCCGCAGGTGCTGGGTCCTGCCTGCTGCTGGGTGGGGTCAGGCCCTGGGACGTGTCATGGCTGGTGGCCCGAAACCAGAGGGGAGAGTGTGTCCCCTTGAGCCTCCCTGGGGGCTGTGAACACCCTGCTCCTCGGCCGCCACGTCCTGCTCTCCAGGTGAGGGAAGCCAACCCGGACAACTGGGCCGTCAGCACGATGCCTGGATGACCAGTGCCTGCTCCATGCGAGCCCTGACCACAGAGCAGCTGCATGTCACCCTGCCCGGGAGGAGTGCAGAGGGAGCGGGTGTAGGGCGGGCTCATCCGGGGCCCCGCTGGCGCAGACCCACCTCAGGTACATGCCGACGGCGTAGGCGCACAGGAAGGCGTAGTCCAGCGCCCCGAGCAGCTGCTGGTAGTTGTCCTGATCTGCAGGGGATCAACAGCTAAGTGGCAGCGTCTGCCTGCTGCCATGGGCCAGGTCTGGCTGTGCTCTCAGGAGGGACAGGCAGCTTGGACGGGGATACCTCCCACTTGGCTGCTTGTTAGGAGAGACAGTCGCCATGTTTCAAATCTGCACTGAACGTGCACGGCGGGGCTAACGTCCCCCCTGTTCATGGTTATAAGTTCATTCAGTTTATTCATCCTGCTTCACCGAGTGAACTGGATTTGCCTCCAATTCCGATTCCCCCAAACAGCACCTCTCCTCAGGCGGCCACCTAGCATGCTGCCCTGGCGACAGCGGAGCTGGACGTGTGGGTGGTTGAGGACAGCTCCCCGTGGAAGCCCCTGCTGCTGCCCCCCAGGCCATCCGCTCAGCATGTGCCCCTGGGGAAGGGACAGCTGCCCGGCACCACTGGCCACCACGGATGGACACAGTGGCCTGCGGAGAACTCACCAAATGGGGCCCATCCGCAGTTGGTCTGGTTGTCTGGGAGAGAGAATGGGGCGACATCTCGGGCTCTTTGGCTCAGGCCGTTGAGCTCGATTCCCCCGTCGTCGTCGTCGGAGGCAGCACAGTCCCGGTGGAGCTCCCCCTAAGGCGGCAGGGGACAGGTGGGGCGGCGGGGGAGGGAAGAGGTGAGGAGGCCTGCAGCCTCCAGGCTCTCATCCCAGGGGCATGGCCCCCAGGGCGGCTGCGCACGCACAAACGCAGATCCTGCAGGTTATCAAGGGTGGTAGCTTGAGCACCTGGTGCGAGGCACCCTGGGCAGCCTGCTCGCTCCCGCTGGCATCCACTGCAGCCTGTGCAGCCACCCAGCTCCCAGCAAAGTGAGGACACAGATGCCGAAGAGTCAGCAGCAGCCATGGCGGCCATTTGAGGATGGCAAATGAATCCATGGTGAAGGCGAGAGCGTGGTCATTGGAGGAGGGATGACCAGGGGGGCAGGCACAGGGAGCAGGAGTTGCCAGCCTTCACCGAGGAGGGGCGATTACCCGGTAGGCAGGCAATGTCTGCCCAGGGGACACTGAAGAGCTGTGTGCTGCACCAAGAGCAAACCCTATGCCAGAAAAACAGCTGGGCAGCCTCAACTGTCCAGGGAGCCAGCAGGCAGCGCAGGAGGCAGGGTGCCATCCACCAGGCAGGAGGGGGAAGGGAGCCGTGCAGGCTGCCCTACCCGTGCCCAGGCTGCAGTCCAGGGCGAAGCTGCCTGGTAGGAGGGGCCAGCCAAGGGGTCTCCTGCACAGGAGGCTCCTAGGGCAGAGGAAGGAGTGCCAGAAAGGTGCCCATGCCGGCCCGGCCCAGGCTGTCATGCTACCGGGAACTGAGCAACAGGCCATATCCCCTTGGCACACACGGGTGAAGGCACTGCCCGCCTCCGGGGCTGTCTCCACGCCGCCGCTCTCCTCGGCACCTTCCCGGTCCTGCAGTGCAGGCAGCTCAGGCAGACCCAGCCGGGTGGGGGGTCCTGAGGTCTGGGAGGGGCTCTGGGGGGGGACGCAGGCTGTGGCCGCACATGAAGTGCACACGCTCCTGTCACCGAGCACCCCGAGAGGAGCCCCTTTTGTTTCAAACCAGCAGGTAAGCAGGGGTGCCCGGCCTGGCAGGTCCTGTGAGAGATGGTGAGCGCCCTGGCCAGAGACAAGGACCCTGAGCAGGTCCTGCCCTCTGATATGGCCGAGTCCCACGAGACCTCCCGGGAGCCACGAGGCCAGGCACAGGCACGTGGGAGCACCCCCAGGCGCTCCGTCCCGAGAGGGCTCTGTGAGGCCTGGGGTGAGGGAGGGACCCCATCCAGACATGTGCAGGCCCCTCCCCTGCCAGCCGCTCTCCGGGTGGGTGAGCAGCGCTCCCTGACAGCCGTGGCGGCGCGGGGCCCAGTGGCGGCTCTGAGGGCGCTTCCCACGCAGCTTCCCGCGGCGCTGCTATGCCTTAATATTTCAATCACCTGGTGTTCAAAAGGGACACACGAGGATGAATGCACTGAGATGAACTGATGAAAAAAACCTTCAGCGGGTGAACTAACCCCAACCACAGCGCCAGGGTGAAGCGCCCTCTCCCCACCACTTAGGGAGGCAGTTAGTTCCCCGGGAAACATCTGTCTTCTCGGCAGTTTTATCACTTGAGTGCCTCTGACGGGGCGCCTATAAAATTAGTCAACAGGCTACCCGAGGCAGTTAGTAAAAGCGCGTGGCGAGGGGGGCTGTGCCGGTGCTGTGCTGGCACCCCAGCCTGGAGGCGCTGCTCCCCTCTGCCCAGGGCCTCCCAGTTCCAGCTCTCTCTGAGAGCCGCTGCTTTGAGGTATGTGTTCTGGCCTGGCCCTGGGGTGTGAAGGGACCCCGGGCCTGTGGCAGCCCCACCTGTCTACCAGCCCGGAGCACGTGAAAGGGGGCTGCACTGACTCCGCGCCCCGCCCCGGCAGCCTGTTCTCATCGTGAGTGAGCTTCCCTGGCCAGGCAGACCAGCAGGACTGTTGCGGCAGCCTGGAGTCGGGTCACTGGCCACCACCACCTGTCCTGCCCTGAGCTCTTTCTGAAAACCCCATTTTAAAGGCCTGGGGCATTTCCACCATCCCCCAAACTCGGTATATCAGAAGAGTGAGGGTTCTGCCAGAGGCTTGAAGGGGGGGACTTCCTGCTTACTGGAAGAGGAGGAACTGAGTGAGTAACTGCTGTTTACCCCACCCTGGGGCGCCAGGCCAGGGGCACGGACTTCCACGCCAGCCACAGCTGGGTGCTGGCTCGGGCCGGGGCTCCTGTCGTGAGGAGGCCAGAGAGCAGCGGCGCGGCCCTGCACTCCCGGGGTGAGGACGCGCTACAAAGGTCGACAGGACGCCGCCCGGCTCTGAGAAGGAGCGGTCTTTGGCTCTGGACAATTTCCTTGTTCTCGCTCCTTCCACAATAAAGTCAGATCACCCGGGCCAGCTGACAGCCGTCGGCAAAGTGATGTCACCCCCACGAGCGCAAGAAAATGAACTGCCTCTGCCCAAGTCCTAAGCAGCTGTTACGTAAAACTGTCTACTTAGTGTTGTTTTCTCACTGGCTGGCCAGTGCCTCCTCAACGACTTCCCGCCCACCCATCCCTCAGACAGAAACTCAGCGTCAGGAGGACAAGAGCTGCTGCCACGGCCCGACGGCGGCTGGGGAGCGCCCGAGGACTGGAAACGCTTGAGGGGAGACCCGCATGAGACTGCGTAAGCCCCCAGCTGAGTCTTAGCATCCTGCCCCCATCCACAAACACCACCCCGAAGGGATTGCCCCCCGGGCATCTTAAAGATTTTCAGAAAAAAAGAAACTGAAAACCAAAGCAACAAGACAACCTGCCGCAGACAGCGCTGTCACGCGATGGTGGGCGCCCCGCGCCTCTTCGAGGGCGAGGTCCTCACAGCCAAGGGGGGCAGGTGGTCCCAGCATCTCGGGGTGTCTTACCTTCACGATGCTTATAGGCTTCCGCGATAAGTGGAAACTGGCGTACAGCACAAAGGTCAGCGCGAAGGTGAAGGCTCTGTACCTGCAACAGAGCGGAGGAGGTGGCTGCAGGTGCCGTGCTGGCCGCGCCCGCCGCCGGCCGCAGTTCCAGGGCTCCGGGCAGACAGTTCTCGCTCTGCCTGAAGTCAGGGGCCAGGTCCATCTCTGATACCCCTGCAGTAGTATGTTCAACTTTTTGTCGCTTTTGCTTCTTCCCAAATGAAACTATTTAAACATTCATTTAAAAATGAATCAAAGCGCTGTCTGGGACACGGGGAGCTGGGACGCAGGCGCAGAGGGCGGCGAGTTTATAAAGTGGACAAGCACAAGCGCTCGCAGGCCTGTTACCAGCCTGCTGGCCTGGGCCCTGGGGGTCACGTTTACTTCTTGCTTTAGCTGTGCGGCGCCTTTTCAGAAGCACGCCAGCTAGGCGGGTATAAACTGCTTCATGGGATTCGATGGAAAAACGCCGAGATGCTGGTGACCATCATCAGGCTGATGACCTCAAGCAGCGGCCCACGGCGCTCCCGCTCTCCTGGGGCTGAGACAAGCCATTCAAGAGAGTACTGAAAGGTATGGGGGCGGAGAAAAGGCACTTTGGTGGGGAGGGAAGTCCTCACTGCTCTCACAGCTTGCATGATTCTACAGAAAGACACTTCTCAGAGGAACAAGACGGGCCAGGAAGAAATATTGGGCAAGCAAGGAAGCAGACCCTGTATCCTGAGGCCTAGCTTCACCAGAAGATCCTGTCCTGTTTCTGCCCTGCAAAGGCCAGTGACTCTCCAACCTGTGCACCTTGAATCCAGTTACCTAAGCAGGAGATGGCAGGCAGATTGCACCCCACCTCTCCCGAGCCTTTCTGGGAGGCCGGCCACGGTGATGCCAGACACCCCTCTGGCCGGGCCACTTGCTCCATGCTGTGGGTCACGCAAGGAGGCGTCCTCGACCCACACTAAAAGCTCCGGGCATGCTAACCTCACTGATCCCCAGAAAAGGTGGTGATCAAAGAAACATTTCTAGACTATTAAAGAAAAAATAAAGATCCTGTTTCAGGTGGGAATGTGGATTGGTGGTACAACGAGGCTCAAAGCTGCAGTTTTCAGAACAGCCGTGCCCCAGGGACGGAGCACCTGAGCTGACTGGCTGGTGCTCAGAAGATGCTCACGAAGGAGCTGGAGTGGCGTGTGCTACCTTGCCGGAGACGCACAGCCACGGTCCTGGGCCTGCCCCAGTCTGCGCGCTCCTGCCAGGCAGAGAGCTGGCCGCTCCTGGGGCGACTCCCGACAAAAATGCACAAGCTGAATCTAGTAACTAAGGGGCGCCCAAACGAGGGATCGTCCACGCCCTTCAGAGCAGGCCCAGCGTAAAGCAGACAAAACCTGCAGGATGCCCAGCTGGACAGACCCTGGGCCTCCAGAGGACGAGGCCTGAGGCTGCACATCTTGTTGCACCTGCCGCCCTACGGGAGGCCTGGGCGGGCAGAAAGGGAAACAGGCCTTGCAGGAAGGCTGGGCTGCTGCTCTTCTCTCATGTCGGGAAGCTCAGCTCTGGAAAGTCAAGAAGCTTCTAAAGGTCAGACAGTAGAGGCGCGGGAGAGATGAACAGAGAGCAGGCATCCTCCGCTGCCTCGTCTGGGACCCACGTACCCCCACCGGGAATGGGGGCGCTCAGCCCCACCTGCCTTGGAGCCAGCACCTCCTTTCCTGAGTTCAGGGTCACCTACGCGCTGACAGTGGAGCGGTACTGCCCTGTCTGCAGGTCTCGGACTAGCGATTTACTGGGTTCTGCAAGCGTTCTTGGTAAGGTTCTGAGAACTTTCTTTGGAGTCTGAAGACTGGATCAGAATGAAGTTATAGAACAGACCACAAAGCCAGATCCCGTCTGCTGAGCAGAGGGGCCCAGCTAGGCAGCAGGGGCCTCTGGGAGAAGTGCCAGGTCCCATGTCACACCCAAGTCCTTGGAGGGCACCCCAGTCTGCCAAGGGCTGCTGTGAAGGAGAGGTAGTCCCGGATGCGCTATTTTGGGGCATACTTTTTTTTTTTTTTAAGATTTATCTATTTATTTATACAAGCACTGGGGACAGTCAGAAGCGCGGGAGGGTGAGAGAATTCACCAGAGCCAGAGCGGGGAGCAGAGCAGGCAGAAGGACCGAAGGACACTGCTGAGGGGAGCAGCGGGCGGCAGGAGAGGTCTGCGCCATCTGGGACCCTCGCTGGTGGCCGGAGAACAGCCGGGGATTGAACTGGCGCTGCAGAGGTTGCGGGCAGCTTCGCAGCCCAGCACTCAACCGCTGCGCCACTGGGGAGGCCTGGGGCATAAACATTTTGAGCAAAAGACTTCGGATGGCTGCAGCCTCTTAACCGCAGCAAAGCAGAGGGTCGGGAGAAATTGGTTGCTCTCCAGGCCTCTCTGGGTGCGACGGGGGACCGACTCCTCACTAGCAGCCCCAACACCCACGCCACACCCACACCCAGCAGACAGTCGCCCTCTCCTAGCACCCATCTCCTCTCCAAGGCCCCGTTACCTTTGCAAAGTGTCCCCTGCATCCCCCCACGCGCCTCCTTTCCTCTACTAAAAGGCCTCTAAACCCCACATTGCAAGGGTCCTTCTGAGTCTCATTTTTCTGTGATCCCCCAACCTGATTAAATCTACATTTTCTTTTGAGAAGCAGTCTTGTCAGTTTCACACGCACCCGAGAGCACCCTAAGGGGGTAGAGGAGAGGTGCCCTCCGGGCGGAGGGCAGCAGGGCGAGTGTGGGTGGAGGCCGTGGTGCCCCTGCCCTACTGCTGCTCCTCCTGCACCTGAGCAGGACCTCGGAGTGCGCCCCGAGAGGGCCTGGGGACTGCAGCTGGGGTTCTCATCATATCCGACTCATTTGGATTCCCTTCCCTCCCTAAAGCCCTGCCCGGCGGGGGTCTTGGTGAGCCTCGTGAGCCCACCCACCCAGCCCGCCAGCCTAGAAGGCCCAAGGCCCATGGTCGTTTTCCGGGCCACGACCCGCAGGGAAAGCTCGAAGCTCGAGCCCTGCCGGGACGGCCAGGGCTACTGGGCAGGGCTCCCCCGCCGCCGGCCCCAGGACTCACTCACCACTGATCGCGGGAGAAGGAGATGACGAAGTGGATGCCGGGGGGGAGGCGAGCCATTTATGTCTCCCGGACCCCGAGCTCGGCCACAGGGCTAGGCGCTTCAGAGGCTGCCCTCCTGGCGCCACGTCTCTCCGTCCGAAGCCAACACGGCTGGCGCGGGCCTGCCCTCTTCTCCCGACGCACACTGGCTCTCTGCAAGGAGGAGGGGCAGCTGAGAAGTGGGTTCCAACCAGGGCACCGCCGGACCCTGCAGCACCACAGCCCGGGTGGGCGGCCTGGAGCTGCTGGTGGGGGCGTCCATTCAAAAGGGCTGCATGTGTTTCATGCGCCCACCTCCCTCTGGAGGCGCCCGGTGGCCAGTCCCTCGCTCAGTGAGGCTCCCGCGAAGCCCGCGCATCAGGGTGCTGGCTGCACCCCAGGCCGCCCCAGACACCTGCCTCCCTCCACGTGGCCGCTGGGGAGCCGAGCGCGGTGACGGAGCTGGGGAGGCTGGCGACACCGGCACCTCACTGCGGCTTTGCAGTTGAGTCTAAGCGCGCCCCAGCCCGGGAACGGTGGGGCAGCACCTCCTGCCTGCCTCTTCCTTTTGTGTTTGTGGTGGTCACCTCGGAGGCCATAGAAATTGACCCTTTGTGAAGTCAGAGAGAACAGGGAGGAAGGCCGTGGAGACCTGAGAGCCAGCAAGGGCCCGCAGCCAGGCAGGCCTGAAGGCACGCTCACAGCTGGGTCGCCGCGGCCCTCGGGCCCAGAATCGCCGCCACGGCACGCGGGACACACGGCAGGAGCTTCTGATCCTCACTCACAGATGGGGCAATTTTTTGAGTAGACATTAACACCAACTGAGAGAAGCTGACGTTCATTTAATAAATGTCTTCAACTTCCTCGGGAAGTTCTGACTCCACAGCTCAGAACCAGGAGTTTTGACCTGGAGACCTAGCGCTGCCCCGACTCGCCTGCCCTCGCAGTATGATCACCCCGTGCGCTCCTGACTGTCCAGAGCCTTCCAGAAGTGCACCTCCTTCAGTGTTTCCCTTTACACTGCAGAACTCCAGGCCCCAGTCCAGCTTTTGTTCCAGAGCCCCCAACCCATCTCTGGGCAGGGAGGCCCTCTGCTCCAGCCAAAATCGCACCTTTGCTCCTGCCAGTCAGGCCAGCCTGGCTCCTGCACCACCACCAGGGCCTTAACCAGGATGTGACCTCAGTGATTCATTCCACTTGGTGTCACCCCTACCCTCAGCAGCGCCCGGGGGCTGACCCAGCACCTCACTGAAACAAGGCAGGGTAACCCCAGCTACCTCACTGACGCATTCTGCTCCCTCCCCACCCCCCAACTAAAAAACAGGAAAGAGAGCACCTACAGGTGCAGCAAGCTCAGCCCTGCGGGAACCCCTGGCCCCCCTCTGTCCTGCAGTTGGAGGTCTACCAGCAGCCGCTGGCACCCCTGACCCTGACATGAGCGCGGGGCAGTGGGCCCTGGCTGATGCAGATCCCGGCACCCGGAGTGTGCGTGCAGGAGACAAGCTCACCAGGGCGCCAGAGTGATTCTGCGCCAAGCGCTAGATTTACCAGAGTCTTGCGCTGCGCGAGCGGCTCCTGTTTGGGCCTAAACAGACCACAAGAAACAATTTTGCGGGGGTATGGTTTGACTCTTTCAAGGCCCGGATCTGCCGGTCAGAACCAAGCTTCTGTTCAGACACTGCTTGCTAGGCGGCAGGCCTGCGCCTGCTCGGTATCCACTAAATCAACCTCAACTCCATTCTAGTAAACCCTAGGGCTGAATAAACCGCACGTGAGAGGTAGGGAGAAAAGGAAAAAGCCAGAGGGCACTGGAACATTTGGCAGGGAAAAAAATCTTATTTCCTCCTAAAATGACGTGGCTCCCTCCCACAGTAAAATGGTGGAAGCAAATGCAAAAAAGTGTTCACAGTGAGTGCAGTTAAGATGTGCAAAGACTGGGATTTTCCATCTAGGGTGGACAGCCCTCAACTTATGGGGCCCCTTCCTCCAAAGCCGGGGCAGCGGCGCGAAGTGCTCAGGAGAGCAGCGGGCAGGCTGCTGAGGGCCCGTGGCCCCTTCTTCTCTTGGGTGGGGGTGGCCCCGGCTCTGGGCTGGTCAGCCAGCAGGACATGGTGGGGCAGATCAGGTTGGTCCAGTTTCCAGTTGGCCCCTCCCCTCCAAAGCCAGGGTGGCTGGACGGCAGCAGGTGACGTGGGCTACACCCAGGGCTGGCATTTGGCCACCCAAGTGCACAGAAGAACACGTATTAAAAAGCTCCTCCTTACAGGTGCTCTGGAACGCACCCCAGCAGGGTGCGTCAGCTGCCCCGTGTCCGATCGCCAGCCCCAGACATGCCTGAGTGCCCATCAAATCTGTAGAACCCCTGCTCCCAGGGGCTCTTCTGAAAGAGAGGACCCAGGCAACCACCAGGCAGGCCTGGGGGGCTGGCGGCTGGTGCCCTCCATGGGGTGCAGCCTGGAGACTGAAATGAGGAGACTCCAGAGGCAGAGCCCCCGCCTGAGGGTCCTTCCCGGCCGCGCGCTGGGGGGCCGGCACAGCAGCCCTGCTTAGAGGAAGTGCCTTGAAGACAACGTGTTTAAAGTGGGCCGTACTTGGAGGCAGATGAGGGAGAAAATACACGTTCCCCCCAAAAGCTCTCACACATTTTTCTTTTTTCTTTCCTTTTGTGGTTTTCTGAGACCAGGAGGACACAACTTCCTTCCCAGAGCTTCAAAAGGCCTGCTTGCCTTTAACGAAGCGCTGCAGTGGCCGCTCCCTCTTTCCTGCAACTTCAATACAAAAAGGGTCCTGCAGGTGCCCCTGGAAGCTTCGAGGTGGTCTGCAGGGAACAGAACCTGCAAGCGCAGCCACCACCTCCTGGGGGGCTACGGATGCCACAGGCCGGTGCCCGACTCCCGCCAAGAGGCAGCACCCCGGGAGCAGTCGCCACCCCCTTTAACAACTTCAGGCCCTCAAGTTCCAGGCAGGTGGCCCTTCCCGGGGGAACTCTGGAGACTGCAGGAAAAGACAGGCTGCACCCCCCTAGAAATTCCAACCTGGGGGAGGGGGGAGGGCTTTCCAGGTCCTCTGTTCAAATGCAAATGCTGACCCGGCCCGCAGGAGGCCGCCGGGGTGGGCGGGTGGGAGACGGGACAAAAGAGCCCGGAGGCTGGCGGCCGGGACGGGGGTCTTTCCGGGTGCGGAGCCCCAAAAATCCAGAAGGTCGCTGTGCCCGCGCGGGCCGGGAGGCTGCGGGAACCCGCGGCCCCGCAAACAAGCCAAGGCCCAGGCCCGGCTCCCCGCGGCTCCTGCCGCGGCGGCCCGAGGTGGGTTCGCGGGCACGCCCACGCCCGGCCGGCGCTGTCAAGCCGGGGCTCTGGAGCCCGGCGGTGCCCGCGGCCCGGGAGCCGCATCGCTGCCCAGCTCGCCCCGCTCCGGGGCTCGGCCGGCGGCTGCGGGTCCCGCCGGCCCGGCGCCCGCGCCCCCGCCCGCACCGGCCGCGACCCCCGCGCCGGGCTCGCCGATCCGGGCGCCCCGCCGGCCCCGCGCCTCCCCCGCGGAGAGGCGGCTCCTCGGCCCCTCGGCCCCGCGCCCGGCCCGACCCAGCGCACAAAGGCAGGCGGCGGGCGCGGGCCGGGCGGCGGGCTCTCCGCGCGTGGTGGCAGGTGCCGCTCGCCGCGCGCCCCCCCGCGCGGGCGCAGGGGAGGGTCCCCGCGCCCCCCGCCCCGCTCCGGCCCCGACTCACCTGCGCGGCCGTCCCGCCGCGGGCGCTTCCTGCCGGCCACTTCCTGGGGCGGCGCGGAGGCCCGGCCCGCGGCCCTTCCACTCGGCGGAGGCCGCGGGACGCCGGGGCCGGCGGCTCCGCCCCGCCCGCCCCGCCCCCGGCCCCGGGGCGCGCCCCACGTGGAGCCGCGGCCGCCCGGCGGGACGGGGCGGGACGGGGCGGGATGGGCGCCCCTGCGGGCGCCCGCTCGGGACTGTCTCGCCCAGCCCGCAGGCCTGCACCTGCCGGAGGCGGAGGCGGCGGCCTGGGCCCGCAGGGGCTCCGCTGTCAGGGGCGCCCCGGCCCTGCGCGCAGGGACCCCGGCCCCGACAGCTGCCGACGGCGCCCGGCAGGCCTCCCGGTTCACTCCCCGGCCTCTTCCCAAGGACAGAGCGTCCAAAGCCGAGAAAAGGCCCAGGAGAGGGGCTGTGCAGACACCCTTGCCACCTGCCCGCGGGACGCGCCCGGCTCTCAGGGTGCGGCGGAGGAGCCCAGGCCCCGCGGGTCCCCTGCAGGGCGTCTGCCCGCTGGGGCCATCACCGTTGCCATGTCACCCCAGGAGTACCTCTCCCAGACCCCTGCCACTCCTTGCCCAAACTCGACCACTTCCACCCCAGGGGACCCACGAAGGCCCCACAGTGCACAACAGGCATCCAGACTCCGCCCAGGTGACCAGTTCTCGGAAGACAAACCCCCGGAACGGAGAGAGAGGCAGAAAATACATTTTACCAAAGAAATTCCAGGAAGCAAGCTGCCCTTGGCTACAACAGTGCTGAGCCTGAAGTCGGGGTGTGAATGCCCAGAGCGCCTCTGGAGGGCACCCCCTGCCTGGCACCTCCGCCTCTCCAGGACCAGCCGAGGCCCCCTGGGGAAGCCTCACCCTCACCAGTTTGTGGAGTTGGAGCAGCGACTGCAACTCTTCTCTGGCTGCTGCGGGGCCTGCTTGCGGGCAGAGCGGAAACCCTCCGGCCCTCACCCCCAGCGGACTCCTCCTCCTGGCGGGGTCTCGCCTGTTTCTTCTCCCTTCCCATGTCGCCACTGCTGGTGACGCGGCCCAGCAGGTGCCCGACTCTGGTTCTCCCCCCGGGGCTCTCTGAACTGGCACCGAAGCCCCCTCAATGCCAAACTCCCCAGTCCACTCTCCCAGCTGTCTCAAGTTACCCTCCTCAAGTGGACCCTTTGGTTCCAATGAGATGTGGGGTCCAGTGAGCGGGGTCCTGGGTTCCCTCTGAGAAAATTTCAGAGTTCCCCTTGCAGAGGCACAGGACAAGTTTGCCAAGGACAAGATGTTTAGTTATGTTCAAAAGGGCAGGGTTCTCAGTCACAAAAAAAAAGGGGGAGGCGGAGAAGACGCTTGCACAGACAGCGGCAGGAAGCGCGGCCTTTGGAAGGGGCGGCCGTTTGAGGAGCTGCTGCAGCTCCTGTGGCTGCCTGGGGAGCTGCCCTCCGCCCAGGAGGGAGTTGTTCTGAGGTTGTGGTCCTTTTGGGGGGAGGGGCACATCCTCTGAGGGTCATTATCTACTGTTAAATCAGCCACTTCTGGGGAGCCCCTAGGCTCAAGTGTAACGGGGTCCCCCGGAAAAGGGGAGGTTCCAGGTTCCCTGCCCCACCCGAGGGACAGTGGCGCTGGGGGCGGGGAAGGAGAGGCCGGAGAGGAGCCCGGGGAAGCAGGAAGCAGGAAGGGGCAGGAGGGGTCTGGAGGCGCGGGGCGCAGAGGCACGTGAAGCTGCTGCGCGGGCTCCCGGGTCCTGGACCGGGTGACACGGCGCGGCGGGACCCGTGGGGCGGGACGGCGGCAGCTTCGACCTGCGCTTGGACGTGGCTCTTTTCCTCCCAGACTAGCGCGGCGGCTTCTGCCTCTTCCGCGGGTCCCGGGAAGGCGCGTAGGCCCCGGCGGGCTCTGGGGCCTGGTTCTGGGCCGATCCTGGGGGGCTGACTTGTGCCCACGAGGGGACGGGTGACTTCGGGGGCTTGATCTGGACACTCTAGTCTCCCCTTTTCTGTGCTGCGCGTTGAGGGTATTCAGGTCCTTTCCGCGAAGGGCCTGTGCTGGGTCTCGACGCGGTGGGTGGCAGAACCTATCTAGAGCAGGCTGCCAGAGAGAGACACTCACTGCAGTGGGTGTGTCCAGCGCCAGGGGCCAGCCCTGGCCAGGCCCTGAGCCCGGAAGTCAGGGAAAGTCGCTCAACAGGGAAACTGAGGTGCACTTGTGCTCATTTCCTGGGGCGGCCAGAACAAGGGGTGGCAAACTGAAGGGCTTCAGGCAGTGGCCATTTATGGTCTCCCAGTTCTTGAGGCCAGAGGCTGAGGTCCAGCTGTGGTCAGGCCGGGCTCCCTCTGAAGGCCCCAGGGAAAATTCTGTGCCTCTCTCCGGCTTCTGGTGTCGCTGGCAGGCCTCGGTGTTTCTCAGCGTGTGGGTCTCCCTGCGGCCTCAGGCTTCACATCCCCCTGGTTGTGTGTTCGCCCCGCTGCGTGTCTGTGCCCCATCTCTTACAAGGGGGTCCCCCGGCTCCATTGGCACTTCACTGTAACTAATGCCAGTGCAGTGAACCTATTTCCAAATAAGGTCACCTTCTGAGGTTCCGGGAAGGACATGAACTTTGGGGAGATCATTACGTGGTGAACTGCACGAGAAGGTGGCCTAGCACGATGGGGGAGAGGCCTAGCAAGATGGGGGAGTGTGCAGCTCCCAGGCTCGCCTTCCCAGCATGTTTGCAAGTAAATAACAATGAAATAAAGTAGCGGCCCCTGGATTGCACCGGAGTAGTCCCTAGGGGAAGGAGGAGGGCCTTAGACCGTGGCCCTGCTCTGGGGCCTCCGTGGCCCTGCTCCTGGCTGGTTCACCCACGAGGGGAGGGCCGGCTTTGGGTGCTTGGTTTGGAAACTCTGTCCTTTTCTTCTCTTTTCCCCATTGCGCGCGGAGTGTTACAGGTCCTCACCACGGAAGGTCTCATGCACTGGAGTATGTTTTGTCTTGATGCGTCGGGTGGCAGGACCTATTTAGAACAGGCAGATTTGGGGATGCTGGGGTGCCTTGCCCCCTGCCCCATAACAGGTCAATGGCCAGTTGCATCAGAAGTGTCGGCACAGCAGAGGGAGCAGGAACTCCCACAAGGCACTGTGTCCAGAGTGCCAGGGGGCAGAGAACCTCGGCAGAGGGAGGGTGGCTACCGCTCAGAAGCGCGTGCCACCGTGGACTAACATGTGCCCACAGCGGGGACTTCAGAGTCAGGGACTGATAGAGGGGCGCAAGACCCTGGGAGCGGTGGGACGCAAGGTGGGGGGGGGGCTCCTGCTCAGGCAGAGGCAGGAGAGGACTCGGCGCCGAGGCAGGGTGGGACAACTGCACCCCTAGGCAGGGAGCTTGGGGACCGTGATGGCCTTGGTCACTGCCAGCACTTGAGCTTGGCACATCCATTTGTGAATGGCTGGGACCTGCTGGGGGGGGGGGGCGCGAGGCGGGTTCATCTTTATCCCCAGAGGAGCTACTGTCTGCAGCCCGCGCTGTGTTATGAAGACGCCTGCCTTACCCCAACCGGGCAGAAGCCAGATGCGGGCTGAAGGTGCACTTCACCTGGGCCGTGGCACCTGCTCCCCCCACCCTGCGGGGCAAGTGCCCCAGGGCAGGGCCCTGCACTCCAAAGGTAAGGGGAATGCCCAGGTGGGGACCCAGCCCCACCACAGCCCTCCTGGGGCCTCGCCTGGCCAGGGTGGGAGCGGGGCCTGGCAGTTACTAGTCCCGCTTCCTCGCAGAAGGTAAGGTCAGCTGCTGAGCGTGAGGGGAAGGGGGTGGCCACAAGTGGGAAGGCCCGGCGTGGGTCCCACGGCGGTGTGGCCTGATCAGTCCAGGTGGGCGCCGCCAGAGGACACGCTGGGGGACGGGCACCTCGCAGGGCCGGTTCTCCTCCCCCATTTACACCGAGTCAGGCCTTCCCTGGCCCTCAGAGAGAGGCAACGCTGACCCCTGCTGGAAGGCTTGGTCACACCCGCAAGCACTGCCCGAGGACTGGCAGGCGACCGGGGCTGTGCCCGGGCTGGCTGCAGGGACAAGACAGGGATCCAGCAGGCGTGCTGTCGGCTTCTCCGGGGAAACCCAGAGGTGTGGGAGCAGATGCTCGGGTGGGGTAGGAGGCCTTGCCTGCAGGTGCCGCCGGGTGCAAGAGTCCCCCGAAGGGATACTGAGGATCCCGGACTCCAGAGCGTGAGAAAACCCCTCATGCTGGGAAAGAACAAGAGGAGTGGAGAGGGCCGGTCAGGGAGGCCAGAACCGGCTGACTAGATGCGGAGAAGCGCCACTTTGTCTCTGTGGGGCAAAAGCATGGTGGCGCGGCCAGGCCTGGGCCCCGTGCTCCGACAGACAGGTCCCCAGGGACGGACAGCCTCCCACTGGAGTTTGGCCTGGGCCCTGGGCCCCTGCCCTCATCATGAAGCCCGTCAAGGGGTGACTACTTGGCATAAATTAAAAAGGGTTTTACTACCAAACATTCTCCCAGTTCCCATGGACCCTCCCAGCGGCAAGCGAAGCAGCCCCCCAGGAGGACGCGGCTGCCAGGAGGGGACCGATCACGAGGACCAGCCCCGCCCAGTGTTCCCCCAGCCCTGAGGGGCAGCCCCGCCAAATCCCATCAGCACTTAGTAGGTAGGGCGTCTCCTCTGCTCCTCAGGGGCACCCCCTCATGTACCCGAGCACTTGGGCCCACACCGTCCCTGGTGAGTGGGCAGTGGCCAGCGAAACCACGCCCGTCAAGTGCAAAGCCACGTCTACAAAGCCCGGGGAGACACAAACGCTGCAGTAGGGGCTGGGGAGCAGGTTATCGGTCCTTTACATGTTACTGTAGTTTCTCAATTTGCTTCGGGCACTCACTAATTATTGTCTGAGTCTTGGCCATCGTGCCCAGCTCTGGGCTAGACTTGGGGGGGAGGCGGGTCAAGGCTCTGGGGGCCACGAGGGGGCTGGCTGGGAGTTCAGGGCACCAGAGTGGGGGTGGGGGCAACAGAAGCACAGCAGGGAGCTGGGGCAGCTAGGCAGGCGCTGGGAAGGGCCGTGGGGGACGCTGAGTGGAAGGACTGGTCACCAGCCAGGGAAACGTGGCGATGGTGGCGGAGCAGCAAACCACCTGAGCGGGGGTGTTGTAGGGAAATGGCCTAAGCATAAGCAAAGGTCAACAGGCCCTGGGGGACAAGCCCTCCTCAGCAATCCCAGGGAAGCAAGCAAAGGCTCTCTGTACCCCCAGCAAGAGGGGTGGGACTTACAGCAGGAGGGGCTCGTCACTCACTCTGCTGGAGACTGGCCGGCCACCACCCTAGGAGGCAACGAGGGGGCTGCTGAGTGAAAGTGCCCCCCCACCCTGCCCCCTCCCCCCAGCCCCGAGTCTACAAACTGGCTCCTGCAGAGCTGCAGGTAGACACTCCTGGCGCTCTAGGGGTCCTCATCACTTATGTATGGTGAGGGGGTTCACAAGGGTTCACTGCATTGCTGTGCTGCGCCACGGACCTCTGTGAACGTGTTCCTCTGTATGCTTCGAATGTTGCATCTCTAACCATGTCAAGAACTGAGCTAAATACACACAGGACATCTCTGCAGCCTCTGGCATCTCCGGAGCCTCCTCATCCTCATGATCTTATCTGATCCTCGCTGGCAGGGACCTTACTCTGGAGACAGAGGGAGGAGCAGCCAGCTTGCCCTGCCTCCCGGAGAGCAACCCCAGGCCCTGGAAGGTGCGGCCTGTGCCCCCACCACTGCAGGACGGTGGTCCCTGGAGTGCCGGAAACAGACCCCACCTTACCTGGGTGCCTGCAGGGTGGTGACAGGCCCGTGAGGATGGAAGGCTAGCAGGCAGCCACGAGATCGTGCTGCTGGTCATTTATTTAACTGCATGGATTAGTGTTAGATTTGTCCAAAATGACATATCTTCTTTTTCTCATTTCCTCATGCCTACTTTTGTCCGCCTGGGGACCCTACACGTTCAAAGGTAGCCACCCACTCACTGGGTGTGCGAAGAAAGCCCCTGAAAAGGGAATCTGATTGATGAATTTCTAAGAAAAATCATAAACCAGAAGGAAGGAAAAGAATCAAAAAATTGATGAGACTTTTCTTTTCCAGATGTTGCATAAATGATCTTGAAAATTTGCAGAGATGAGCGTGTGCTGCCTGAGCACTTCCTCTGGCTGGTGCCCAGTTCTGTGGGGGAGAGGGAAGGGTGAGCCAGTTGTGCTCCTGGAGTGCCCCCCCAAGTTCCCCACCCTGGCCCACGGCACTGCCCTGTCTGTGCCTCACTCAACAATCCTACTTCCCTCTCTTGGTGACCTTGATGACAACATTCTCAATATCCTTCCCTAACCGCCTAACTCGGGTGGGTGGGTGTGGTTATTTCCTCCTCCTTGGCTGTCATTTTCATGCTGTGTAACCTCACTCCCTTAACTATGTCCATAATTTAAATATCTTACACTTAAAAACCTTATACTTGTGGAACCAAGCTTAGGCGAGGTTTCGCCATTTTGTATATCCTCCACCTTGATATGTTAGTCCTTGTCCAGCCGCATTCCGGAGATAGTTTCAACGGTCACAACCCTCACTCCACTTGGTGACGAAGGAGCAGACCACCCCAGCTGCCAGCGAGGGCAGGCCTATCCATAAATGGGACAGCATCTCTAACCGTCCAATCAGTTTGAAACTATAACCGTGTGCACCAAAATGCCTTTGTAGTAGCCAATGAGTAACTGCCAGCTTCTTTCAAAATTCGCGCCTGCTTGTGACCCTATATAAGAACCCTGCTTCCTCTGTTTGGGGCTCTCAACCTCTGCCGTTGCATCGGTGCGTGTGGAGGGCCCGGACTCGAGCCTGTAATAAACTCCTTTGTGCCCTTGCATCGGTTGTCTGTGTCCTTGGGGGCTGCCCTGGTCGACGCTGGGCACAACAATACTTAAAAATCTCTATCGAAATATAAAAATCTCTCTCTCTGAACAGTTGCTTCGACCCTAAAATACAGGCCTGTTTCTAGAAACTTCAGTCTCTTCCCACTCGGTGTACATCAGCGCTAACGAGTCTCAGCCCAGCGCAGGCGGCTCCGGTCACCGCCAACCACTGGTTACCTGGCTGAGGCATCGCTGCAGGCTGGTTCTCTTCAGGAGGAAACGTGTGAAACGGCTTGAAACTGGAGTCACCGCTTCCCGAGACCTACAGACAGACAGACAGACAGGCCCCGCGTCATGGCGGCCCTCGCGGCTGACACCCGCCAACGCTCTCCCCGCGGCTGCAGGGCCTGGGCCCGGCCGCCTCACAAGCCGGTGCAGGGAGGCCAGGGCGCAGCAAACAGTGAGGACTCCCGCCGCCCGGGCTCACCGCGCCCCCCACGCCGCGGAAACCCCGTTCTGAGAAGGAAAGTCGCGCCGGGCCACCCACGCCCACGCCCCCCGCGGGTGTCCAGGCGCGTGCTGGCCCCGCAGCGCCGCAGCTTCCGCGCTCCCGCCCGCGCCGTCCACAGGCCGCGCCCCACCAGCCTGTCCGCCCGTTGACCCCGGCGGCCCCTCGGCCTCAGGCCCCTCTCCGCGGCCCCGGCCCAGGCCGGGCCCAGGGGCTCAGGGCCGCGCGGCGCCCGCGGGCGGGGCGGAAGGAGAGGGCACGAGGAGCCGGCCCCGCGGCGGCCTCGCCACCCCCGGCAGAGGACGGCGGCCCGGCCAGCGCTGCCCTCTGCCCAGTTTGGGGAGTGGTGCGTCTCCCCAGCTACACCTCAGACAGCTCAGGGCGGCCCCGCCCTTGCCCCCCACTCACCCGAGGTCCTGCGCCCCCCGGGGCTGCATCTGCGCAAGCGCTGCTGGGGATGATGGGAAATCTGCCCGCGGGGACGCGCGGCCTCTCCCCGGGCTGACGGGCGGCCTCTCCCCGGGGTGACGCGCGGCCTCTCCCCGGGCTGACGCGCGGCCTGTCCCCGGGCTGACGGGCGGCCTCTCCCCGGGCTGACGGGCGGCCTCTCCCGGGCTGACGGGGCGGCCTCTCCCGGGGCTGACGGGCGGCCCCCGCGGTGGGCGACGGGAGTGGCCTCCCTGACAGGGTTTCGGGAAGGCGGTTTCTCGTGTCCGCCTGTGAACGCTTCCTCGTGACGCCCTCGCTCCCCCACAGGCTCCCCGAGAGGCGGCCCGCCGGGTGACCGCAGCCCCGGGGTGGAGGCAGGGCGCGGACTCCGGGCGGACTCCGGGCGCGGACTCCGGGCGCGGGCCCGGCTGGGGGGGCGAAGTCGTCCCGGGCCCCGAGGTCCGCGGAGGGCGCCCCACCTGCCCCCGGGCGGCCGAGGCTCCTGCCCGTCCTCCTGGGAGGGGGGTTGGCGCGCCCGCGGGAGGCCGGGCCAGGTGCTTCTCCCCGCGCCGCCGCGGGCGGTGCTGAGCTGCACTGCAGCGAAATTGCTGAGAGATGGGGGGCGCCTCTGCGTCACTTGCACAGGACGTCGGGCCGGTTGCAATGTGAGGGCTCAGCGACCCCTGGCAGCCCCCAGCGGCCCTGCTGGAGCCGGACGGGAGCAGGGTTTGCGTCACCGCTTCTCGTCAGCCCAGCGCTCCTCGCGGCAGGCCAGGGTCACTCCCAGGAAACCGGGGAACCCCCGGACACCCCGGCCTGGGAGCGCGGGGCTCGACAGCAGTAGCCCTCGGCCCCCCGTTTGGGTTTGGATCCCCGCCGGTGACCTTGAGCTCCGCCTTGCCCTCTGCACCTCTTAGCTGTGCAGTGCAGGAGTGATGGCGCGGCTCGGAGGGTTCACACGAAATTCTTAAAGCTCCCCAACTTACTGGAACTTTGCTCCTGACGTTGTTAGGGAAAATATGAAAGTTTGATTTTTGACATCTTTTATATGCAAAAAGTGAACATTTATTTGCACATTCTTTACTTTGCATATTCATATATTACCACTCTAGATTTCTCATATATATATATTTTTTACAAGAACCAGGGTACAGGCCAGATGTGCAGGTGAGAGGATTCACCAGAGACCAAGCAGGGAGCAGATCAGGCAGACAGACCGAAGACACTGCTGAGGGGAGCAGTGAGGAGACAGGAGAGATCTGCGCGCCATGTGGGTAGCTCCCTGGCCGGCTGGGAATCCAACCTGCCCTGCAGAGGCTGCGGACAGCCTCAAGCGCGGCACTCAACCCGTTGCACCACCGGGGAGGCCCTAGATTTCTAATATTTAAATTTTCCCTCACTACCCTCTACCCTATGGCCCTTTCTCTCTCCCTCCCCCTCTTAACTTCTGAAGCCTCACGTCCTTATCAATGTCCGCTAGTTTATAATATTTTGCTTTGTCACTGCATCCTCTTTTCCCGTATCGCTTGTCTATAGGAATCCATCAGTTTTTCTCTCTAGCTTCCTAGAGGCTTTTCTGCACTCGGGTTCCTTCCATTTTGCTGTAAATAATAATCCTTCCTCTTTCCTGTGGCTACGTGGCATTGCACAGCGTCGGACCTCGTCTTTCAGACTCGCTCCTCTCCCAGCGGGAACTTGGTTGGTCCAAACCCACCCATTTGGAATCACCTAGTGTCAGCTGCACTGCAAGGAAAATTGTGGAGCACACAGGTTTTCAGCTTGATGATTTCTTATTTTTTGAACAGATACCCCAAAGTGGAGTTGCTGGGTATGTTATTTTCAGTTTCTGTTTCTGAAGGTAGGCCCAGACTGCTTTCCTCAGTGCCTGTGCTAATTTACACTCCTGCCACCGGCCTGTCAGGGCTCCCCTGCGTCCACACCCTCTCCAGCGCTGCTGTTGGTCTTTTGATGTAAACCATTCTGTTAGGTGTGAGATGTTATCTCCTTGTGTTTTTTTTCTTTTAAAGATTTATTTATTTATGCATACAAGAGCTGGGGTACAGGCCAGAGATGGGAGGGAGGAGAGGATTCACCAGAGACAGAGTGGGGAGCAGAACAGGCAGACCAGCTGAAATACACTGCTGAGGGGAGCAGTGGGCGGGACAGGAGAGGTCTGCAGCACCCTGTGGGTAGCTCCCTGGCCAGCGGGGGATCGAACTGGTGCTGCAGAGGCTGCGGGCTGCTAAGTAGTATGTGCTTAACCCCTATGCCACCAGGGAGGCCTTTGTTGTGGTTTTGACCATCATTTCCCTTACTGAAAGTGACAATGAGCACTTTTCATATTTCTGTTTGCCTTCTGGAGATCCTCTTTGGTAAACTGTCTTTTCAGTCCTGCTCATCAAGTTTTTTTTTTTTTTTTAAGATTTATTTATTTATGCATACAAGAACTGGGGTATAGGCCACAGGTGCGGGGGTGAGAGGATTCACCAGAGAGAGTGGGGAGCACAACAGGCGGATCTACTGAAATACACTGCTGAGGGGAGCAGCGGGGAGTGGAGAGAGGTCTGCTGTGCCATGTGGGCAGCTCCCTGGTCGTCCGGGGATCAAACTCGTGTTGCAGAAGCTGCGGATGGCTTGATAGCGCTGTCTTTAACCCCTGTGCCACCAGGGAGGCCCTGCTCCCCAAGTTTTAAGTGGGCTGTTTTTGTTGTTAAATTGGATAAGTTCTTTATATACCTTGGACAGTAACTCTTTGTCAGTTGTGTTGTATAAATAGCTTCTCCCATTCAGTAGGATGTCTTTAATCTGCATATATATATATGTAATTTGCTGTGTAAAGACTTTTTAATTTAAGGTAATCCCAATTGTTTATTTTTTGCTTTTTTTCCCTTTTCCATAGGGGTGAAGTCCCTGAAGACATTGCTGTCATGGATATGATGAAATAGCTTACCAATACTTTCTTCTGTGTATTTTATTATTGTGATTATTATATCTAGATCTTTCATCCATTTTGAATTTATCTTGATCTTGTGTGTGGAGTTAGAGGATGATTCAACTTTATTTTACACGTGACCACCCATTTTCCCAGCACTATCTGTCAGACTCTGCCGTGTTCATGTGCGGTCCCAGCTCCTTTGTTATAAATTAGGTATTGATTTAAACATGGATTAATTTCTGCACTTTTGATTCTGTTCCGTTGATCTGTTTGTTTTTATTCCAGTTCTGTATTATTTTAATGACTTGCTTTATAATATAGTTTAAAGTTGGGGAACACAATGACTCGTTTTTCTTGTCTACCCTTCCCCCCTTTCTCGCATCCCCCAGAATTGCTTTAGCTATTCATGGCCCTTTTTGGGTCCATATAACTATTAGTGCCATTTTCTTCCTTTCCTTACGATTTAGCATCAGAATTTTAATGGGGATTGCATTAAATCTATATATTGCTTTTGGGAAAAGAGTCATTTGACTATATGAATTCTTTCCACGAACATGGAATATCTTTCCATTGTTTATTCTACATCATTCACTAGTGCTTTGTAGTTTTTGTTATATAAATCTTTTACCCCTTTAGTTAAATTAATCCCTACATGTTTAATTCTTTTTGATGTGATCATAAATGGAATTGTTTTTTTTTAATTTCTTCCTTCTAGTCATTATTTGTATATAAAAATGCAATGGATTTTTGTGCATTAATTTTGCAACTTGCCACATTACTTTATTCATTTATTGTTCCAGGTAACTTTGTGGTGGAGTCTTTGAGTTTTCTATAAATATCATATAATCTGCAAATAACGATAGTTCCACTTATTTTTTCAATTTAGATTCCATTTATTGGGCCTCCCTGGTGGCGAAAGTATAAGTCTCAGCACTACAAAGCTATCTGCAGCCACTACAGCACAAGTTTGATCCCTGGCCAGGGAGCTGACCCACAGGGCACAGCAGACCTCTCCTGTCTCTCTGCTGCTCCCCTCAGCAGTGTGTTTCAGTCAGTCTGCCTGTTCTGCTCCCTACTCTGTCTCTGGTGAATCCTCTCAGCCCCTCACATGTCTGGCCTACACCCCAGCTCTTATATGCATAAATAAAATAAATCTTAAAAAAAATTCCATTTATTTATTGTTATGTGACTGCTCTAGCTAAAACCTCTACTAGTAGAGTCAACAGAAGTGGTGACAGCGGGCACCATCACCTTGTTCCTGCTCTTAAAGGGGAAGCTTTCAGTTTTTCACTATTCAGTATAGTATTGGCTATAGGTGTGAGATATATGGCCTTTATTGTGTTGAGGTAGGTTCCTTCTAGCCCCATCTTGTTAAGAGTTTTTATCAGAGGTGTTATAGTTTTCCGTGTTTGTATGTTATCTGTCTGATGTTGGTATGAAGGTAATGTTGGCGTCATAGAATATGTCAGGAAGTATTTTCTTCTTTGTGGGGACTAATTTGAGTTAAATGGGCATAAGTTATTTAAAGTTTTGAGAAAATCTCATGTAAAGTCATTGTGTCCTGGGCTTTTGTTTTGGGAGGTTTTGACTATTGTTTCAATTGTGAACCAATCTATCAAATTTTTCTCCTTCTTTTGGTTCATTTTTTTTTTTTAAGATTTATTTATTTTTATACAAGAGCTGGGGTACAGGCCAGAGGTGCAGGAGGGTGAGAGGATTCACCAGAGACAGAGTGGGGAACAGAACACACAGATGACAGAAATACACTGCTGAGGGGAGCAGCAGGCGCGACAGGAGAGGTCTGCTGCGCCCTGTGGGTCCCTTGCCGGCCAGCCAGGATCGAACCCACACTGTCGAGGCTGCGGACAGCTTCGCAGCATGGTGCTCAACCCGCTGCGCCACCAGGAGGCCTTTGGTTCATTTTTTAAAAAGATTTATTTTTGCATACAAGAACTGGGGTGTAGGCCAGAGGTGTGAGGGGTGAGAGGCTTCACCAGAGACACGAGTTGGAAGCAGAACAGGCAGATCCACTGAAATACACTGCTGAAGGGAGCAGAAGGGAGACAGGAGAGGTCTGCTGCGCCATGTGGTCAGTTCCCTGGCTGGGGATCGAACTTGTGCTGAGGTGGCTGGCGAGAGCTTGAGAGCATTGTCTTTAACAATGCTGCCCCACCAGGGAGGCCCTGGTTCATTCTTGATAAACTATATTGTTCTAAAATTATATCCATTTCTTTAAGATTAACAAATTTGTTAGCATATAGTTGTCATCTCATGATTTCTATGCTGTCATAATTTCTCACATTCCTAATTTCGTGTATTAATATTTTCTCTCTCCTTTGTTAGTCTAACTGAAGGGTTACTGATTTTATTTTCTCAAAGAACCAGTTTCATTGATCTTTTGCATGGTCTTTTTAATTTCTAGTTCATGTCCTTATGGTCTAATTTTTATTATGTCTTTTTTCTACTAACTTTTGTATTAGATTGTTCTTCTTTTCCAAGCTGCTTGAGTCATAATCTTAATTTTTTCTCAAATAGTATTACTGTTACAGGGCAACCCCGATATAAACCAGGTTGCCTGACTGTGGGTCCTCACCTGCGCACATAAAGGGGACTTAAACTGCAGGCACACAAAAAAGGTTAACAAAAGGTTTATTTACAAGAGAAGGGGAAATAAGGAAATGAACAACTCAGGCAGAAAAGAGGAAGATAAATTCTTAAATGTGTCCTACCTGGTCTGCCAACCTGGAATCCCAAGGGACCCACTGAAACCAAGCGCTGTCTGGCTCAGAGCATGAGCCAAGAGAGTGGGACCCCATTAACATGGCTGGTTTTATTTACAAACAGAGAAAATGGCTGCTTACCTCCACTCTCAGGTCCTCGCAACCTCCCTTTGGGGATCCTGGGATTTGTAGTTCCCAGTTTCTTGATGGTGTGGGGGTGGCATCCACAGAGCCTGTATGGAGTTTGCGCAGAACATCCTTTCCCCTTAACATTACCAGTTATTTACATAATGATGTAATTTTGGGGGTACAGGCCCACATCTGTGTATGTGCACGTACTTCACTCACCCTCTACCACCGATGTGCTTTCCCTTCTGTCCCCTGTCCCCATCCCCTGCCCCTTTGTTAGCCAGCATAGGTTTCATAGAGTCTAAGAATTATTTCTGCTGTGTTTTTACCAGTTTGTTTTCTTTGGTTATTTATAATATTCCACAAATAGATGAAACCACCCGGTGTCTGTCTGTCATTTTCTGATTTATTTCACTTAGCATAACTACCTCAAGATTCATCAGTTTTGTTCCCAAAAATAATATTTCATCTTCTTCAAATGGCTTAGTTGGGACTTTTCTTGCTTTTTAATATAGATTTGTACTACAATTAACTTCTCTCTTAAAACCGCTTTTGCTGCATTCCATCAAATCTGATTGTTGTGTTCTCTTTTTAATTGGTCTATAGGTTTTAAAATAAAAGTCTGCTTTAGTTTCCCCTTTAAGCCATGTGCTTAAGGTTTTTTCAGCTTAAAAAAAAGCTGATTTCTAGCGTGGCATGGCATAATGATGAGAAAGAATGTTTGCTGTGATTTCAATCTTCTTATCTGACAATTGACTTGTGACCTAACGTACGGTCTGTTACTGAGAATGTTCCTGGCGGTCTCGAGAGAAGTGTATGTGCTGCAGTTTTCAGGCAAAATGTTTTGAATATGTCTATTAAGCTTATGTGATCTAGTTACTCATTTAAGACTGTTGTTTCCTTATTTATCCTCTGTCTTGTTGAGGGGTCCATGGTTGTATGTGGGGCATTAAAATCTCCAACTCTGCAGTTGTGGACATCACACTTTAATTCTGTTAGTAATTACTTTATGTATTTTGTTGCTCTATCATTTGGTATGTTAATCATTAAAAGTGTTATATCTTCCTGTATTGGGCTCTTAATCATTATGCAGTGTTTTCTCCTGTCTCTTACTGCATTTTTAAACCTGAACGCTAGCTTATCTGATACATAGTTCTTCTTGACTTTTTTTGATTACCATTTGTTTGTAGGATTGTTTTCCAGCTTTTACCTTTCAGCCTGTGCCTGTCTTTAGTAGTAGAGGTGAGTTTCTGTAGCCACCAGAAGGTTGGATTTTGCTTTCTGATCCATTCAGCCACCCTGCAGCTCTTGGATGGTGAATTTAAGTCATTTACATTAGTGTATTGAAACATGTATTTACTATAATTTTGTTATTTTTTTTTTTGGTATTTTTATAGTTTGTCTTTTATTTTTGTCACCTTCCTTTATGTTTAGGTTTCACTCCCATTGTCTTAAAACCTTTTTCCAGGAAGTGCGGTCATAGCTGCTACTTTAAGTTCCTCAAGTTCCTTGTCAGACAGGTTATACCCTTCTGCTGGTTTGGACTTCTCCTGTCTTTTTTTTTTTTTTTTGTTCTATCATTTGTAGTATGTTCCTCTGTCTCTTGGTTTTTATGGGTGGGAGACAAGGAGCTTTCTTTTTTTGTCTTGGTGAATTGGCCTGATATTTACAGATGTCAGAATGTAACCCTAGGTTATTTACCTGGGATTCTTGGGTGTCTGATGCTTCACAGACCAACCCTCTGCCACTATTTGCAGGACCCAAGTGCTCCGTGACCAGGAGTTAGGAGACAGAAGCCAGTGCAGCCAGAACTGCGAGGATGCTGCGAGCAACGCCAGTGGTCCAAGCCGCCTGAGATGCTCTGAGTACCTGAGTTGGGTGGGAGGTGATCTCCAGTGACCCCTCCCCAGGCCAATTACTTATTTAAAATGTTTGGAATCATATTAGACTAACTTCTAGCTCTCAGCTTCTGTTCAGGTCTGGTAGGTGGGATCTGTGACCAGTCAAAGTCTAACTCTGAGAGGGATCTATGGTTAGGATAGAGTCAAAGGTCATGGCTTATTCCCTATGCCTTTCAAGTTCAGAACTGCCCTAGGGCACCTGTTCCTGTAACCCTCGTTGAAGGCAGTATAACGTGGAGAGTTTGGCTCTGCGTGGAGGTGAGGCAGGTGTTTTGCACAACATAGCCACGAGCTGTAAACAATAGTCTCTTCTCTGTGGACATGTAGATGAGCCAGTCTAGTCCCCCCACTCCTGGGTCAGTTCCAGCTATTCAAATCCAGGAGCCACAGCTCGAGCTGACTATTCCCACCTTACACTGCGCCCACACTGACAGTCACCAGGACTCTGGCCTCCGGCTCTCCTGTTGAAGTATTTGGGGTACATCACTCTCTGGCTCCGTTGCAGAGAGTATAGCATCTATATTTGCAAGTAGCTATTTATTCTCCAGCATTCTGTTGTGGACTCCTGCTCCCTGCTCCCACAGTTCTCCCGAGGTAGAACCCTCCTTCCAGCACCCTGTTTGTTGTGGGGAGTTGGAGCTTGAGCTCGAGCACCAATGGCCCATGATTTAATCACTCAGCGTCAGTAATGAAGTCTCCATAAAAACTCAAAAGAGCAGGGTTTGGTGAGCTCCCAACTGGGGTTGGGGGGGTCTTCCAGGTGGGCTTCCTGGTTGGGGGGGCCAGCACTCTTGTACTGGACCCCAGCTTCTTAGATCAGAACCTCACCCTGTGTGTCTCTCAATTGGCTTAACTCATATCCCTGAATGCCCTTCGCCAGCACTGATCTAGTGAGTAGACAGGTTTCCTGATTTCTTTGATCCGCTCTAGCAATTTTACTGGGAGAGGAGATTGCGGGAACCTCTAATCTCTGGCCAGCCAGAAGCACAGCTAACAGCGTGTGCATGTGGCTGGCACCTGAAGAGGGGGGGCTCTTAGGAGAGTGAGCCCTTGTCCTGTGGAATCGGATACCCTCTCGGGGGAGAGTGTGAGCTGAGCTGCAGACACCTGGCTGCTGGGCGCTACCTGCTCTTGCCCTGGGGAAGCTCCCCCACCCTCAGGCTGGAGTTGGGTCCCGGGACCGTTCCCTCTATTTTAGTCCGCCTCGGACTCCCCTGGCCAACAGCCCCCACTTGGGCTCCCCTGAAGCCGCCCGGTGGGCTCTGCAGCCTCCCTCTCCCTGGGGGCTCTGCCAGCGCGGCTGAGCCCTTTGCCCGCGCCCAGTTGCGCCGGGGTCGGCTCGCGTCCTCCGGCGCCCGTTGGCACGCGCGCGCACACACCCACACACCCACACACACACACACACCCACACACCCACACACCCACACACCCACACACACACACACACACACACACACACACACACACGTCAGGATTCTTCCGAGCGAGGCTGACACGCCAGAAAGGCCTCCGCCCGGCCGCCTCGTCGCGGGGCCCAAGCCGAGCAGACGGGTCTCCCGCGGGCGCGCCTTCTCCTGCGCAGCGCTGGGCCGGCGCGGGGCCGAGCCCCGGGAATCCCGGGACCCCGAGGGCGGCCTGTGTGGACGGAGCCCCTGGCGGGGGGTTGGGGGGGAGGCGGGGCGCGGCCGCTCGGGGTGCCCCGCGCTGCTGAGACGGGCTCTTGGCCTCAAATTAAAGTCCACGCCGGCCACGCCTGGCCCTCTCGGTAGACGCTCAGCGGGGGACGGGCCGAGCGCGGGGTGCAGCCTGCGAGCCCCATCCCCCCTCGCCGCGCCCCGACCGAGGATCTGGCGCCTTTGGGGAAGGACTCGTTGCGGCCGCGGCCGCTGGGGGTGGGGGGGGCGGGGCGCGGGCCGGGCGCGGGGCTGCCCGAGGAGACGGCCGCGTTGGGGTGTCTGCGTGCGGGGTGTGCGGGGAGCGCAGGGGCTGGTGGCGGCCGAGAGGCTGAGAAGCGGGCGCCGGGGGCGGCCCGGGGGGCGCGGGGGGCGCGGGGAGGGGGCGCGGGCGCTGACAGCTGCGCGCACCTGCCCTGGTCTGCGCGGCCGGCGCTGCCGTGCGCGGGGCGGGTCGCCGCTCGTGCCCCGAGAGCAGAGCCGGGACTCTCTGCGGCCCCAGGCCCGCGGGGCAGAGAGGCCGCGGGGCGAGGGCGCCGGGCGGAGGGGCAGTGCCGGCGCCGGCGGGGGGACGCCCTTCCGAGGGGTCCGGGCCCCTGGCGCCCGCGCGCCCTCCTTGGCGCCCGCTCCGGGGTGACGGTTCCCCGCCCGGCCGCGGGGCGGGGGCGCGAGAGCCGGCGGGGGGCGGGGGCGCGAGAGCGGGCGGGGGCGGGCGGGGAGCGGGGGGGGGGCGCCTCTCCGTCGCCATGGCAGCGCGTCTCCGTCTCCGCGCGCCGCCGGGTCTCTCGGCGGCGGTTGGCGGAGGCCCCGTTGCCATGACGGCGTGGCTGCGGGCGCTGCCTCCCCGCCCCGCCCCCGGTCTCCATGGCGACCGAGCACGCGGCGGCGGGACCCACCCGCGGCAGCCGGGGTCGGCCGTGGGGCTCGCGGCGGGGGCGCGGCCATGTCGGACCTGGGCTCGGAGGAGCTGGAGGAGGAGGGAGAGAACGATCTCGGGGTGAGGCCCGGGCGGCGGGGCTTCCCGGGCGCGGGCGCGGGGGGCCGGGGCGCGCCCTGGGGCCCGGGGGCGGGGACCGCTGGCCGGCGACGCCCGCGCCTCCTCGCCGGGCTCCCCGCGGCCCGGCCCGGCCCGGCCCGCCCGCTACGGGCAGGACCTCCCGCCCGGGCGCCTCCGCGCCCCGCAGCCTCCCGGAGTGAGCGGGCGCCGCGGGGGGACGGCCGCCCCCCCCACCCCGCACCCCAGGCCCCCGAGGCGGGCGGCTCCCGTGAGGGCGCTCCTGGGGCCGGCGTCGCCCTCCCGGGCCGGCCCCCGGGCCCCCTGGCCATGCCCGTCTCGCCCAGGAGTACGAGGGGGAGCGCAACGAGGCGGGGGAGCGCCACGGGCGCGGGAAGGCCAGGCTGCCCAACGGGGACACCTACGAAGGGGACTACGCGCAGGGCAAGCGGCACGGCCAGGTGGGCCCGGCGGGGCCGGGGCGGGGGGGGGGGGTCCCCGCCGGGTGCCCTGCGCGGCGTGACGCGCGCGGCGTGTTTCAGGGCGTCTACAAATTTAAAAACGGCGCTCGGTACACCGGGGAGTACGTGATGAACAAGAAGCACGGCCAGGGCACCTTCATCTACCCCGACGGCTCGAGGTACGAAGGTAAAGTGTCACCACAGCCGCGCCGGGGCTCCGGGGGGCTGGAGGGGGCTGCGCCCCAGCAGGCCAGGAAGGGGGTTCTCAGGTGGCCCGTGGCGCCGCAACACTGTGTCCCGCGTGCAGACACGGGAGGGCCTTGCCCTGAGCCCACCGGCCCCGACATGAGCCCCGCCCGCCCTCCCACCCGGTGCGGCGCGTCCACCCCAGCTGCTGGCCGAGGCCCGGGAGGGGGCGGCACCCAGGCTTGGGACGCCCGCAGCGGGTCTCCGTGAAGCTGCGGTGGCGCTTTCCCACTCCTGACCCACGCCCCGAAGCTCGCCGGCCTCTGCCGCTGGCTCCTCCCCGGCCTCCGCGCAGGGGCCTGCTGGCCAGGGCCGCCCCTCCGGCCTCATGCCTGGTGCTCACGCTGCCTTCGGAAGGTGTGGATGCCTGTGTCCAGGCCCCTCCCAACGCTGCCCCTGGGTCCAGTGTCTCATCCCAAGGAGGACAGACAGGTGATTCGAACCTGGGGCGCGCACGAGCGGCAATGATGAGAAAGTGTAGGGTTAGGGCAGAAAGTCCTTTGTGAAGTTAAGTGCAAATCGAAAGCCTCCGTGACAAGTTTCTAAATGACTGCGTGACAGGCCCCGCCAGAGGAAACACACTCAAGGCTGCCGAGGGTCTGGTCCAGCGGCGCTTCCTCTCGGCTACGGTCTGGAGGTGCAGGGGCGGGGTTGGGGGGCAGGGATCACAAAGAGCACTTGCTGCCCAGTCTTCACCAACTTGGGGTCTAGTGCATTGTGTTGCCACACTGCCCTGAGGTCAGCTGTGTGCTGGGCACGGGAGGCTGTGATCCCTCGTCTGGATTTTGCTGGGAAGGGGCCGAAGACACAGGCTTCCGCCCGAGCTCCCTGTCCGCTGCCCAGGTCAGCTCGCACCAGCCAGTCTGTACCTACAGAACCAACACCCTTGGTGTTCCCAGCTGGACACTTAGGTGAAAATGGACTCGGGGGGATATTTATACCAGGGAATGTGACCCCCGCTACAGATCAGGCCGCTTCTTTGTGCCCCTCCAACTGTTAATTCCCCAGGACACCACTGCCCCCCGAATCCGGACCAGCCCTCTGAGGCCTCGCCCACGCTGCCTGTCCCGGGGCTGCGTTGGGCGGCAGCCCCAGGCGGTGCTCACTGTCCCTGGCTCACGCCACACGCCTCGTTGCTGCAACTGCCCCTTCCTTCTCTTTGTGACTTTTGGGCAAACCTGCCCTTTGCTGCCCTGCTGCCCACTGGCTGGAGGGCCACGCGCTGCTCTCCTGGAGCCTGAGTGCTGAGGCCCCCGTGTCTGTGCTGCCCCCCAGCGTGGGGCACGCTTCTCCAGTGCACCCCCAATACTTGAACAGCTGCTCCCCTCACTGCAGAGAGCGCTCAGGACGCCGTAGGGGTGATGGGGCAGCCGTGTAGGAAATCCTTGTAGATGAATGTTGGGGTGCAGTCACGTGAACACACACTTCTTGCACAATTATCGTGTCCTTACCATGCCGCGTGTTCCCTGTCTTCGTGAGAGGTGGATCCCGGTCTTTCGTGTAAGCAAGATGCTTCTGAGGGCTTGGGGGCCTCTCTCAGAAAACGAACACAACGGTGGCGTGTGGATTTTTATTGGTAGTGAGAAATCAAAATAAATAAAAAGCTTAAAAATACTACAAACGTCACACCATTCGAAGAGTGACAGGAAGGTTTAAAAGTGCCTGACGCCCCCAGCCGGCTCCCGCCTCTGCTCGCGCTGGTGGAATCCTCGCTGTTCCGTATCAATTTCACTTTCTGTAGAAAAAAGTCGTCTTTTGGAGGGGTCTCTTCGCGTCCATCGACAAATTGAAATCAGTTTTTCAAATGCTGGTCCAGAAAAGCGTCATTCAGCTTAACGTTACGCTCCTGGCAAGGCCGTGTGCATTTCGGGGAGTTGCTGACACTGGAAACTTCTGTTAAGCTCCTTCACGGGGGAGCTGCCAGACTTGAGGACACTTGAGTAGTTAAGGTGGGGCTCCGTCTTCAACCCCCTTTGCCGATGACATCCCTTGACTCGTTTGTGCCGCGGCGGGGGAGCTTGGCCGGTTTCTGGGCTTCCTGTCACGTCAGCGAGGAGCGAGCGGGCGGCGGCCCCGGGGAGAGCGGCAGGGCAGAGGCAGGCGCCACGCCGGCGGCGTCCACTCTTGCGGGGTGCTTGTGGCTGCCCGCGGGGAGGCTGGAGCCGGGGGCGCGGTGGGGAGGGGCAGGGCGCCGGCAGCGGTGGAGGAGAGACGCTCCCACCTGCAGGTGCGCTGCGTGCTGTGAGCCACGGAGAGACGCCGGCTTTGCGCGGGCTGCTGGCCGGGAGGCAGGAGGGTGCCCAGGACCTGAGAAAGGGAATGAGGTGGCGCGGGCTTTGGAGGCCGGGGCTGAGAGGAAAGGAATGACATTGATTGGCTCAGGGGCGGGTTGGGCACAGAAATGTGGACTTGGCTGAAGGTCTCTGGGGGTCATGAGGCCACGGGGTGGTTCTGACCTGGACATGTGTGCACCGGCTTCCCCCCAAATCACTGGCATTCAGGGCCCTCACCTCTGGGGGGCCCCTCCCCTGTGGTTGCACCTCCAGACACCAGACAGCACTGGGGCTCAGCTCACAGGCTCAGCTTGCACCGCGGTCGGCCCCCAGCTCTGCTGCAGCGAGTCTGCAAAGCCTCCGGGAGGCCCAGATACGTTTCCCTCGCGCTGAGGCCCGAGAGCAGTTTAACCATCTAACCTCAGCGACAGGACGGCTCCCCGCACCCCCGGCGAGACGAGTGTGGGAGCGAGGGGAGCCCAGCCACGGGGCAGCGGGCCCTGCTTTGAGTCCCGCCAACCCCGACCTGCTGTCCGCACTGCGACCGGGAGACCTGCACGCCAGGCCTGTCTGGCGAGCCCCCTCAGCCTCCCTCAGCCGCCCCTCCGGGTCACCTGCCCCAGAGGCGAGGACAAGGGGAGTTGGCCCCCCTCTTCTCAGCCATCTTCCTGTGCCCGCAGGAGAGTGGGCAGACGACTTCCGGCACGGCCAGGGCGTGTACTACTACGTCAACAACGACACCTACACGGGGGACTGGTTTGCCCACCAAAGGTGCGGCTTCGCGCCTCCCTCGAGGGATGCGGGGCGGGGCGGGGGTGCGGGCGAGGGTGGCACCCTCAGGCTCCCAATGGCGGCAGAAGCCACCAGCTCGCCCGGCCCAGCCTTGCACGGCCTGCAGGGAGTGTCCGGGTGACGCAGGCTCCCGCCCCCACTCGAACCAGCTGCCATGCAGGGCGGTTGCCGTCCAGCAGGTGATGCCCGTCTCAGGCTTGGGCATGGCCAGTGGGCACAGCCAGGGGGAGGCACGCTTTGACCGCGCACATCCCGGCGCCAAGCGCATGGCTCAGCACCCCCGGCTCGACTGTCTGTCTCACGGGCCTGGAGGGGCTTCGCTGTGGTGGGCAAACGCACCGCGCTTGTCTCGCACAGGCACGGGCAGGGCACCTACTTCTACGCGGAGACGGGCAGCAAGTATGTGGGCACCTGGGTGAATGGACAGCAGGAGGGCGCGGCCGAGCTCATCCACCTGAACCACAGGTACCAGGGCAAGTTCCTGAACAAAAATGTAAGTTTGCGGGAAGCAACCCTCGCCCCAGCCTGGCAGACGTGTGGGTGAACGTGCTGAGGACTCGGGGGCCCCCCATCCCATCTGACTCCGGGAGCAGGACGGCTCTGAGTCTCCTGGAGCCTCTCTGAGCCCACAGATGCCCCGGGGTGGCCTGGTTATCTGCATCTCGGTGGATCTCTCCTTCCAGCCATGTCCCCCAACTTGATGACCATGGGGGGTGGGGCTTCCTGACCCCCGTGCGCCGCCCCTCACGGCGACTTAGACGTAGACAAGAGACCGGCCACTCGCGTGGAGGGGAGGACAGAGGACCTTCTGAGCGAAGCGAAGGAAACGCCAGTAGCTTTAGGCCGGTGTAGACTAGAGAAGGTGTAGACAAGAGCGAGGGGGTCAGTGACAAGCGGGTTAGGGGAGCTGCAACGTGGCACAGATAAAGCACCAGGCCCAGTGGGGCAATGTTGCCGTCAGAGCCTCAGCGGCTGCTCGTGGCAACAACGTCACCATACCCGGCTGGCAGGTTCTGCGCCCTGCCGGCCGTACCCCTGGGTTTTTAAGTCTTGGCAGAACGCCAGGCTCACTACCCTGGAGAGACGCCTTGAGGCGCGACGCCCTGAGGGAGGCGCGGGTGTTAGGACCAGGGCTCAGAGGTGGTGACGCGGGGATGAGAATCTCGAGAGCCTCCTCTGGTTACCGTAGACGCGTGCCGTGCACACGCCCCACACACGCATGCTGCACACTCACACCGCACAACTGCGCGCGCACTGTGCGTGCTGACCAGACGAGGCAGCACATACGCTCTTACACGTGTGCAGTGTGCGCGTGGCGCCTGTGTGTGCGCGTGGCGCCTGTGTGTGCGCGTGGCGCCTGTGTGTGCGCGCGCCTGCACGTTTCCAGCATCTACTTCTAGCGTCCGGGGACATGTCCTGCGGGAGCACGTGATCTGACTAGAGTGCTGACGGCGCTTTGTCAGAGAGCGGCGCCCTGAATTCAAGCCTGGGAAATGCGTGACGCGGCCCACGGTTCGCCAGGGAGAGGAGGCCGGCCCTGCGGCGGGGGCGGCTGGTGCGGGCAGGCGCGGCCAGGCCTGTGCAAGCTGGGGCGGGTCGGCCGCGGGTCCGAGGCGCCTGAGCCTGCTAGTGGCGTCTGTCTCAGCCAGTTTGTCCTCGGGTGTGTGACTCGGGTGTCGGATTAAATAAGTTACTTTCATAGAGAAACAAAATGTAGCCGAGGGCCCTGCAGTCTTAGCCTGCAGCTCACAGGCGTTAGGTGGGGGTGACCCCACAGGGTTGGCGTGGGCTCTCTGGAGTCCGGTGAGGGTGACGGGGCGGGTTCTCTGGCACCTGGTGGGGGGGCCCCGCGGGGTTGGGGCGGGCTCTCTGGCTCATGCCGGCCCACGCTGAGGCGCCCGCCCCGCTGCAGCCCGTCGGCCCCGGGAAGTACGTGTTTGACATCGGGTGCGAGCAGCACGGCGAGTACCGCCTGACCGACGTGGTGAGTCGGGGCCCCGCTTCCTGACACGCAAGCTGGAGGCGCATGGGAGGCTCGGGGCCATGGCCAAGTGGGTCCCCTCGCTCACTCCAAACGTGACGTTGCCAAATGCCTGACTCTTGCTAAAAACAAGGCCCCTCCAAGGTGAAATATGTGGAATGTGAAAGTCTGACTGTTTGGGACGTGTCGGGCCTGGAGGCTGAGCTGGTCTGGGCCGTCCACCTGCTCTCGTTCCCCCCCACCCGGCCGTGTCCGGCCCTCGGCGCACACCCTGGAGAGCCCCTCGAGGGAGAGCTCAGCACCCCCCCCATGTGAAAGTCCCCCCGAGGGCGGGGGGGGGCTGGCTGATGACAGACCTCTCTAGGGGTGTGAACCCGACCCCCAAGTCGTATGCGATGCTGTCGGTCAGCGGTCCCTCGACCATAATCAGAGCAACACGCGCACCCCACGCCCGGTTTGCACACGTGACGTCTGACAACTTGAAACAGGAGCGGGGAGAAGAGGAGGAGGAGGAGGAGACGGTCGCCACCGTCCTCCCCAAGTGGAGGGCCACCAAGATCACCGAGCTGGCCCTGTGGACGCCCACCCTGCCCGAGGAGCAGGCCCCCGCCGAGGGCGCCGACCAGGAGGAGGGGCCCGCGGCCGAGGGTGGGTGTGGGGGGCGGCCCGGAGGGGGCTGCTGCCAGGGCGGGTGCTGGGGCGCGGGCTCCTGTGCAGGATGCTAGGGAGAGCCCCGGCGGATCCCTGGGGGCGGCAGGAGGGCGCGCGGCCCCTCAGCGGTCTTGGTGGGCCCCAGGGGACCCCTCTGGCCGGTCACCACTCCCGGGGCGGCAGAGGGGGTGAAGGGGCCTGGCGCCCTGCTCCAGCAGGCGCAGGGGCCTGGAGAGGGAGTGGGGTGGGGGAGGCTGGGCTGCCAGGCCCGGCGCTGACCTGCTGGAGAGGTGGCGGCCGCCCGGCCGGCTGGACCAGGCTCCCCGCCGGTCTCTGCTCTCCAGGCCCCGGCGGGCCCTCTGGGCGCCAGTGTGGGAGCCTCAGTGACAGCCCCTGCGGGGGGCGCGGGCGAGAGCGTCTCCCCCCGAGCCCGGGCGCTGGGCACAGGCTGCGGCCTGCAAGCCCGCTGTGCGCGCGAGCCCGGCAGGCGGGCGGGGGTGCAGGGCGGCGGGCACGGCGGGCGGGCGGGCCTGGAGAGGGGGCGCCCGGGAGCCTCAGCCCCGAGCCCTGCATCCCCGCAGGGGGCGCCGCGCCGGCGGAGGAGGCGCAGGGCCCGGGCGACCTCTCCGAGGCGGAGACCGAGTCCCTGAGGCCCGGGGAGGACGACGAGGCCCCCAAGGACGACGGTCGCTTCGACGGCCGCGAGGACCTGCGCGACGACGGCGCGGACCCCGGTGCGGACCCCGGGGCGGGGCGGGGCGGGGCGCGGGGCTCCCCTGCGGGCCCCCGGGACCCGCGCAGATGGGCGCGCGCTGCCCGCCTCCCCCCCACCCCAGACGGGCCTGCCCGGGGGCGGACACGGCCGCGCCCGCACCGACACGCGCCCCGCCGCTCCCGCAGGGAACCCCGGCTTCGACGAGGAGGAGGCCGGGCAGTGGGACACGCCCGAGTGACCGCGGCCGCCCCGCGCCCCCCGCGCGCCCTGCACCCCGCCCCGCGCCCCCCGCGCCCCGCCCCGCCCCGCCCCGCCCCGCCCCAGGCTGGCGAATAAACGGTCTTGCCGCAAACGCGTCGCCCCGTCCCGCCCGCAGGGCCGCGGCTCGGCCGGCAGAGGGCGCCCGCGGGTCGTCCCGGGCGGCCTTGGGGCTCCCCGCGCCCCGGCCGGGCCCCGCCCCCCGCCGCCCCCCCTCCCCCGCCGCCGAGGGGGCGGCCTCCCGCCTCTGCCCGGTGCCCGTGCGGCGTGCGGGGCGCCCCGCCGTGGGACCAGGCCCGCGCGCCCCCCGCCCCCCGCCGCGCCCCCCGCCCCCGCCGGAGCCGCGAGCGGGCGGGGAGCAGCGCGCGCTCCCCCAGGCCCGAGCGGCCGCAGCTGCCCTTGGCGCGGCTCTTTTCAGGCCATTTCAAAAAAACTTTGCACCCAAGAGCCGGGGCGCGGGCCGGAGGTGCGGGGCGACAGCACCCGCCGAGACGGGGGGCGGGGCAGGCGGACGGACGGACACTGCCGGGGGCGCCGGCGCAGGCAGGTCTGCTGCGCCCCGTGGGCAGCTCCCGGCCCAGCCGAGCTCAGGCCGCAGGGGGGCAGCCCGAGCCCGACCCCTGGGCCGCCAGGGGGGCCCGCGGGCCGCTCCCCAGCCTCTGTCCCCCGCATTCTGAGCGAAACAGACCGTCCCCTGACCGCGGGCTCCAGCGCGGCATCCAGCAACACAGACAGCCGCTTCAGGCCTTCGTGCCCAGCCCCGGCCCCTGCTGCCTTGGCCCTTGCAGAGGTGGCACCCCTGGCAGGTGTCCTCGCGCTCCGTCCTGCCCCGGCCAGGAGGGAGCGCTGGGGAGGCCTCGAGGGGATCAGCCCAGGACAGGGGCAGGAGGCCAGACGCCACCTCCAGGCCCGGCGGGCCGGCCGCAGCTTGGACTTTCGCGTCTTCCCAAGTCAGCGCCAGAGCGTCCTGCGGGCCACTGACCCACTGACCGGGCCGGCTCCTTGCCAGCTGCAGCCACCCGCGCCGCCCCCAGAGGCCGCAGACAGCCCCGAGGCCTCCAGCTCCGTCCTGCTCTGGGCTCTAGGTTTGCGGGGCGGACGAGGGCAGCGCTTGGCCGGCCAGACCTCTGCTGCCCTCCCCTCCTGCGGGTCCTGCTGGGCCCAGGGCTTCCCACCCCAGCTGAGACGCGTCTGCCCTGAACGAGGAGCAGCTGGTGCGGTTTCTGTCAATAGGCCGAGGGGCACCGGCCACGCTTGGCTCACCAGCGGCACCTGAGGGCCGGCGGTCTCGAGACTCCTGTGCCCCGGCTCCCGGGAGCCTGGGCGTCCTCCCACGTGGGCGGCTGCTCTGCGGGCTGGGGCTGTGGTGTCAGAGATCACCTGCGGCGGTGGGGCTGGGAGGGCTGCACCCCCACCCTGTGACCCCACCCCTCCCGGGCAGACCACCCACACTGCAGCTGCTTGACCGGCAGGCCCGAGGCGTGGAGTGGGCTGGGGGCGCAGGCCTGGCTCTGGCTGCTCTGCATGGTCAGGGGTTCGGGGGCCCCACTCCTGGGCTGCTCAGGGTGCCAGGCTCTCGCTGAGCCCAGTGGCAGTGGCTGGGGAGGTACCTCGCCCGGTGACAGAGGGCGGCAACTTTCCTCAAATTTGAGAAGATGCCCCCACTGGCTGGACCAGCCTCTTCAGCATCAGAGGCTCTGCTGCAGGGCCACCTGGCAGCCCCCCGTTTTGCTCCTGTGAATTGGGGCAGCAGCAGTGGCTGTGTCTGCAAAGGCCCCTGCTCCATCCGTGATTAAGAGACACCGGAGAAGCCACAAAAGACCTGTGCCGGGCGCTCTCAAGCCTGTGCACCTGTCCCTCTACCCGCGGCTTGGAAGGACTTGGGTGAGGGGCAGAGGGTGACCTCTGCAGCCCAATCCCCCGACTTGTGACCGTGGCCCCACATGCAAAGGGCCTCCCTGCAGGTGCGTCTGCATTGATGGGGAGCGCCTGCGCCCCGCACCATCCCCGTGGAGGCAGAGGGCGGAGAGCCCTAGCAAGGAGGGGTGGAGACACGCACTGCCCTGTGGGAGGCAGGGAGGCGGGCAGCTGTGCTCCCCTTGGGCCCCGGAGGCACGGAGCCTGCAGACTCTTTCCCAAGGGCTCCCCTCCGGACAGTACAGCACGTGTGTGCGGAGAATGCGTCTTGGTCACGATCGCTCCGTCGCAGCAGCAAGGAGGCCGCACGGGCATGGACACGGTGCAGGGCCCGGCCTCTGCAGGGAGGTGATTTGCTGGTGGCCGGGTGACCACGGCAGCGCTTGGGCCTGTGCGTGCAGAGCCGGAAGCCACGGATGGACGGAGCAGACGGGGCGGACGTGTGTACTTGAGCAAGAACAGGAGTGCAAAGTGGACAGACACCGTGGGGTGTGTGGTGGGTCTTTAATTCCTGCAAACGAAGTCCGGCTCCGCACGTCCCTGCGGGCCCCTCGGCGTCCACCTGCACCGGGAGGCCCTGCCCAGCCGCCACCGCACTGCAGCCGGGCTTTGCCCAGCCCCGTGGCCTCAAAGGGGCCTTTCGGGAACAGGAAAGTGCGCTCTGTGCTCCTCCAGGTCACGCAAGGCCAGCCCAGACGCCGTGGACAGAGCTGCCTCTTGCAGCCTCCGCGACAGCGTCCGCCGGCCCCTGGCAGGACTCAGGGCCCCGGGATCCAGTCCCTCCAGTTAAACGCGGAGTTGGCGCCGTGGGTCAGCGTCTTCACGGGGGGCGTCGCCAGCTCCCACCTCCCGTTCTCCTTGTTTTCTTCACAGAAGCACATCCCCAGCGATGGGATCTAGAACAAAGCACACGGGGGCTCAGAACAGACCGGCGTGGGCTCTGGGGCACAGGCCGAGGGGATCGAGAACACACGGCACAGGGATCCGGAGCACGAGACGAGGGCATCCGGAACGTAACAAGAGGGACCTAGAACGTAACGTGCCGCCGGGATCTAGAGCACAGGCCGAGGGAAGCCGGGACGGAACTCAGAGGGCGTCTAGAGCGTGACATGGCGTCGGGCTCTGGGGCACAAGGCGTTTCGTTCCCGGTCCGTTCATGGGAGAAGCTGACCGGCAGGCGTCTCTGCCCCCTGGCTGGTGCTGCTGCCCTCACTGCAAAAGCTGCAGTTCCCAATGGGGCATCCCCTCCCACTGCCTCCTCCCACCCCTGTGCCCACGAGACAATGCCTGAGACCCTGACGCCACCACTGGGGTACCAGCCTACAGTGCGTGGGGTGGCTCCACAGCAGGGCACTTGACGCCCCAGATGCTAACGGGCCTCGCCGAGAGCCCCCGGGCGCCCGGGAGAGGCTGACGTCCCGGAATCTGGCATCACACAACGATGCAGGGGCTGGGGTGTCAGACCCAAGGGGGGCGCTGACGGGGGCTGCCGGCCTCGCTTCCTCCACCTGTGGAGTTGGGGTGCTGGAGGCCCTCGTCTGTACGGCTTTACGTGCGTGTCTGCTCCCCTTGTCGTCCCTTCTTTCTAGTGTCTAGAAATTTCTCGGGCAGATGAAATTTGCAAAAATTCCAACATGCAGGGGGTGCAGGTGCGGGGGGGCCCGACTCGGCAGTTCCCTCCTGCGCAGGAAGATGCGCACGGATGCGAGGGAAGACGGCTGGGGGGGGCGTCTGTGCCCCATACATGGCGCTGGACACTGGCTTCCGCTCCCGCCGGCCGCCTGACTTGGTGACCCGGGGGGCAGTGGGGCGCACCTTCCTCACGAGCTGGGTGAAGTCTCCGCACTCCCGGGGGGGCAGTCCGAGCAGGGGCCGCGTGCAGGAGTCCAGCGCCGAGCCGTGGGCCACGATGAGGATGACGCCGCCCGCTGCAGCGGAAAGAACACCAAGGTCAAGGCAGGCGCGGAGAGGCCGTGAGATGGGGGCGGGGATCCCCACTGCTGGGGCGGGACCAGCGGGCTTGGGCGCCCGGGTCAGAGCCGGCGGGTGTCAGGCTCAGTGATGCTCACAGCGCCACTCCCCCAGCCTCGGGGCGCAGCAGATGGCACACTCGGGGGCCTGGGGGTGGCAGCGCAGGCCGCGAGCTTCAGAGAGGGGGTCACCCTTGAGCTGAGCCCCAACCCGCAACGCCGGTGGAGGCTGCCCTTGCCGGCTGCATTAACGTGAGGACCATCGTGGCTCGCTGACGCCCAGGGGCATCCCAGGACCGTGGGGTCGCGGGTGCCTGGAGGCGGGCAGCCAAGCTGGGGGTCAGGCGTGGGGCTGACGGCCAGTCCTCAAGCTGACTTAGGTTTTTGTCAGGTTGACAGAGACGGGCCTCCTCGGCAGGGTTACGGCCACCCCGGCCCGCTCCAGAGCGCGCCTCAGACCCCATCTACAGTGAGAAGGGCTTTTCCTGCCCCCCAACCCGACCTGCCCTGTGCCTTTGCGCCCCCAGCCCCAGCGCCCTCACAACGGTTAGCAGAGTCCACTAGTCACGTTTCGCTTTGTCAAAGTGTCCTTCGGAAGCATCCAGTGTCTGCCTTGTCCTGACTTGCTCGACTGCGTGGTCCCCCGAGTTTCCTCCCCTTCCCATGAGTGGCAGCATCTCATCTTTCCTTCGGCTGGTCAGCACCCCACGGCAGGGAGGGACCCCTCGTCCTGACCCCTTGTCCACTGACGCGGCTGTCTCGGCCCTGGCCGCTGCGGGCCTCGCCGGGCCTCCGCTCTGACATAACCGCCGGTCACCCCAGGCCGCGCCAATTTCACGCATTTCTTAACTCCCACGCCCCACGTTCCAGGTCCTCTACCGGCCTCCAGGCTGCTCAGGCGGGGCTGTGGTGGGCCCGGCTCTCGGCTCTGTCCCCCGGAAGGGGCGCAGGTGGCGTGTGTCCTGGTCCCACCCGCTCTCGGCCTGGATCTGGCCCCGGGCGGGCGGTGGGGGGAAGGCCTGGTCTCCGCAGTCCCGGGGGCTGTGGCAGGCAGTGGGGGGAGGGGCCCCCTGTGCCCAGCGCCGCCGTGGGCCTGCCCGCGTCCCAAGGCCGGCGGCACTCACCGTCTGCCGGGCAGGAGCTCACGATGCGCCGCATGCTCACTGCGCACCGGTCCACGTACTCCTCATAGCTCTCGGCCGGCAGGAGGGACGAGAGGGGCAGCGCGGGCCTGGAGGAGGACAGGGGAGTGGCCGCCCCGCCTGCGTGGCTGGCAGGGCTCACGGGCCGGGCAAGACTCTGGCCCATGCTCCGAGCACCCCTTCCAGCAGGCACGGCACCAGGAGCTGCTGGAACCCCAAGACTCACCCCAACGCCAGAGCCCCGGCGGCTGAAGTCCCCAAAGATACAGACCCCAACGATCACAGTCCTGAGGTGCGCACACCCTGACCAAAGGCCCCCAAGCCTCTGGGCTAAGAGGGTGCAGCGTCGCCTTGGGGGGTGGGGGGAAGGGAGGGCTGGGGTAGAGGGCGTCAGAGAGATGGTTCTGGCCAGATGCTGCATGAGAGGGTCTTCCTCCCACTTCACCCTCTGGCCAGGCCCCACACTAGGCCACGGGGGAGAGACCCAAGCCACTGCCCCTCCCTGGAGGCCGCAGGAACCGGGTGGGCCTCACGGGAAGGGGAGCGGCGACAGGAGGGTCTGGTCCATGTTGCGGCATCACATGGGCTCCCCGTGACCCCGGGCTTTCCAGGGGACACCTCTGAGCTCTGCCGCTGCCCTCCCTGCCCCAGGGAACACGCCCTTCAAAAGGAAACCCCGGTGAGAATTGGGGGTCGTGTCTTTTGTGTATATTTTCAGGGCTTGGCTCTTTCAGGATTTCGTGCTTAGGGGCCTGTAGGTCAAGATGCTGGGGTTGGGGTGATGTCTTCAGGACCGTGACCCAGCCCCGTCCTGGCTGAACCCCAGAAAGGCTTTGTGGCGAGAAGGATTCGGGGTGGGGGAGAGAAGGACAGACGCTGCTCGGGCCCTGCGGGCCATCCTGGTGGAGTCGGGTTTGGCAGGAGTCCTGCGAAGTCAGCTCCGCCGGTGCCCCGCCCCCACCCGTGTGAAGGGGCAGCTCCTGGCCCTGGCCAGCCCTCAGCAGGGGCCTACTGGTCACTTCAGACAGAACCACCTGCCTGCCTCTGCTTCCCGGCCGCAGAACCGCTCTCCCCGCCGTGGCCGTGCACCCTGAGCGTGGCTACCCACCCGGGGTGCGGGAGGGACGCCCCGTGACGCGCCCAGCCCGGCCGCCGCGCCCACCTGTACTCGGTGCTGACGTTGAAGCCGGCTTCCTTCAGCTCCTCGGGGGTCATGAGGGCCGGGGCCGTTCTGCCGGCCTCCCACTTGGTCCACTCGAAGAGCCCGGGCTCCACCCGGATCTTCATTTTCTTCTCCAGCCTGAGCTCTGCGGGCGCCAGCACGTCGGCATGTTCAGGGGCCGCCAGGTTTCCCGGACAGACGCCCCTCCAGGGTGCGGGGAACATGTCCCGGGCACTGGGCCTCCGGGGCCAGCATCGCTCCGTGAGGGCTCAGTTGTGCCGTTTCAGAGACAAGGCCCCTGCCCGTCCCCAGGAGCAGGAGGGGCCCCTGCAGCAGCTCCCCAGCCCCCCAACCCAGAGCGGCGCCTCCTGGGTTCCTGGAGTCCCCTCCCCGAGTGTGTGTTTTGTTTCTTTACAAAGCGCACAGCAGAGCAGGCGAGGCGGACGGTGACACAGGCCTCCGGCTGCCCCCCCAAACACCGCCCGTCCGCTCGAGAGGCTGGAGGGCCTCCCTGACGACTCAGGACTGGACGGGGCGTTTGTTACCACCCTCCCAGCCGCCGGCTTCCCTTGCCTCACGAATAGCCCAGAGCCCGTGGGCACCTCACCCACCTTCCAGGATGTGCGTGGCTGTCTGCACGCAGCGGAGGGCCGGGGAGGAGAAGACCGAGGCGATCTGGACACCGCTGTCCAGCAGCGCCTCCCCTGCGGAGAGCAGACGGGGCGTGTCTCCACAACGGCGGCCTCTGTGTGGCCACGGACTGCCTGGGACGGCCAGGATCTGTGGTGTCCCCAAGAGCCCCTCGGGTGCACGCCTGTAGGATCGCCTGAGTGGGGGGACCAGCCACCAGGAGGAGCCAGCACCCCCACTTGGCACCCCCCAGAGCAGGTGCTCTGGCTCAGCGAGCCAGTAAAAGCAGAGGTTTTTTTCTGTCCAGTCACAGGAGAGGACAGAGGCTCAGAGGACAGAGACTGGCCGTGCCGGAATTCCCGGTGCTGGACCCCAGCTGCGGGGCGGCAGGCTGCACTCCCCTGAGCCGGCCAGCACCCACGTCGGGGGTCCCCCCGCAGCCCCGACAGTTGCCCAGTAAACGCTGACCCCGCGCGGGAGGCAGGAGGGCCGGCTGTGAGCGAGGGAGCCTGGGCTCCAGCTTCTGCACTCATAGACCGAAGGCCGCGCACCCTAGTGACCTCTGTGCTCCCAAAGCCAATCACGGGGAGCCGGAATCTCAGACATTGAACAAAAACCCAAAGTGACAAATTTTGACATAAAATCAAAGGCAGGATGTGGTTTTTTGTTTTCTAAGTGACTTCCCCGGTGCAGGCCGTGGTCACCGGCTCTCCCTCCCCGGCCACCGCCCCAGGCTGCCGTTGTCCCCGCTGGCCCGCCGGCCCAGGGCAAGCCCCGCCATGCGGTGCCAGGACTCGGGGTGCCGCCCCCTCTCGCGCCCCTCAACCGGCGCCCCCCCGCGCACTCACCCGCCGTCCTGGACTGGAACACCCCGCACGACGACAGCGGCGGGTCGCTCTCGAAGTCCTTGGTGCCGCCGGCGCGCCGGGGCAGGCCGGCCGGGAAGTTCAGGTCCGGCCGGTGGTACTTCCCTGGGGGGCGGTGCCTTCAGTCCCGCTGCGCTGGCCCCCCAGGACCTGCCCGAGGACACCTGGGCCTTCCTCTGCACCCCGGGAGCCGGTTGGGGGCAGCCTGGCAACGCGGCCAGGAGCCAGCGGCCCCGGTCCTGTCCGAACCCCCACGTAGCCCTCGCCTCCTTCCTGCACCGACTGAGTCAATCCCGGCCGGACTGGTCGGCGCTGATCACCCGGGCACGCACGCACCGTCTACACACCCCACTCCGCACGCACGCACCGTCTACATGCCCCACTCCGCACGCACGCACCGTCTACATGCCCCACTCCGCACGCACGCACCGTCTACACTCCCCATTCCCCAAGCATGCACCGTCTACACGCCCCACTCCGCACGCACGCACCGTCTACACGCCCCACTCCACAAGCATGCACCGTCTACACGCCCCACTCCACACGCACGCACCGTCTACACGCCCCACTCCACACGCACGCACCGTCTACACGCCCCACTCCGCACGCACGCACCGTCTACACGCCCCACTCCGCACGCACGCACCGTCTACACGCCCCACTCCGCACGCACGCACCGTCTACAAGCCCCACTCCGCACGCATGCACCGTCTACACTCCCCACTCCGCACGCATGCACCATCTACACTCCCCACTCCCCACGCATGCACCGTCTACACGCCCCACTCCACACGCATACACCGCCTACACTCCCCACCCCACACACATGCACTGTCTACACGCCCCACTCTGCATGCACACACCGTCTACATGCCCCACTCTGCACACATGCACCGTCTACACGCCCCACTCCAGCACTGCACACGCAGTCGCTCCACGGGAGGCCCGGGGAGGAGAGGACCCGGGAGGGGAGGCCCAGGGAGGGGAGCCCCGGGGCTGGCCGCGCCCCTGCCCGGCCTACCGTCGGCGGTGGAGCTCTGTTGCAGCCAGGCCTTCCCGAAGACCTGGTCCACGCGCTCGCCGTGGCGCACCACCAGCACGCTCCTCCTCGCGATCGAGTCCTGGGGGGCGGGTGGAGACTGCACTGTGAGCCCATCTGGCGCCCTCACCGGCCGCAGGGAGCCCCTCCCTGCTCACGGGGACCTGGCGCCCTGACGCCTGCCGCTTTCCAGCCGCCACCACTGTGCCAGGATGCGGGGGTGCACAGCAGCAGCCCAGGGCTCTGCACCCCTGCGCTTCCCTGGCCCCGGGGCTGGGTCCACCTGTGGCTGCCACAGACCCCGCAGCCGGCCGATGGGCGGCCCACGTCCAGGGCTCCTGGAACAGCGTGGTCTGGCCAGGTCCCTCCCTGCGTCTCGCTGGGCCTCAGGGCGGAGGGGCTGGGGTCGTGGGGAGGCCCCTTGTACCAGGACGTGGCCCTGTGGCGGAGGGCGGGCACCTGCTCACCCCCCTCTCGCAGCGGTCACTTAGGGGCTGGCGTTTGAGCAGCGCGTTTGCGGGCAGCACCAGAAATCTAGACGTCACGATGCCCTCTATGGTGACATCCTAGGACTTACACCCACTTCATCCATGTGGCCTGTGCCCCTGGGAGTGTGTGGGCTCCCTGTGCAGACATGCCACCGTTCCCCCAGGCGCAGGGGGTGCCTGGCGAGGACACAAGCTGAGGGCCCTGGGCCCCCCCTGGGGAGCTCCAGATCTCCCTGGGTGGCTGGCGGGGCACACTGGGAAGGGAAGTCACGATGGAAGGTGGGAGGGCCGAGCAGACAGTGTGGCCTGGGGGCTGCAAGGGCCTGGAGCTTGTGTGTGCAGGAGTCAAGGTCAGCAGGATGGACAGGCCAAGATCATTAGAATGGATGGGTCAAGGTCACCAGAATGCACGAACCGAGGTCACTAGGATGGATGGATGGATGGACCAAGGTCACTAGGATGGACGGACCAAAGTTACTAGGATAGACAGGCCAAGGTCATCAGTATGGATAGGCCAAGGTCACTAGGATGGACAGGCCAAGGTCATCAGTATGGACAGGCCAAGGTCACTAGGAGGGACAGGCCAAGGTCATCAGGATGGATGGGCCAAGATCACCAGGGCCAGCTGGACTGGGCAGCGTCCAGGCAGGAGGCAGCTCTGGCCTGTGCTCTGCTTTTCCCTGTCCAGCTCCTTTTGCTCAGGGTGAGGTTTTGGGGTGGGAATGGGAGTGCTGGGTCACTTTACTGCTGCTCAGGGTAAGCAGGGGCACGAGCCTCATGCGCCAACCCCGACCTCCCTGTGCAGGGGAGCACGCAGCCCGTCCCCTCCACCTCGGGTCAGCCCTCGTCTGAAACCCGAAACGCTGACAGCCCTATTGGGGCGTGGCTCCCTGCAAGGGGCAGAGTCTTTGCTCACTCCCTGGGAGCCTGGTCCCCAGCGGGGTCCCTGCGGTGGAGGGAGGTAGAATGCCCAAGAAGGGGAGCCCCGAGGGTGGGTGGGCAGGCCCCGCCTGCCCCAGGCCCTCTTGGGGTCACTTAGCAGGGCCCATCACCTGCGGAACCTGCGGGCTGCTCCTGGGCGCCGGGGGAGGATGGGGCTCCCCGTTGCGTCGGCTGCTGGCTTCCCCGTCCTTTTTGGGGTTCAGGTCCAGGGCGAGGTTGAAGGTGTAGGTCCTGTGGAAGGAGAAAAGAGGTGCTGACCTCTGAGGCCACAGCCTCTGTCTGCACTGGGGGGCCCTCAGGAGGGGCTGAGTCGGGGGGGCCGCGGGGGTGGGTTGGGCTCAGCGTGGCGCAGGACAGACTGTTATGTCACGATTGCTGGGGCCACTGGTCACGGCTGGGCGGGGTCCCCTTACAATGCCGAGTCCTAACCCCTGGCCCCTCCAAATGGGGCCGTATTTGGGGTGATCAAGTTACGCAAAGTTATGGGGTGGCCTTGACCCACCAGGGCGGGATCCCAAGGAGATGAAGGCGCAGGGCCCAGACTCCCAGGGGTGCCCCGCGAGGGCCGGGGGTCACATCTGCGCACCCGGGGGAGAGGCCTGGGGTGGCCGTCCAGGATGCCTGGACCTGAGCCCTGTGGCCCCGGGACAGGGAGACCCTGTCCTGTTGGAACCCCCAAGCCTGTGGTGTCTTGTTCCAGAGCCTGCGCCAAGCACCAACGCTGTCGTAACGGCCGAGCATGGGGGTGGCTGGGGCTGGGGTGCAGGCGTGAATGGGCAGTGACAGACACGTTGGGGGGCACAGGGGTGGGGGTGCGTCTGGTGGGGAGTGGGGAAGCGGCACTGGGGCTGTGGCACCGAGGAGGCGGCGGCCTGTGCGGGGAGGGGCCGCGGGGCGAGTGTACGGGGTGTGTGTGTGAGGGGTGTGTCCAGGGAGGGACACGGGGCACATATGAAGAGCCGGGGTCACACGGGCCCTCCTGGAGCCCCATCTCGAGCCCCTGTAAAGTCGCCCCTCACCCTCTCACCCTGCTCGTAGGGCCGTGGGCGCCCTGTGCCTGGGATGCGCGGAGTCTTGTGCTCCCCTCACTGAGTCATCACGGCTGGAGATAAGCCCGTCGTGTTCCTTCCGCCGCGTCTGCCCTCCGAGGCCCTCCCGGCCCGGGCTCGGGACGATGGCCGCCCCCGGCTGTCCAGCAGGCGGTGTCCGGCTTCTGTTCCGCCGCTGCCTCTGCCGGGCGCTGACCCGCGCGTGGCCGGGGGCGCCGTGTTCTTTCCTGCCCACTTCCCCGTTTCCCACGCGGCCCGTGGCTCCGGCCCCAGGGGCCCTGCGGCTCCCTCCCCGCCCGCCCCGGGGGCGCCGCCTGGCCATCCCCGCCCTCGCGGCTCCCGCGTCCGCCGGGGCGACCGTCTCCTCCCGGTATCTTTATGTTTCGATGTTTTCTCAGTTCTCTCCTGCTCGTCCTTCCGCCTCAACTCTGCAGCCCCTCAGAGACCTTCCAGGGGAACGCTCCCACGGGGCCGGCCGGCCTCTGGCCCTGCAGAGGCCCCGGGAGTGGTTATTTCGTCGCCATCGAGTCTCCTCATCGTCGCGCTGGGTTTCTGTCTGCTCTGCTTGTCTGTAAACGTTTGCCGCCCCTCACCGAGGCCTCCAGTCCCCAGACCTCATCAAGCCCATGCCAGCCCGCGCCCCCAGAGCCCCTGAGCCCCGCAGCTGCTGCCCGCTCACCCCGCACCGCCAGACCCTGGGGACCCCACAGCCTGCAGGCCGCACCCCTTGCGTGACTGCCCTGTCTGACGCCCTGGGGCTCACACGACTTTGTCCCCGGATCTCAGGGTGTCAGAGGGTGCACAGGGAGCGCGGGCTCGGGCTACTGCCGTGGACGGAGGGCACGGGTGACGCTGCTCTGAGGCGCCGACGCCCTCTCCACAGGCCACGTCGGCGAGCCCGCAGCCTGCACGACACAGGAAGGTGCTGGTTTCCCCTTCCGGGGGCGAGGCGGGCACCGCCCCTCTGCGGCTCGCGGGGGCAGCAGGGCCTCGTATCTACAAATTCCATCTGTGAAGCCGCCGGAGGAGAGGAAGGCTGGCTCAGCGCTGCCGACGGAACGCAGCCAGACGTGGTGGGGACGCCAGCAAGGGGCGGAGAGGACTGGACACCCGTTTTCATGTTTCTGCCTCTCCCTGGGACAGGAGAGCCGCTCCTGGCTGGGCCTGGCCACACAGGTGGACACCTTGAAATTGTCCTGGCTTTTCACAGGGCGTGGCTCATCCGGGGTCGAGGGAGCTCGACCAGCTCCACGGCAGACGCTGGCCCGCATCTGGCTCCCCAGGCCTCTCCCCGGGTGCCCGGGCGCGTGCTCTCCCCCGTCCTCTAGCGGTGTCCCCGGGAGTCTGTGTCCATCTCCACCTGCCGTCCCGTTCTGAGGTGTTGGGCGTCAGGGCTCCAACGTATGGATTTTGGGGAACCCAGTTCCGTCCCTGGGAGTCACGTCGCTGCATCTGAGCTGCTTGCTCCTAGCTTGCTCCGTGGTTCTGGAAACTGGCCGGCAGGTGTGGACGGCTGCGGTGTGGAGGCGCCCCGTGCTGGCTGGAGGACGCTGACTGCCCCCAGGCCCACCTCCACGACTCTGGCCCCATCTCTCCTGTGCCACGTGCGTGTTTCTCTGTGGAGGATGGGAACTCTAGGGGTTCACAAATGCACCCCTCCAGCCTGTCACCCCGACCCCCACGTTCTTCAAGGTGGTGCTGGAGAGTGGATTTTGTTGTCAAGTTGATCTAGAAGCTCCTGGAACCCCTGGCGTCCAGGCTGAGTTGTTCTGGGGTCCGCTCACATGAGCCCCACGGCAGGTGGGGCACCCTCCCGGAGCACTTGCTGCCTCTCCTCGCGCCCCTCAGGCCAGCGGTCCCTGCTGCTGGGGTGGTAGCGCCCGGCCTGATCTGGCACCTGACATCGCCCAAGGCAGTTCCCTGCGATGAATCCGTGTGCACGGGCATGCGTGTGGGTGTGACGCAGGCACACACCAACATACACCCCACAGAACGTGCAACACAACGTAGTTACGGTACTAACACGGTTACTGTTGAGCTCACCTGTGTACTGTGTGTGTGTGAGTGTGAGTGTGAAAACTAAAAATGATTGGTCCCACTTGTCTGGTTCAGTCTTTACAGATAGTAAATTTGGGGCCAGAGTAGGGGTGCCTCTGTAACAAGCACCGCAGACATGGCTCTGGATTTGGGGTCCTCTAGTGGGGCAGGAAGCAGCGAGCCACCAGCTCTATGGCCACAAGGAAATGGATTCTGTGAGCTTGGGAGGGACCCCGAGCCTGAGACCAGTCGCCAGCCCCGGCCGGATCCTGGCTGCAGCCCCAGGAGGCCCAAGCAGAGGACACAGCGATGCCCCGTCCTGACCCCGGAGCTAAGGTTGCGCATAGCCTTAGCTGTTCAGGTCAAGGTCGTGTGTCACATAATTGATGATCTGGATTTTACACCTGCGCTCGGCCGGGGGGTCACGAGGACCCTCACCTGCACTCAGCGGGGGCTTGTGGGGGACCCTCACCTGTGCTTGACCCAGGTGTCGCACTCGCTGACGCGCTCGGTGTAGTTCTCGGGCAGGAAGCCCCGGCAGCCGGTCTGCCGCGAGGTCCCGATCACCCAGCCCTCGCTGGCCTCCTCCTGCTGCGTGGGGTCCACAAAGATGAAGTCGCTGGGGCTGAGCGCCAGCTCGTCCACGTTCTGGGGCTGGTACTGGAACAGGACCTTCAGGGTCTGCGGAAGAGGCGCGTGTGTTCAGGAGTCCGCGCGCGACCGTGGAGAGCCACAGCCGGGGTCCCACCCCCCCCATGCCCTGCCCTTCCCCCCCACCCCCCGCGCCCACCCCGCGCTCACCTGGTAGTGCACAAAGCGCATGTCCCGGGAGTACAGCGCCGCCGTCCACTGGCAGCTGAGGCCGGGGTGGATGGCCCTGGCCAGCTGCTCCAGCGTCCGCTGGTGGTGGGGGTAGAACTTGTGGGCCAGGGTCAGGTGCAGCTGCTTGGAGCAAGGCTTCACCGTGCAGTCTGCGGGACCAGGGACGGGCGGGTGAGCCCCGCCCCCACCCCCGCCCAGCCACCTTGCCCCCACACCAGGCCCCCCCCGGTGGCGCCCGCGGCAGAGCTCAGCCCGCAGGGGAGATGGTGCGGGCGGCACGGCAGTGGGCGAGCTGAGGGTGTGGGGTGTGGCCTGGCGTGCTCGGAGCCCACCGATTTGTAAACTCGTTGGAAAAACAGTTGATCGGCATGATTGGGGGACGGTTCCTTCCCTGGGCTGCTCATTACTCAGCGGCGGGACCGAGGCTCAGACCTCCGTGGGCAGCTCTGTGTTCAGCTGCCCCTGAGTCTCGGGGAGACACACCCTGGGCAGCCACCCTGTGAGCCCCCGGCTCTGCACTGCCGCCGGCGCTGGTGACTTGGGAAGCCTTCGAGTGCCCCCCATCTTTTGGGGCCTCGTGTACCAGCCCTCCTGGCCTCCTCCCAGGGTCCTCAGGCCAGCGGGCAGGATCCGACTGCCCTGGACCCCGGGCCGTTTCTGCTTGAGTTCGCTGTTTCGACCGGAATAGCTCAGATTGGGGGTTTGCCGGGCAGGCAACAGACCCAGCTGTCCCTGGGGTTGGGGGGGTGACTCAATACCTGAGGCCCCGGCCGCAGCGGGGCTGCTGGGGGAGTGGTGTCCAGACCCCAGCCAGGAGCCCGCCAGCAGCACCAGTGCCCGGCCCTTCCTGGCTGCTCCCCCAGGAGCCACCGTGCCCCCATGCAGAGATGCGTGGGCCACACTTCCTGGGCCCGGCCCCTCCTGCCCGGCGGCCTGCCCCGAGCCTGCTCGGAGCCATCAGCAGCCGACAGCACCCCCACCGCGTGTGGGGGAGAAGCCGAGAAGTGTGGGCGGCGGGGAATTCCTTCTGGTACTGGTTTCAGTGGGGAGGCGGCCTGCGCGAGTCAGCATGGACGCCAGGACGGAGCCCTGGTCTTCTAACTCCGCGTCCCCAGGGGAGCGCGTCTCGCACCAGAGGGACCCAGCTTTCCCGAGCCAGCTGGCCCCTCCCAGCCCCCAGGGTCAGGCCCACACGCAGCGGGGGGCTTGGCCCCCTAGGTTGGTGGGGGACAGCGCTGTTCTCTGATACCCTGGCGGTCTGGAGCAGGACAGTTCCCGTCCTGCCTGGCGGGGAAGGGCCTGGGGCGTCTGGGTGGCCTCAGCATGGCCACAGACGGGTTGGCCTAAAACAACAGAGGAGTCTGCTCTCGCAGCTGGGGGCAGGGGCCGAGGTCCAGGGGTGGGGGCCGAGCTCCCTCCGGAGGCCCCAGGCAGGGCCCCACCTGCCTTTCCCAGCTCCTGGGGCTCCTGGCCACGGCCGTGTCCCTGCAGCTGGCCTCTGCCTCACACGGCCCCTCTGTGTCTCCGTGTCCTCCACTTACTAGGACACAGCCACCGCGTTCAGGGAGCACCCCACTCTGGTGTGACCTCGTCTTAACTAATTACAACCAGGCCCTCTGCCAAGGCTGTGGGTAGACAGGGGCATCGGGGCCCCACAGCCCTGACCCTGGGCGAGGCCCTTCCCTGGACGGCCTTGTTCCACCCACTTTTAAAGTGGACGGTGAGGCCCCTCTCGGGGGTGTGGAGCATGAGCAAGGCGCCGTGTCTGCGTGAGGTGGCCTGGAGTGGGACAGTTGGCCATGCAGCTCTAGTCCCAGCATGGGGTGACTGGGCCCAGATGGGGGGGTCAGGATCATGGGCCCAGTACGTGGCTGAAGCGCGTCCACAGGTCTGGGCGGAACCACCCTGCCTGCCCCCTCGTCCCATTTCCGACCCTGCAAATCACAGCTGTGACCCTGGCTTGGTGCTGAGACAGCCCTTGGGGCGCATCGCACAGAAGGAAGACGAGCCCCTTGGGACACTCACGTGACACCTGCCAGACACAGGAGGGACACAGCCTGTCCTGCTCAGAATCTCTGCCAGCCCTGAGGCCGGCCCAGGCAGCGGGGGCCTGCAGACAGGGACCTCGCCCCACTGCCCCCGGGGCTGAGGACAGAGGCCACGCCTGTGCCTAAGAGCCAGACCACAGCTCGTGATGCGGCGCTGACCCTGGAGGGCAGGCCCAAGGTGTACATGGGCTGGGGAGGCCCTGGCTGCCCTGCACATGCCTGGCTCACGTTGGGGCGGCGTCCAGGTGGCTGGAATATGGCCATGGTCATAGCCACATGGACGCCAGCACGGCTCCCCTTGGAGCTAAGGCCACGGGGTCCTGAGTCTGTCCACTGGCCTCTGTAGGCCACCCTGGCCCACTGGGGCCCAGCCCTGTGACCCCGCCTGGCTCAAGGCCACGTAGAGGAGCTGGAAGGGAGATGGGGACGAGGGCTGTGAGACCCGTGACGGGAGGGGGGCCTGTGTGCTCGCCCCAGGCTGGACGTCCACTGCCAGATGCAAGGGTGGCTCCCCGGGCCTACCTGCCAGGACGGAAGCCTCCGAGGCGAAGGTTGTGGCGAATTCCCTGATGATGTCGGCAGGGCCATCGTTGATGAAGAAGCCCAGGTAGCTGACGGAGGAGTGCAGCGCCAGGGGCACCACCGCCGGGAAGACCCGCAGCGTGCGGTCCCCCGCCCTCCGCAGTGCCTCGTACAGGCTCTCCACCTTCTGGTCCTCGCACTGGAGGGACAGAGACGACGGTCACCCCGCTGGAGGCCCACTCCCGCCGCCTCGGGGCAGCGGCCCGGTTCTTCCCAGAGCCTCTGAGATCCGCGTGGTCATGGGTTTGGGGCCTGGCTCGCTCGGTCCCTGGCCTCACGCACGCAGAGGTCCAGGGAGAGGCTCCTGGGGACCGTGTGCCCTGCAGGTGCCCGGCTTGGAGATCCTCGTGGCTTCGCATCCCGGCCCTTGGTGCTGTGTCCGCCTGACCCCACCGCCTGCTGGGCCAGGGCCCCGCCTCGTCCCTGGGCCCATGCTGTGTCCACACCGGGCCATTCTGGAGGCTTCTGCAGACCCCTCAACCCTGTGTGGCGGCTGCCCACTGGGTGCAGTGGGTGGGCCCAGCCGCCTGACCCCTGGCTGCCAGCCCCTCCCCGCCCAGCCCCTCCTGCCTCACCCTCGCAGGGCTTCTGGCGATAAGTCTGGGGCTGCTGACCCCACGTTGAAGGGGCTTGAGCAACACAAACTGACCACCCCCCCCCCCCCGTTAATTGCACACAGAGCTGTCTGCCTGCCCGTCCTGAAGAGGCCCCCGGGAAGGCCGGCACTACCCGGTCACCCAGCGAGCCCATCCCTCTGAGGAGGGCTGTGGGCCACCCTCGCCCACCTCCTCGCCCACACTCTGGCCACACCTGAGCCCGGGCCATGCTGAACCCCACTGGCTGCTGGGAGCAGGTGAAGCCTGCATGTCCCCGCGGGAAATCCGTCCCTGTCCCACGGGGCCCGGTCATGCCATTGTCCAGGGCCAAGGGCCAGGAGGCCCAACACACACTTCTGCCCTGAGGGGCGCCAGCCAGCCGGCCGGTGGGAGCAGGTGGGGCAGAGGTGAGTGTCACGCGAGCCTGTGTGTGTGAGGACGCCTGTATGTGCCGTGCACGTGACGGGAGTCTGTATCAATGTTTCATGCGTGTCTGGGTGTGGCATGTCTGTGTGTGAGCACGTGTGGGGGCATGAGCACAGCTGCCCCTGAGGGCCATGGCTGAGAGTGGCCTGGCGTCCCCAAGCCTTGCCAGCGTCGGCTCCGGCACCGCCCCTTTCCCTGCTGCCCCCAGGCCAGGTCGGGATGGAGTCGGACTGGCACAAATGCCCTCGCGGCAAAGCAGGGCAGCCAACTCACTTTTCTGGTTTTAGCACAAAAGTCCTGTGTCTAGGGAACCCACCCCCAGCCCTGGCAAACGGGGTGCCCTCCGAGGCTCTGGCAGGCGCTGCTCCCTGGGGTGCCCCTAGAGCCTTCCCTGGAGAGGTCGTGTCCTCTCTCCTGGCAGCCTGGGGTGGGGGGTGCTTGGCTGTGGTGGGACCCTGAAGTGGGTGAGCCCTGAGAGGTTGCTGATAGCAGAGATGGGGGGCTAGGTGCACCCTCAACAGGCTCCCCCCTCACACCTTCTTTCCCTCTTTGAGCAGACCCAGGTCCTTCTCCCCTTCCCAGGACCCCAGAACCTGCCAATAGATCATCTACTGAACGAGAGGGCAGGTCCCGGGCCAGGGAAGGTCCTGCATGGGTGCCTGGCTGACACCCCCTCTCAGAGGACCCAGCACACACTTCTGAAGCTCCGACTGCTTCAGGTCAGAAGCTAGACTCCAGGGCACAGAGATGGCTGACGCACCCGCCTTCCCTGGAGTGGGGCAGCCAGAGAGAGGGGCGGGGAGCACCACTTGGGAGGCAAACAGATGTGGGGAGCATCAACAACAGGGAAGGGCAAGCACCCCTTCCTCCAGGGGAGCTGGGAAAGACTTAGGAAAGGGAGGGGGTAAGTGAGTTGGGTTTTGAGGGATGAATAGGAGTTGACCAGGCAAGGAGGAAAGACTGTCTGACACAAAGAAGCCATCAAAGCCCCGTTGGGTGCACCCCCAGAGACAGTCACGTCCCACCGCCACCCAGTTCTCGCTGAAACGGGGCTCCGCCTGCGAGTTAGCGAGCACCAAGGGTTTGGGGCAGACTCACCGTGAAGAAGTCGCAGAGTGTTATGTGCGGGAAGACCTCGTGCGCCCTGTTCCTGGTGCACTGCCGCTGGCTCTCTCTCCAGAACTCCTGCAGCTGCTCGAGCAGCGGCCCCGTGGGGCAGAGGAAGAGCGCGTACTCCTGGGGGATGGGGTCGTCCAGGGAGGGGTCGTCACGGTGACAGCGCAGCCTGCAACACACAGGGCGCCGTCACCCGCGTGCGGCTTGGCGGTCCTGTCCCCAAGGAGGCGGGCGGCAGCGGGACAACAACGTTCACATATTCACATGTAATATAAAAGCCCAGGCCACAGAAGAGAAGCCAGTTTAGGGGTTCATGCTCGTTAAAAATAAAAAATAAAAATAAATGAAAACGCGAGACATCCTTTTTCTCCTCTGCCCACTGATACTTTGCTCCCCAAAGCGCAAGCCAGGTGCTCTGCTGCGGTGGGGCGCAGGCTTGGAGGGGAGCGTGCAATTGCCTCGTGTGTTTGGAACCTCAAATACCAACCCCGCGCCAGCCCCTGGCTCCACTTCCCGTGTCTCTCCCAGGGAGAAGACAACGCCACACACAGAACCGCACGTATGGGTTATTCCCTGTGGGGTTCATGACGGAAGAAGGAAAAACCAGATCAGTGATGGTGACTTGACTTGCCACGGATGGTTGCCAGCCACGGAGGCACCGGCCCCGGCAGGCTGGCCGTGGGCTGGGCTCCCGCCCCAGGGCAGCGCAGCGAGAAGCTGCTCTTTCTGAACTGCCCCCGGCGCTTTGTGTCAATCAAAAGTTCTGTTCAGATTAATCTCAGCTGGCGTCAAGTTCAGCTCAGCAACACGCTTTTGGGGTTTTCTCACACTGACCCGGGCACGTGCCGTCGAGCTCCCCTCCCAGATGCCTCCCTCCTCTCTGCGCCTGCTCCCTCCGTCCACTCCACGGGAGGGCAGTTCAATCGCCCTTTTAGAAGCTGCCCGGCGCTGGGGTCCAGACCCCTGCCTGTGTCTCTCCGGGCAGGTGCTTCCTGGCTGCTGGCGGGCGCTGCCCCCGCCCGTGCTGACGGCACCCGGCTGGCGCCCTCACCCTCGCCAACCCCAGGTGGCATCTTCACTGGCACCTCCCGACTGGTAAGGGGGTCTTCCCACGCACGCTGTCTCGGGGACCCTGCCTGCTCCCTGGTGGGGCGCCTGCTATTCCTGCCGGTCTGGAGGTTGACACGGACTGGAGGTCTGGGAGCCAGCGGGCTCTGGGTGGTTCTCTGTCCCTGCTAGGTCACCCCCTTTGGCCTGGCCTGAGCCTGGGGAGGAGGAAGGAGCCCTGCAGAGGACCGTGGTCGGAGCTTGCCCTCCTGCCGCAGGGAGGCGTCTGCTGGCGGGACCTGGTTTCCCTGCTGGTTTCCACGGGGCTCGCAGGGTCAGGGGCGAGGGGATTTCCCCCCTGTGGCCGCCCCGGGGCTGGGCTGGGACGCCAGCGCCCTTTCCTGCATTCTGAGCAGAGTTGGCGGCCAGGTGCGGCGGGGGCAGGCGGGGGCCCACAGCTGTGGGAGGTGGGGGGGCCGGGCGCCTGGATCCGTGCCCGCTGCAGGCACCCAGCTGAAGGTGCAGCCTCTCATGCGTGGGGTGGGGGGAGGTTCCCCACCCCGAGGCCACTCTCCCCATCAGCGGGAGCCCGCGAGGGTGCCACCCCCATTGACATCAGCAGAACGGCACTTCCCTCTTGACTCAGCCGCTCACATTGGGATTGAATCAGACTCTGAAGCGAAGGAGCCTGGCCGGGAGCTCCTCGCGCTGTCGGCCGCCCGTGCCGGTGGTGGGCTGGAGCGCCCCGTCTGCGGCCAAGCCCTAGCCCAGTGCCCCCGCCTCAGCCCCACTCACCACTGCAAGGCCTCCTCCGCCGTCTTCCTCCCGGTGGCCGCCAGCGCCTTCAGCCTGTGGAGCAGATGTGGGCACACTCAGGGCGAGACGTGGGCACACTCAAGGCAAGCGAGGGGTGCCCCGCCGCACATTGGGCCGTCAGGGACCACCACGGACCCCATTCCCAGAAGGCCTGTCAGCCTCCGGACCCGAGGGGTCCCGGCCACGCCCTCTGCTCTGGGTCCCGGCAGCGTCACCGCGGGCCCTCTGTCCCTGCCCCCGCCCTTCCCTCCCGGGCTCCCGCCTCCACCCTGGCCCAGGTCTGAGGGCGGCACCAGCTCCACCTGCCGCCATCCCGCCGCCCCACACGGGCCCTCAGCGCTGCAGCCCTCAACCCTGCTGTCCGCAAGGCGGGCACACTCGGCCCCGCACCAGTGTGCTCTAGAGAAGCACCTGGATCGCCCCCAGGACCATCCCGAGCCCCAGGCGATGGCCGGGGGACGGGTGCTCGGGAGGCCACGGCTTCCTGTCACAGGGATGTGGCTTGGCCCCCTGACGGGCGGTCCCTACGGCCAAGCTGGGCCCACTCGTCATCGTCACTGGCGGAGACACACCGAGTCCAGCTCAGGAGACCGGAACACGGCAGGCGAAGCCTCGGGACGGCCTCCCGGACAGGCCTGGCCGCAGCGCCCCTGAGACGTGTCAGAAGCGCCCTCCCCCCCACCTGGCTGGGCTGCGGGCGAGGGCCGGGTGGACCTGGCCACCTCTCCTGGCGGGGCATGACCCGTGGATTCTAGGGGTGTCCGGAGCGGGCACAGGCCTGCCTCCCCCTCCAGCCCCGGGACCTTGCACCTGGGTCGGCCCGGGGAGGCGTGGCCGCCCCATCACGCGCGGTTCTGCTCCCGCGCACAGGCCCCGCTCATTAGGGCCGAGACAGCCCACGTCCTGATTCGGGCTGAGAGGAAAGGGGCTTGCTTCGAAGGCGTTCATCTCATTTTCAGGTTTTTTCCAGTTGCCCCCACCGCCCAGTCCGCGTCCTCAGGGGAGTCCGACCTACGCCCCGCGAGCAAGCATCTGAAAAGGGCCCCACAGAGATCCTGGCTCCTCCTGGAAGCCACTCCCCAGGGCCAGCGCCCTGCTCGGGGACTCCCTCTCGGGAGAAGCCTCCTTGAGTGCCCCTGCCCGGAGCCCCAGGCGCGTGCCCGCTGTCCGGTGGCCTCTCGGCTACTTCCTTTCTGTCACCCGTGGGCGCGGGGCTGCCTGAGGACAGAGGGATCCGATGGGGCCCCGTCATGGACCCCTGGGCCCTGGCCCGAGCACATGCGAGTCTGGAAGCCTTAACAGTCACCTCAGAGTCACTGAGCTGCCCAGAGGCTTCGCCCAGGCCGGGCGAGGAGCCAGGGCGGCAGGCGGCCTCCCATCCCACAGCTTTCAGGCTCCCGGCCCGCCAGCCAGAGGCAAAGGCCATGTTCAGAAGAAGCAGCGAAGGCCTCCCTCCAGGCTCTTCTGGCCTCGCCTGGCCCCTGGCAGGAAGCTGGCGCGCAGCTCCCCGGGGCTCACGCAGGCCTGGGGGCTCCGCCGGGACCCGCCAGGGGTACTCACGCGGTGTGTGCCGGGAAGCCCATCCCCAGGAGGGAGTCCAGGAGCGCGGGGGTGCTGCGGCCCCTGAGCTTGTTGGTGACCTTGGCGTAGAGCTGCGTCTCGCCCGCAGCCATCTCTTCCTGCCTGCAGACTGAAATGAGTAGATAAGTGAGCTCGGCAGGAGGAGAGGCTGAGGCTGCGCCGAGAAACCTCAAGCCCTTTTTGATCTTCCTGACAAAAGCTGATATCCTGTTTGCATGAGGCCTTGGTCTCGGAGTTCTCCCTGCAGGGGCTGGGCTCAGCCCTGCTCCCCTGGGGGGCTGGGGATGGACGGGCCCCGGGGCGGCCTGTGCGGTGCCTTGGCCTGTCTGGGGCACGCGTCAGGCGCAGAGCGGGGATGCAGGCATGGAGTGGGAGGCCGGGGTCAGGGTCTCTGCTGGGCCCCGCTGGCCTCAACCACCAGCGACCCTGCCCTGCGTCTCAGACGTCAGACCACACCGAGCCTCGGCTGCCCGGCGCCGCTCAGATGTCCGGGCCTTCTGCTTAAGCACCTGCTTTTACAATTTTGGAAACTTGAACTTTAATAAGCCTCAGAAAAGTTGAGGAATCTCAGGGGTGCAGCTCAATGAGTTTTCACAAGTGAGCTTAACCCCCCAAGACGGGATGTAAAGCGGGGTCTGCGCTGCGGTCGGGGGCCTCGCACCACCCCCACCCCACCTCTGGCCAGGTCACAGCCGCGGGGTGTCTGCGCTGACCTCTGGTGGTGGAGCCCAGGAGTGCAGCAGCGCAGGCCCGCCCTCCCCGCTCCCGCCCGCCCCGCCACCCCCCAACCACCTGCCCCAAAGGTCAGGGGTGTGAGAGCGTTGTCAGAACCTCCCAGTCACCCCCTCCCGCAAAGGCCACTGCTACGCTCCTTTGCGTTTTAATTTTGCCTCCTTTCAGCCTGATTGAAGCCAAGCATCTAGCTTGTGCTGCTCTGTGTCTGATTTTTTTTTTTGTCCAAAACGATGTTTGTGGTGTGTCCCCGTCCGTGGGCAGGCGTGGCCAGCTCACCGCATGGCCGGTGTGTTCTACCAGATCAACAGCCTCCTCCGCTGCTTCTCCACTCTGCCGCCACGTGCACTTGGGGTCCAGCTGCTCTGCCTCATGGGTGTCCTGGGGCTGGCCTCTGTGCCCTGGGCTTGCTCCCAGGCGTCCAGGAGTGGGGCTGGTGGCCACGCCTGGGTGCTGACGCATCAGACACTGCCTGGGTTTTGTGAAGCTGCTCTTTCAGCCTGTCCTGTCCTAGCGGTGGGAGCATTCCTCAGCCCTGCGCCCTGGCAGGGCGCAGGGTGTTGCCAGGCTTTTCACTGTGGCCGGTCTGGGGTGTGTAGTGGCGTCTGTGGCTCTGCTTTGCGTTTTCCCAAATGGTGACGGCACTGAGCCTTGAGGACGACGTGAGACGAACATTTGGCCACTTGGACACCCTCTCCTGGGGAGGAAGAAATAGCCGTGTGCGTATGTTACATGTACACACGCGTGCGTACACACTGAGGGAGGACCTGGGTCCTAGTGTAGAGTTTCTCCTTAGCTTTCTTTCACTCAGAAGCTAACGCAGAGTCTGTCTAACCTCCGGGACCTCCAGGCCTCCCCAGGCCCACAGGCCTCCTTGGGGTTCCTCGAATGCCCCCCGCTGGTCCTCTCCTCCAGGATGCTCCTGTGCTTGGAACAAGCTCCCCAATTGGCTCACAGGATCCACTTTGTCCCACCACCAAACATTTTAGAGGCCCCCCCCCTCACTCTGGGCAGCTCTCAGCCCATCTCTGATGAGCCCTCGCCACCCCCTGAGCTCACAGGTGAGTACCTGGCTCCAAGCCCAGCCCCTGGCCAGGGCCTGCAACACCTGCTGAGTCAGTGAGTGTGTTTGCCTCCAGCTCCCCTCCCGGGCTTCTGGGGCGCAGGTCCCATGCCCGCAGCCCAGGGCTCTCTGCAGATAAGCTGTGCAGCGAGCAGATGCCCAGGCCCGCAGAGGCGGCTGCCTGCTCGCCCCCCGCTCGGAGCACGCCCAGGCTCCCTGCCTGTTGTCCACAGAGCGGCTGCACGGCTGGCCTTGGGCTGGATCTCCTGGACAGGCAGAGACCCCTTCAAGGCTGACCTGCCCCCTCGGGGCTGCCCTCTCGGGCCCAGATAGCCCCTATTTGCTCTTCTCAAAAAGGAGCAGAGCGAGGGTGACGGGAGGTAGTGAGGTTTGCTTCCCTGGCTCCCTAACAAGGGGCCTGCATCCCCGCGGTCCTGCCTCCTGCCGCCCGGGGCCACCTGATAGCCACCCGCGGCTTGGGTTACATCGTCCCTGCAGCGATGCCACAGCTGCGACGCCCCAGCGGCCAGGCTGAGCCTCTCGGGGGACTCTCTCCCGGCTGGACTAACCCGTGGGTCGCTGATACCCATCACGCTTGTTTGTAGAATGAAAACGGAAATTATTTCTGTTTTTAATGATGGCGGCTCCAGAAATAGTAAGTGGCCGGGGTGGGTGGGGGGTGGAGAGAAGTTGCTGGGAGAAGCTGAGCTCTCGGCATTTCTGGTGCGGCCGTGCCGGGCGGGGCCTCCGTGGCTCCTGTCCCCGGGCGATGGCCATTTTTTCTTACTCTTTTTGGCGAGTTCAGCTGCGCCCGCCGGCTGGTAGTGAGCCTGGGCTCCAGCCAGAGCAGGGCAGAAGTGAGTGTGAGTGCCGCAGTGCCCGAGGCGCTGGCCAGCGGGGTGTGACATGCCCCTCAGCCCCGGGCCGCGGGGCTTTGCCGAGACGGGGACAGGGACAGGGACAGGGCGTGACAACGTGCTCTGGTGGCTTTTCCGTCCGAGCCGCCACATCACAGCAGGACACGGGCAGCAGAGAGAGGGCTGAAGCCTCCCCTTCCTGGGGTCGGGCCACCGATTCAGGCTCCTGAGGGAGTGGACTCCTGGGGAGGCAGCCCCAGGGCGGGAGCGCAGCTGGGACACCTGCCCCCTCCCAGCCCCCTCCAGGCCCCTCCGCCCCTGAGCGAGGCCTCCTGGCCTGGTAGGCGGAGGAAACCGAGCCCGGCGGTGGCTGCAGGTGGCACCAGCCCCTCCACCGGCCCCTCCAGGCCAGGCCCGCAGGCCGGGAAGGGGCGTCTTTACGGGGCGCGGCAGGCAGCATGGGTGCGGGCGCCCACCCTGGCATGATGTGAGGGTCTCCCCCACTTCTGCGCTGGCGGTGGGTGGCCCTGGGCGGGGGGCGGGGGTTGCACTCCTGGGCCCGTCGGGCAATAAGAAGAGAGAAGGAAAGGGCTGTGGAAGGGACTTGTCCTCTGAGAAGGAGCGCGGTGCCCTCTGCAGGGCCAAGAGCCAGGGCTGCTCGTGGACTTCCAGGCTGGCCGCCGTGGGAGGCTGACCCTTAGCGGGAGGGGCTTCCTGGGGCTCCCCAGCTTCTCTCTGGCCTGGCTCCGAGGGAAACGCGCCCTCCCCGGCAGCGGTCTCCGGCAGTGCCGAGGGTGTTAAGTCTCAGGTGCCGGAGGCCACGCGCGGCTGACCACGGTCCCTCCTCAGGAGGTGGAGCCGGAGCCTGGCCCCAGAGGCCCTGAGCTCGTCACCCTGGGGGAGAACGACCCGCCGGCCACAGAGGGCCCCTTCTCCTTCAGGTCGCTTTTTGGCCTCGACGACCTGAAAATAAGCGCCGTTGTGCCAGGTAGGTGACCCTGCGCCGGAGTCTCACACCCACGGCTGGACACAGCTCCCCTGGGCTTGCGGGTTCCAGGGTGCAGGGCGACTCGAGGGGGTCACTTTGTCCCGCCCTTTGCCTGGAGGCAGGAGCTTGCGGCCTCTGGATGGAGGTTTCTAAATCTGTGGTTCTGGCCGCCCCGGGAAATAGAGGTCAGAGCCCGCCAGGAGTCCTCCGAGCACCCCCTGCACCCCCAAGTCCTGAGGACCAGCGCTCCCCGGGCCTTCCGGGGAACCTAAAGAAAGCGGACGGCGCTGAAGGTGTCGTGTGCAGCGTCGCGCGCGAAGGACGTTTCGTAAATAGGTCACAGGTGCTTCGGCAAAGTGCAGGCTCCAGAAGGTCTGTCCGGCGGGATCCTTTGGCACCAGCCCATGAGGACTTGTTCCTTGTCCCCGGGGCTGCGGCTCGAGGTCGGGGTGCAAATCAGGAAGACTGACTTGGCTGGGAAGAGGGTCATGTGGGGGATGAGCTGGGGTCCCAGACAGCATGGAGTGGGGCTGCCCTCGGGCTGACCTGACGTGGGGGCAGGGAGACAGTGGGAGGGAGGGGAGAGGTTTCAGGTGAGGGCGCGGTGCCCAGCTGAAGGCTGCGGCTCAGGAACTAGGTGAACGGAAATGGAAAAACACCACGCTGCCCCCACCCCTGCGCCCACCCGGCCCTCCCGGCTGCATCGCCCACCCTCCTTCGCCACCCAGCGTTCCGCCAGGCGCAGTGGCACCCACACCCCCCGACCTTGCCCGACATGCAGTTGTCTCGGAGGCTTCTACAGTACGACTAGCGCTAGTTTGTTATTATTTCTTTGTAAGGAATTCCCAGAGCTGGGCAGGGAGGCTCTTTAAAGACATGGGAGTGTTCATTCTGAAAATTCAGATAACATCACTCAAGATTTTTGAGAAAAGGACCAGCTTTACCAGCGCGCTTAGCCTGGCGGTTGCTGTTCTGCTGGCGGCGCGTCTGTTTCTCTGGCCTGGCACTTGCTGTTTGTGCTATTTTGAAGCTTTAAAGAAAACTTCACAATATCAGGTTCATTTTTCCATGGCATTAAATAATTAACTATTACATGTATTTCTTATCAATGTACACATGCATTTTAGAAGGACAGGGGTATTAGGAACAGGCGAGAAAGAGGCGCCCGCATAGTCACAGGCGGGCGAGAGAGCTGCCTGTTTAAATATTCTTCAGGGGCTGAGGAATTCTGGCCTCTACCTGTTTTTATAAATAAAGCTTTATTGAAACATGTACCCGGACACATGTGCTCGTCCTGGGTTGGCACCGGCCGCCGTAACAGAGAGCTGAGTTGTGCTGCAGAGCTCCTGTGGTCCGTGAGGGTTGAAACAGCCACTGTCTGGACCTTTCCAGGGCACCCAGGGCCCGGCCTCTGGCATCTTACGTGTCTCTGCAGCTTGTTGTTTTACCATTTCCCTCCTGGGTCACTAGGTCATGCTCTTCTCACGCGTGCTGTAAGCGTCCGTGTAGGTAGAGTCTGTGCCTCTGTGATGACATCGTAGGAGAAATTCCTAGCCCGAAAATTCCATTTGTGTTTAAGCTCTTTGGTATGTATTTCCGATTTGACTCTCCAGCAGTTTTATTTTTGGTTGTTTCCAGAGAAGTCTAAGGCTTCTGTGCTTGCGCATCATTGGCACTCCTTCTTAGAGAGACGCAATCTTGGGAGATACACTTTGCTTTTACTCCGGCTCATCCTCAGACACAGAATGAGGAGAGGGCCCCACAGGAGCCCCTCTCCAGGGCACCAAGGCAGTGGGGGGCGGTGAAGGGGCCAGTGTGAGCTGAGACAGAGGTTCTGGCTGAACAACAACCTTCAAATCCGCAATCTGGACTCATTCCACTCTAACCTTTGACTTCGGAACAGCTGGAATGATGGGGGGTCACGCCTGTGGGTGGTTAAAATGTAAGTGGTGCAGGCTCCGGGAGTGGAGGAGCGTCTCTCTGCTAACTCAGGACCACAAATTGGTTATCCTGAAAGGAAAGGCTCTCTGACCCCGAGAGCAAACAGCCATCATTATCTTGGCGTCATTCATCTACTCGTTTGTCCATAGCTCCCCTGATCGATTGATCAGTCGACCCATTTGTCCATAGATTTATCGATGGATCCACCCTCCCACCCACCCATTCATCCACCCACCCTTCCACCCACCACCTATACATACACTCATCCATCGATCCACCCCTTCTGGGGCTGTGAGTCTGAAGCCAAGATGCCGGCTGGGCCAAGCTCCCTCCAAAACTCGCAGGAAAACCTTCCTGACCCTGTCCTGCCGGTGCTTGGCTGACAGTCTCTGGGGCTCTGCCCTCTGGCTCCCCCTGCGTGTGGCGACCTCCATGTGTCTCTTTTTGTCACTCTGTGTGTGTCTGAATCCCCTGTTACAAGGACCCCATCATATAGATCAGTGCCCCCCGAATGGCCTCATTTTAACTTGATTAGGCCTGTAAAGACTGTTTCCAAGTAAGACGGCATTCTGAGTACTAGGAGTTAGAACATCAATGTCTTTTTTTTTTTGGGGGGGGGTTGGTCCAGTTCAACATGCAGCACCATCCTGACCCCAGGAAAGACAGAACTGGGTCACAGTTGGGGAGAGCCGGGCTGAGCTTCTGGGGACCGTGCCCGGGCGAGGCCCTTTCTCTGACCCGGGCAGGACGGCACGAGCACTGACTGTCCAGCCCCGACAGTCAGGGCCTTACGCGGCTCCGCTGACCTGGGGCTTCTGTCTGTCTTCCCCTCTGCTTTGCAGACGCAGATGCGGTGGCCGCACAGATCCTGTCACTGCTGCCCCTGAAGTTCTTCCCTATCATCGTCATCGGGGTCATCGCCTTGATCCTGGCGCTGGCCATCGGCCTGGGCAGTAGGTACCATCCATTATTCAGTGGGCTCTCGAATGCCTGCCCGGCCTTTAAACTTTCAGGAGCTTACCCAACACGCGGCCGCGCCGGCTTAATTACCGGAGCAGACATGCTTCTGCCGCCGGGGGGTTTATTTGCTGGTGTGACCGTGAGGCCCAGCTGGGGCCCCGCAGGGGCTGTTGGCCGGGCTCGGGGCCTTGTCACCGAGGAAGCTGCCCAGTTAGACGTCCGAAGGCAGCTGATGAAACAGGATCCCACGCAGGGGAGCAGCGGGCGGAGGAGACAAGGGGCCATTCATGTGGGCAGGCGCCTGCTGGTTTTGAGGTCAGGTGCCTTGGGGGCCGCGAGCCCTTGGATGGTCTCCAGTGGGAAGTCACCTCTCTTTCAAATAGTTGGGAGGTTTGTCCATCCGCGCGGGAAACAGGAGGTGGACGGGGCGTGTCCTCGCTCGGGGCTCTTGCTGGGCGCCCGGCCGCTTTCTTGACCTGGAGCCTCTGGAGTTTCAGTTCATCCAAGTCATGGCTGAAGTCCACGTTGCGAGTCAAAGTGGGGTGTAGCAGCCCCACCCCTTGGAATCTGGAACAGAAACTGGGCGGAGGAAGCAGGCTGCTGGCAGGGGTGCCGTCTCAAAGCGGCTCCTCCGCTCATGGGGAGCCACAGGCGGGTGCATGGCAGGGGGCGGCGCCGTGCAGTGACCGCCCCTCCCTCTGCTCGGCCCAGTCCACTTCGACTGCTCGGGGAAGTACCGGTGCCGGTCGTCGTTCCAGTGCATCGAGCTGGCCGCCCGCTGCGACGGGGTCCCGGACTGCAGGGACGGGGAGGACGAGTATCGATGCGGTGAGCCGCGTCCTCCTCAGAGCCCGGCCCGACGTCTCGTGTGTAAGGGGGTCTCGGCGGATGCCAGCGAGCGGCGTCCCTGCCGGGGCCCAGGCCGGCACTTGCCGCAGGAGACACGGGGTGTCAGGAGGGGCTGAAGTTTTCTGGGGGGGACACGGCAGTGAGAGCGCGGGGCGCAGGCCGTCAGCACGGCCGTGGTCTGCAGGCCGCGTGGGGGCACTGTGGGCCAGGTCGGGCTGGGCAGCGGGGCCACTTAGATTCTTGGCCACTAACTGGACTGTCCCCGGCCCTGGCCAGTCCGCGTGAGTGGTCAGGACGCCGTGCTGCAGGTGTTCACAGCTGCGGCCTGGAGGACCGTGTGCACCGATGGCTGGAGAGGCCACCACGCCGGCGTGGCCTGCGCCCAGCTGGGCTTCCCCAGGTGAGCCAGTGCGTCTGCCCCCTTGTTACTGGGGCCGAGCCGCGGCCCGGACGCCCTGAGTGACCACTCGAGGGGAACATTGTGTTTGGGGGTGTCTCGGACCAGGCCAGGACTCTCTGGCCAACACACAGTAACAGCCTTGGAGCTGAACTTGAGCCCCTTGTTCTTCATCAGGCGTGTCAGCTGCGTCCAGGCCTGCCCCGCTGCGCTCCCCCCGAGGGCCCCACAGAGCAGGGCCGGGGTGCAGCCACCATGCAGGCAGGCGGTCGTGTGGCCACAGGCGGGGACCAGCCATGTTCTGGGTTGTCTGCTTGTGCTTTGGGTCACTTGTCTTTGCCCTGGGGTGGCCCCTGCCTGGCCCGTCCTCTGGCTCCTAACTGCCGCCCCCCAGGGTCATCCGCAGTGAGCCCAGCCCCCTTCTCTCTGCAGGGCCAGAGCCGTGGCTCAGGGAGCCCCTCGCCCCTCGGGGCTGGGCTTGGGCACGGGAGGGTTTGGAAGCACTTCCCTGTCGGCACCCCAGGAGAGGGTGCCTCGTTTTCAGGTTAGGTGCTCAGCTCCTCTTCAAAGCCAGTGAGACACACACGTACACACACACCATGCACACACCAACACGCGCACACTTATACACACATGCGCACACACCATGCATGCACATGCGTACACACGCACACAAACAGGTGGAAACTTGTTCAGCATCTCCGTCCCCTCCAAGGCCCTCCTCTCAGTCACGGGGTGTCACTGTCTCTTCCGCCCCTCCCCCTCAGGGTTACCGGGCCCCCAGCCTCTCCTGTGCAGGGACCCCTCCGGCCCACCCTCCCGGGGCCCCTGGCTGGGACGGCGCTCCTGGGCGGTGCTCCCCCTGGGGCCTCCTGTGACAGCACCCTGCCCTCCCTGCTCTCCAGCCCTGTGCTCTTCCTGCTTCTCTCTGAGAGCTGCCTGGGCCGCTGGGGGCACTATGGGCCGGCCGGGCTCACCTGGTCCCCGTGTGCTTGCAGCTATGTGAGCTCGGCCTCCCTCGGGGTGGGCTCCGTCGAGCAGCAGTTCCAGGAGGACTTTGCATCCATCAACCACCTCTTGTCGGATGACGAAGTGACCGCCTTGCAGCACTCGGTGTACGCGAGGTGCGTGGCCAGGCCGCTGCAGTCCGCAGGGGACATGGCCCCCAGGCCCGAGGGCGGGGGTATTCCTGCAGGGCCTGGGAGCATGGGGGGCTAGGTGGGCGTGCCAGGCTGGGGAGCAAAACCTCCCCCCAGACCTAGCAGATAGGGTCCCGCAAAGAAGGGAAGCAGGATGGTGGAGGGGAAAGGTGGGGGGTCCCCAGACAGTGCCTGCCACTAAATCAGGAGCCCTCCGGATGTTGGGGGGCAGAGCAAGAGAGCAGGAAGGACAGTACCACGTTAGAAAGAATCTAGAGAGAAAAGTATCCTTTGCGCCCAAAGCTGTTTACCTCCATCATGCGTCTCCCCTGCTCCCCAGCAAGTCGGGGGAGGGGGGGCAAGAGGAGGTGCCTCAGATCACAGCCAGGCCAGGAAGCCTGAGGTGTGTCAGTGGGGGGCGGGGTCCTGGGAGGTGTTGTGGCCCCAAGTCCTGCCTGCTCTCCCCACCTGGTGGGTCAGCCTGGAGACGAGTGCGCCCCCATCCTGGGAGGCAGCAGGCCTGCCCCCCCCCCATGAATGGATCAGCACCTCGGACCCATTTCACCTCTGGGCCCCAAAACCTCAGTGGGGTGACACTAGATTTTTCCTGTGTGATTACCCGTCGGACTGAGCTCCAAAGACAGGGTTGGTTACACGGGAGTCCCCGGTGGATGGTCAAAAGCATGTGGCCGGGCCCCCACCACACAGAGGGGAGCTTGCATCATTTCTGGGGTTCCGTGACTTTGCTCCCTGAGGTGTGCAATCCCCAACTGCTGGCCGGAGAGCCAGCCATGCTGCTGCTGGGCACCCCGTGTCCCCCGGGTCCGGTGAGTGTCTGCAGCTCATTAGCGGGGTTCACCACACCCACTGTCCTCCCAGCCGGCTCTCTGCGTGCCGTGCCAGTGTCGCTGCCCTTGCTCAGCCGTGGCCTAGAGTCTGACTGTGACTGACGGTGATTAGGAGGGGGAGGGGAGGGGAACCCACCCACTGCAGCATTTTGCGGGGCGGGGGGGGGGGTCCTTCTGTGCTACTGTTAGTCTCTGCCTGATTTGCAAATCAAATTCGATTGTTGGGACCTACTGGGGGATGCAGGGGGGGGGGCGTAGGCTTTGCGAAGTCATGCGCAGTTCCAGTGTCCACTGGGGCTGTGTCGTGTATCCCTGGGTAAGGGGGAGCACCCCACAACCTCCCTGCAGCTGTGTTTCCTAAGGAACAGGTGACCTCACTCTCGTGGGTTGTGTTTTTTTTTTACCTGCACTAAAACCACACTCTGTAGTCAAGAGCAGGGGAGTAGCTTATTTTTCTTCTACCCCAAATTAAGTTTAAATAGCAGGTGACATCTCACGGCCCTGGCTGTTTATCACTGCGCCCCCTCTTTTCCACTCAGGGAGGCATGCGCCTCGGGCCACGTGGTTACCTTGAAGTGCACAGGTGAGCGCTCTCGAAATGCAGAGGTGACAGAAGGCAAGCCCGTCTCCCCTCCCCTCCTGGGCTGCTCAGGGGTCCCTTCCTCCCGGGGCTGGGGGGCTCTGTGAGCCCCAATGGCGGAGGAGGGGCGCAGCACCGGCCTGGTCTCACTGTCAGGTGGGGCAGCCGTGTCCAGCAGCAACCAGGCCCGTGGTCAGGGCATCCCATGGCTCCGTGGAGGGCAGAAGCCTGACCCCCTGTGCCTCCAGGTCCCCCGGAGATCGTGCACGGGCGGGAGCCGGGCCGCAGTCCTCCCAGCCCTGGCAGGCATCCCTTGTTCTGGTGGGTGTGGGGGGGTCATTCGCAGGCCCCCGTGGGTGCAGGGGAGTCAGACAGGGCCCGCCAGCCCCTGGTCATGAGGGGCTGCAGAGGCCCTTGTTCTGGTGTTGGGGCTGGGGAACGCCCATGCCCTGTCACCCTCCCGGATCGTGGATGGCACAGGGAGGGGGGCACCACCAGCCCTGGGCTCTCTGCTCTGATCAGGGGCCACTCCCCACTGCACCTGACACCCTATCACCCTGGTCTCGGGGATCCTGTCCCCCCACAGCCCCAGGGCCCTCTCCTGCTGCGTTCTCCTGGGGCCGTGAGGCCTGGGGGGCATCAGGGGGAGGGGAGGGTGGCACAGGAAGGCCTGTGAGTGCCCTTCTCCCGGCAGCCTGCGGCCTGCGGAGGGGCCCCCGCTCCCGCATCGTGGGGGGCAACGTGTCCTTACTGGCGCAGTGGCCCTGGCAGGCCAGCCTCCAGTTCCGGGGCTACCACCTGTGTGGGGGCTCCATCGTCACCCCTGTGTGGATCGTCACCGCTGCCCACTGTGTTTATGAGTGAGTGTCCCCCCGCCATCCTGGCCACGCAGGGAGGGGCGGGTGGGGGTGTCCGCAGCCGGTCCAGACAGCAGGCAGGCAGGTGGGGCACCCCTGCTTGTGATGGACCCCAAGCCACCACGGGGACCTCAGACCCGGGCTCTCGGGCAAAGACTGAAAGAGAAGGAACTCTGGAAGCAGAGCACCGCCTCTGGGGCCTGGGGCCACTGACCACGCAGGCCAGGGCGGCTGGGGCCATGAGCTGGAGGGGCCCGAGTCTCCCCCAGGACCCGCTCTCAGAGAGGAGCCGGGGGGCGAAACCACGGAAATGCTTCCAAAGTCAGCGGCCCCAGCCGGCTGGGTTGAGCTCAGCCCCGGTGCTGGGTGTGCCCAGAGCTGCAGCGGGGAGCCCCTGGGGGTGTCTGTGCTCCTCGGGGCTTGGCTGCGGCCAGTTCCGAGCTGGACAAGCAGAGCTAAAAATTTCGAAATTTTTGGTTGAAATAGAATAAATAATGTTATGATAGTTGCTAGAATGAGGACCCCCCCCACCCCGTCTCCCTGGCGCTGCTTCCACAGCCGCGGTCTCGCGCCCCTTCCGTCTCCTCGCAGCCTGTACCAGCCCCAGTCGTGGACCGTCCAGGTGGGCCTGGTGTCCCTGCCGGACAGCCCAGCGCCCTCCCACCTGGTGGAGAAAATCATCTACCACGGCAAGTACAAGCCGAAGCGGCTGGGCCACGACATCGCCCTCCTGAAGCTGGCCGGGCCGCTGCCCTTTAGCGGTAGGCGCTGCTCCCCGGGCCGCCGGGCTGCGCGGTCGGGGAGTGTTTTCGCTGCTTGCGGAGGCTCGTCCGGGCGCTGCCTGCGGTCCTGGCCGCTCAGTCCCAGCGCCCGGGGCCCGTGGCTGCTGCTGCCTGCGGTGGCCCCTTCTCCAAGGGAGCCAGGCCCGCCCCAGGCCCTGGCGGGCGGCGGCGTCAGCCTGTCCGGCGCTGGGCACACGTGCACGCTGCCCAGGACTCTCCGAAACAAGTATTTCTAGAGAAACAGAAATGGTCACGGCCGTGTTCGCGCGTTAATTATCACAACACCCCTGGTTTTAAAAACGCGGCCTCCACATCTGCGCGTGGGTCAGCCGCCGCCGCCCGCCCTGCCTTTCCTCTGCTCCACGCCGCCCCTGGGAGCTGGGCAGGCTGGGCGCGTCCTGCAGAGGCCACGGTGGCCGTGACGCTGTCCGGCGAGCTCGCGTGCCAGGCGCGTGGACGGCCCATGTGCCTCCTGGTGTGTCGGGGATGAGACGTGCCCGGTGGTCCCGGAAAGGGCGAGGCCTGGTCTGGACGGGGCGGGGGCACTGTGGCCACAGCGCCTGTTCCCATGGCTTTTTGGAGCACAGTCCCTCCTCCCCCGGCCAGAGTCCAGGGGCAGAGGCTGCTGGGCTGGGCAGCCGGCCCTGGCGTCTCCCACGGAAATGTGTTCCCGGCCCAGACGCCGTCGCCATTATTCAGAATGTCTGGGAGCCTCAGGGCTGCGTCAGGAGGGGCCCTGCTCTGAGCTGACCACCGTCCAGGGGCCAAGCGCTTGACCTTGAGGGCATCTGAGCTCCTCAGGAAGGGAGCACTGAGGGGATACCACTCCCCGCCCCCTATCCGCTGCAGCGGGTTGAGGGGTGCTGTTCCCTTCACACAGACATGGTCCAGCCAGTCTGCCTGCCCAACTCCGAAGAGAACTTTCCAGATGGAAAAGTGTGTTGGACGTCGGGGTGGGGTGCCACGGAGGATGGAGGTCAGTGGTCTGAGGTCAAGGTTCTGAGTCCCGGGGCCACCTGTCCTGCTCAGGGGGTGCCCGTGCATGTCGCGCGGGGTCCACCAGTCGGTTCCTTGCCCACCCCTTGGTGATGGCCCCGTCCACCATCAATGCCACAGTGCAGTGTCCTCAGGTTCTCCCCAGCGCTGACCTCTGCGTCCATCGTCACCTCCTCCTATTCTCCAAACGACCTTGTGCAGGCAGGGCGCCCCTGGCCCCATCTGCGCCACCCCGCTGCCCTGTAAGGGGGCTCGGCCGCTGGCTGCGGGACTGGCCATGGCGCCCCTGGGGCTGTGTCCACCTGCCCACCACCCACAGTCCTGCCGGAGCTGTGTGTGCCTCCCGAGCCCCGTTTCTCTGCTGTGAGCTGGTCATTCTGAGGCCAGCCCTGCTGCTGTGGCCAGGAGGGCCCTGGGGGCCCATGTTGGCTCTCAGCCCCCACCTCCTCCACATTGGTCCCCTCGGGAGGCGAGGACCCCTGGCCAGACCACGCGCCCCACGCTGACATGCCCCTCTGGGCGGGCGCCCTCACTGCCCCTGCTCTGGCGCAGGCGACGCCTCCCCCGTCCTCAACCACGCGGCGGTGCCTCTGCTGCCCAACAAGCTCTGCAACCACAGGGACGTGTACGGCGGCATCATCGCCCCCTCCATGCTCTGCGCCGGCTACCTGAAGGGCGGCGTGGACAGCTGCCAGGTAGGGCCACGCCCGGGCGAGGCTGGCGCTGCCCCGCCTATGGACAGGCCCCTGCCAATGTTTCCCCGTGACAGATTGAAAAGCAAATTTACAGGGTGTGGGAAGGAGTTTGCTCAAGATATCACTCCCTCGCCTGCAGGCCAGCCCGTGTGCCCAGTGCGCCCGCTCTGCGGGGCCCGGCCCGGCCTCCCGGCGCCTCTGTCCTCAGCCCGGGGCAGGCTGCTCAGGCTGGGGGGCAGTGGGGGAGCGGTGAAAAGGGCCTCCAGAGCCACAGCAGGTGACACACCAGCGCCGCCGGGTCCAGAGGCCACTGGAAACCCATGGCCAGGCAGACCCTCCTCCGGGGGCTCCCCCAGCCGTGCCCCTGCTGTCGCCTCCTAGGGTGCAGGGCCAGGGACGCGAGCAGGCGGGAAATGACCCCAGAAGTGTCCCGCGCCTGGGAGGCCACAGTCAGGCTGAGCGCGGGTCGAGGTCCTGTGCAGGACAAGGGGCGCCCTGCGCCGCCCCGTCCTGCTCCCGCATGTCTTCCTGCCCTCTAGGGAGATAGCGGGGGGCCCCTGGTGTGTCAGGAGAGGCGGGTGTGGAAGTTGGTGGGGGCCACCAGCTTTGGCGTCGGCTGTGCTGAGGTGAACAAGCCCGGCGTCTACACCCGCATCACCTCCTTCCTGGACTGGATCCACGAGCAGATGGAGGTGGGTGCAGACGCCGCCCCACGGCTGTCCTTCCGCCTCGCCCCTCCTGTGGCCAGGCCCGGGCCACGCAGCGGTATCCCCCGGGCGAGCAGTGACGCCGTCCTGGGGCCGGACACCGGGCAGCGCCTCCCGCTCCACCCACGCGATGCCCGCTGGCCCGGCTCAGCACTGGTGGCCCCCGCCCAGGCCCCGGCCCCCTCCCCGAGCCGCCTGCCCTGTCACTCAGGTCTTGAAACGCTAACCCGCTGCGTTCCCTCCAGAGGGACCTGAGAACGTGAAGGGAAGGTGCGAGCCGGCCTGAGCTCCTGCCAGGGAGACTCCCCGCCTGGATTCTGGGGAGGACCGGCCCCGGGCTCGGCTCCCCAGCACCACGGCACAGCCAGCAGGAGCAGCTTCCCGTCTCTCCGCTGCTTCTAGAACACTCTGCATCTAATACGCCACTGAGGCTGGTGACCTTGAAGCTCCTCGTCGACCTCCACGAGGACAGCAGGCGCGCCCCAAAGTGCTGCCTTTCCCTCTCGTCCGCTTACTTTTCTCCACAGGATCTTCCAACACCCCACAGGACAGCGACGCCCCACGTGGGCCTGCCTGGTCTGGACTGTGGGTGGACAGCCACTGTGGGTGGCTGGGGGCCCCGCGCAGGTTCTGTCCAGGGACCGGCCCCTCCTCCCCAGATCGCCTTTGCCCCAGACACAGGTGGGGGAGGGGCTTTCCCGACCTGGGCTCTTGTGCAGGGGGAGCCCGCAGCCATGCCCCGGACTGGTGTGATGTCAGCCTCCTGGAAGCTTCTCTCTGTCCTCTGGAGGCAGCAGAGGAAAGGGGAGGGAGGCCGGAGCGGGAGCAGCAGGACAGTCCTGGGGCCCTGCACCCCGAATCTCCCTCCAAGGAAGCTGACTCTGGCCTGCCGCGGGGGGCTCTGCAGAGGCAGCCACTCCCATGCCCCTGGAAATATCCAGGTGGGCGCCAGGCCCCAGGCAGCTGCCTCCTGGGCCAGAGGTCCTGGGGAGCACTCCCTCTTCCTCCTGGCTTGTTCGATTCCCTGGGAAGGAGGAGGGCAGCCCAGGCCAGTGCTGTCTCCTGAAGCCGGGGGGCTCTAGAGTCCGCAGCCCCCCATCCCCAGCAGGTGACCTCAGTGCAGCCCAGGCTCCAGCTGTGACTTCTGGGGGGCCTTTAAATGGGGGTGGAGACCCCTGTTATCTCTCGGTACAGTCACTCCCGCTGCTGTCCTGGGAAGGCACCGGGCTGGGGGGCTGGATCCAGCTTAACCACTTCCGGGCACAGTCCAGGCCCAAGACAGGCGCCTCCGGGTGACACAGAAACGGTGTTTGGAGCGTTTTCCTGCATGTACTCACGGCGCTGTGCTTCCCGAGATTCCTCCCCGGCGGTCACTCTCTTCAGTGGAGACTGCACTGACCAGGCAGAGCCGCCTGCGGCCCTGAGGCATCTCCCCAGCGGGCCTCGGTCCCGGCAGCGCCGAGCAGGGCAGCAGCACAGCCGCAGCGCGCGGAGCGTCCACTGTCCACTTGACCTGTGCCTGTGTGCGCATCTTGAGGGAAAAAAAGAGCTGCTTTTAGTCATTAATAAAAGGGAAGTAGCTATAATTCATTAAAAAAAAAAAAACACAAAAGAAACGAGCAGACATATCCTACAGATGGTAAACAAACAGGAAAGTGTCCAGCACCAAGTGCCTAGGGAAGGGCCACGGAGGCCACCACGTGCTCGTTATGAGGCGCGGGCACGCGGGGGGCAGAGACGGGGGAGCTGAGCTCGTTCACCCCTGCGGGAGAGATTCTCTCACCTTTTCAGGAAGAGGTTGTGCACCGTTGGTGTTAATTCCTTAAAATCTGGGTGGATTTTGCTTTCTTCGAGATTTGAAACGAGGAATTCAATGCCTTTGATGTCTGTTCCACCTAAGGAGAGTTTTGGTAGTTTGTGGTCATGTGTGAAGTGACAAATTTTGAAGAATTTAGTTTATTCCTTCGCGGTTGTCCCTGCCACGCGCACCCAGTCCCCGGGATTCGCAGAGCAGCACGGAGGAAGCGCACTCAGGCCAGCCGGCCCCCAGCCGCACTCGGGGAGGCTGTGCCTGCGAGGAGCTCACCCTGGTCGTCTCGCCCTCTTCTCTGTAGACTTGCTGGTTCTTCACTAGCCCCTCATGCCTGAAACGAGAAACTCACACACATCGGGGGCAACATGGCTTAGAGCCCGCGGGACACTGCAGATCAAAGGGCTCCGGGTGTGGGCCCGGCTGCGGGTGCTGGTGGGGGCAGGAGTCTGGTTCTGCCCAAGCAGCCCAGGGCCTGGGAGGTGAGGTGCTGACGGCCCAGGAGGCAAGGCAGGGGTAGAGGGTGCAGCCAGCTTTAGGGGAGCGAGCTGACCCATCCATTTACCTCGGAGACTGGGGTGCAGACTCCCCGGAGGCCTGGGGAGCAGTGACTTCCCAGCTTTCCTGCTGGGGGAACCAGGGTTTTGTTCAGAGCGCCCTGCGCGTGGGTTTCCGTGGGCCCAGCAGAGTCAGGGAGATGGAGGAGATTGGGGAGACATGGGGGCCCTGACTATGCCAGCTCAGGTGTCCGCTCCCCGAGAGGGTGGCTGGGGATGGCCTGGGAGGTGTGGGTGGATGCAGCTGGCGTGGGCAGGGATGGGCGGGGATGGGCGGCTCGCTGGGCTGAAACCTCAGTGATTACAGGCTCACACCACCCAGCCCCATGTTTGCCTTCAGGGAAGGTGTGAGGAGGCAGGGCAGGGCGGGCTGCTGGAGGGCCCCGGGGGCCTGTGCGCTGACTCACGTAGGGGGGGCGCAGGGTGCTCCTCTCTCTTCTGGGGGGAAGCAGAGGCGTCACAGCTTATTCCTTGAAACACGGTATCCTTAACCCAGAGGCAAATCACGCTCTCTGCGGACGCTTCCAGGGACCAGGGACGAGGACCAGGGTGGGGCTCCTCCCGCCTCCTCCGTCCTGACCCCCCCCCAGCGTCTCCCCTAAGTCCCGTCGACCTGGTGTCTTGCATGCTCTGATTTACCGCAGCGGCAGGAAACCGGCACGTGGGGGCGTCCTCGGGTGTCTCTGGAGTAGCCGGCGGGGCGGGTGGGGGTCAGGCCCCAAGGGTGCTGGCCCACCTCACGGGCACCTGCTCACCTCCGCGGGGCTGCGTCCCGGGTGCCCAGTCTGACTTGATGACTCTTCATTTTTCTCATTCTTCCTGTCATTTTTAGGTATTTTGGTGTCACTTCTAGGAATTTTGGGTAATGTTTTTGCTTTTTTATCTATTGGACGCTTCTCTTCATGTCTTCCGTTTTTAAACCTTTGTCTATTGTCAACTTTTAGTTTTTAATTTTTCTACATCAAAAGTTTCAAATATTTTACACTCAAACTTGCTCACTGCCTACAAATGTCATCACTCTGATTTCTTTTACTATCACAAGACTGAGAACCCAATCAGACCTTCCAGAAGCCAGCTAAGCGGCCCTCACCTGGCGGGTGGCCACGCCTGGACATCCGTAGGATAGGAGTCGAGCTCTGGCTGACCAGGACTGCTGTGTGAGCCGTGGGGACGGTGCCTCCTCCCCCGGCCCCCGGACAGCAGCGGACTTAGTGTGCTCCGGGGACCGAGTTGCTTCCCTTGGTCCTTAGGACCAGCCCCTTCAGGGACACCCGCTCTGCCCCAGACCGCTGGCTGCCGGCTGCCCGAGCACATGTTTCCGGAGGACGCCAGCCGACCGGCCAGGCCCCGTGGCGGGCCTGGAGACAGTGGTTCTTCGAGGGAATGATCCTTCTGATCATGAGAAAAGCCACTCCCACCTCTGTGGCTTGGTTTCTGGACGCTGCATCTCAGCTGAGGCGGCACCACTCTGGGCTCCCCAGACTGTCCAGCGGTGGCTGCTGCTTTGACCGCCCCTTCAGGCTCCCGCTGTGCTGGCTGCCTGGCCTGGGCAAGGCCGGTGACTTTTCTGGATGGTGCTGTGATTCCTTGCCCCGAACCGCGCTGGGGCACCCCGCTCGTGGGCTGTGCACCCCTGGAGCCCGCACGGGGGCGTCGCCACATCTGCAGCCCCGAGTTGGCCACCCCTGGAAGATGCGTCGCTGGGTTCTGCGGGAGGCCCATGGCGTCAGCCGCTGCTCCTGGCAGTTACTTAAAAGCTTCCTCCTTGTAAAAAGTCACCACAAGCAAGGTGCCCCAGTGCGTTTCCTCTGCCCCGCGGTGGGGCCTGCCTTGGCCCTGTGGCGTCACTGGGCTGAGTCTGCAGCTGCGACTTTTGTGAACACCCCCTCGCCCCCAGCTGGCCTGCATTCCCCTCCCACTCCTGAGCACCCCCATTTAGGCCTGGGTCTTGGGAGACCTGGAATTCGCCATCATCATGCGCACCGCCAGGCCTGGGGCCCGAGGTGGGGGATGGTGCCGCCAGGACTTATTTCTGAGGTTGCCCAGAAATTAAGTGTCTCTCCAAACTCAGGTCCATTTCCTCAGAGCTGACGTCTCACCGAAGAAACATTGTCCCGTTGTTCGCCATCCACTCATTCTCAACGATGTTTCTGGAGCAGGGCGGTGGCGATGGCCTGACTGTCCCGGCCCGGCGGGGCAGGGGCTGTGGGGTGCAGTGGATGAGACGTGGGACAGGGCCTGGAGCTGGCGGAGGGCCGTCTTGACAGCGGTGTCCCGGGCAGGGAGAGAGAGCCCCGGGCCAGGGAGGGGGCGCGCGGAAGAGCCCCTCGGCTGCCCGAGCTGCTCCTGTTCACACATCTCCGTTTGCACAGGCTCCACGGTGACTGGAAAGGGAAAGTTGAAAAGAATATTCAATAAATAGGTAAAAAACGCCCCCCTTTCCTCTGCAAGTTTCGGTGTCAATGCCACCCCCAGGGCAGCCCCTTTGGGTGGGCGCAGACCCGGTGAAGGACCTAAGGGCCTGTGTGCACCCATGTGTTGCCAGGGAAATGTCCCCGCCCCAAGGGGAAAATCAGGGAGAAGTTCTGGGCTGTGGAATCTGGTTCCCTCCGGGTGCAGTTCCAGGAGGGGGCGCGCAGAGTCTTGCTGGCCTTCCCCTGCCCTCCGGCCGGGCACAGCTGGACGAGTGTCCGGAGCAGCTGAGATCCCCCTACAGGGTCCTGAGAGCCGTGGGCACCTCTCCCCTCCCCTGAGTCACTAGTGACCCTGAGCCCAGCTGGCTGCCGGCCGGCCGTGAATCACTGTCAGTGAGTGTGATGTTGACACTGGCGGGAGGCGCAGATTAGTGCCTGGATTAGGGATAAGGAGGGCTGTTCCCCGCCCGGCCCAGGGAGCCCAGCACGCGTGTCCAGGCAGGGAGCGCCTGCAACAGAGCCGCTGGCCGGAGAGGACTAAGGGTCCTCCTTAGGCAAACGTCATCTCACCTTCTCTGAGCAAACAGGGCCGGTGGTATAAAGCCCAGGGCTGGGCCGGGCTGTCATCCCTGCTCGGTCCTTCCTGAGTAGAGTGAGGAAGGTAGCAGGCGCCATGGAGCCCAAGGTGGTTTGTGTCCTGCTCCTGGTCTGTGTGCTGGCCGCTGGCAGCCTGGCCCAGGGCATGGAGGGTAAGACACCCCTGCCCCGGTGCAGGGCACAGCCTCACGGGAGGTATTGGGGGTAAAACCAGGCAGAGGCTGGCAGGCAGAGGGGGTGGGTCCTGGAATATTATGCAGCTCTGAAGAATCACAGTTCAAAGAGCTGCCTCTGAGGGGGAGCTAAAAAGCGCTCTTCCAAATGCCCTAGACAGACCACCCTGGGGGTTGCCCCCTGGGCCCCACAGATGTCCACGGCCTGCTCTAACTCCAGAGCGGGCAGCCCGAAAGCTTCCCGCAGGTCCCGCGGGCTCCTCCCCTGCACAGCCCACTGAGACTTGTCCCTGGCGAGTGTGATGGCGGGAGGCGTGGCTGCTTCCCTGCCAGCAGGGAGCCCAGTGCTCTTCCTGAGAGCCCAGAAACGGAGTGTCAGTGTCGGGGAAACGCCACTTACTTGCGCCAGACATGGCTTTAAAGGGAGGGATGGGGAGGAACTTGCCGCATGTCCGAAAGGGGAGTTTCCTGAGAGACTGTGGGAGAAGGGGGTTAAAGGCGTGATTTCCGTGGGTCTTCCGGCCCTTTTCAGGACCCCGGGCCAGCCGGCCCCACGGCCTGGGGCAAGGCCGTGTGTCTTCGAATGGAAAAGGCGGCTGCTGCGGTGGCTGAAGGGGCTGGCCAGGCCTGCCCGCTCCCCTCCTGGGCCGCAGGGGCCCGACGCCACCCGCCTGCTCCTGCCCCACGGCCGGGGCTCCACCCGCCGCGGGTCAGCCAGGGTCACCATCCTGCGACAACGGGTCTAGAAGACCCGACTCCAAGTGACGCCCCCAGTGGAAACCGTCTCCGCTCCGCCCCCGTGTGGGGCAGAGGCGGGCAGGCAGGAGCGGCTCCCGCAGCGGCCTGGGGACTGTCAGCTCCGGATTAGGAGTGGCAGCTGGGAGGGGTCGGGCTGCCCAGCCCCGCCCCGCCCCTGGGGCTCTGCGCGAGCCTCCTGTTCACGCACACGCTGCCCCCTTGACCCGGTGGACAATGCCTCTAGGTGGGGCCGGGCCCTGGCAGGCAGACTGCACCAGGCCCACCAGACAGTGGGAGACGGGTCCAGATCTTTGCTGCAAAGCCCCAGAACCTTCTCTTCAAAGCAAGCTGCGGCCTTGGGACCGGCTCAGCGTGGGAATTTTGCCAGATAACCTGCCCGCCTCCCGCCCTGAGGAAGCCTGGGCGCCCTGTCCAGCTGGGAGAAGTGGGTCCTGGATGGACTGTTTTTTTCTAGAGCGCCCAGCGTGCAGAGGGTCTGGGGCCCAGGTCCAGGCCAGCCTGTGCCCACTGACCTCCCCCCCCACTCATCTGGCCCGCCCGCCTCTGCCACCTCCCTCCTGCCCCTCCTCCCAGCCCTGCTGGATGGCCGAGCTCCTGCTGCTTCGTCCTGCCCCCCCCTTCTTGCCTCCATCTGCAGTGGAGACAGACTCAGGTTCAGAACCACGGAGCCTTGGCCCCAGGCCTCAGAGAGCCCAGCTGGCGGCCAGGTCCACAGGGCCTCCCTGTCCTTGAGCAGAGGGAGCCTGTGCCTCTGCCCAGCCCCCAGCCCCAGATAGATGGTGGAGGGGGGCTCCCCACTGCTCCTCCCCGCCCCACTGCTCCTCCCCGCCCCACTCATCACACTCCATCCAAGGCACTTGCCTTCTTGAGCTCTAGGCTCTATTTATTTTTATACAAGAGCTGGGGTCTTGGGGTCTAGGCCAGAGGCATGGGAGGGCAAGAGGATTCACCAGAGACAGAGCAGGGAACAGAACAGGCAGACGACAGAAATCCACTGCTGAGGGGAGCAGCGGGGAGACAGGAGAGGTCTGCTGCGCCATGTGGGATTCTTGCCAGCCAGCCGGGATCGAACCGGCGCTGCAGAGGCTGCGGACAGCTTCACAGTGCGGCGCTCAACCACCTGCACCACCGGGGAGGCCCTGATATTCATTTATTCGTGAATAAGTTTAATAACTGTTCATTGAAGCTAGTGGGTAAAGGCCAGATTTTCCAAGTGGGCACAAAACTGACAAATCCTGTCACCCTGCATCCCTGGAGCGGACGGGCGACTCTGTCCTGAGCTGCAGAAGTAACTGAGAAGGACTGCTGGTGTGGGGAACCCAGCCAGGAGCCCGCGCGCCGCCCTAACCCTTGCCTCTTGCTCCCCACCCTTCCAGGGACGTGTGAGATGGAGCCCAAGGAAAGAGAAAATTGCGGCTACCCCGGCGTCACACCTCAGGACTGTGCAGACAGAGGCTGCTGCTTCGACAACAGCGTGCGAGGGTTCCCCTGGTGCTTCCACCCCAGGGCGTTGGGGCCAGATGAGGGTAGGCGCGCTGCGGGCCTGGGCACGGGCTCTTTAAGTCCGGGCAGTCTGGGGCTGGGCATCGGCGAGACGGCGACTGGGCCACGGCCCTCCGCATTCCAGCTGCGTCTGACCCTGGACCATGGCCGGGGGACCGGGGCAGCGGGGCAGCTCAAGCCAGGCAGGGCTCAGGGGTGGGGGTGGGGAGAGGAAGGGGTGCAGCCTCCTGCACCTTGGTTCCTGGGCTTCTCCACCCCATAGGGGCGGAAGCACCCTGCAGGCACGGGGGGAAGGGGTGTGGGGTGGGAGGGGCGGAAGCCGCGTTGACTCTAAGGACTGCCCCGTGATGCTCCCCGGTCAGTGTCTAATGACCAGCAGCCGAGGCACCGCCTCTCTCACTGACCCTCCCGCACACTCTCGCCTTGTAGAGGACTGCGTCTTCTAGAGGGGGCTTCGCCGGAGCAGATGGCCCCACGCCAGGAGCCCCGACGCCGGGACCACCCGGCGCACCCCACGGCCCACGTGGACGCTCTGATTGCTTGATCTCAAAATTGGCCTAAAATTAAAGGAGATGAATGTTCTGTGCTTTCAGCTCTTTGCAAAACCACAAACAAGCTTCCTTCCTTGCGGGCGCTTCGCCTCTGGCGTCTGTCCTGGGTGGCACGTCCGAGACAGGGGGCGGGTGGGGCAGCGGAGCGCACTCCAGGGGGTGCGTCCCGGCAGGCCGGCTGCGGGGTCCCTGTGCCCACCTCGGGCCGCGGCCTCGTCCACCCTCAAGAGTGGGCCCCCACACTCCACCGGCCCTTAACCAGTGGCGTGGATGCCCCGACTGCCACGGAACAAGACAACCCTTGGGGTCCTCTACTTTCCCGCGTGGAACCGCCTTAGGAGGTGAAGCCTGAAGCGCAGCGTCTGAAAGGGCGGAAATGTGAGACTGTGGAGAAGCCCCGGCTCGAGGACCCCCACCGCGCCCTCCCCCCCGCTCTGAACCCCAAACTAGAACGGAGGGGAGGGATGGGAGGTCTCAGTGGCTCCCCTCGGTCTTGTCACCGACCGAGGCTGGGTAGGAGGGACAGGGAGGCCACAGGGTGGCTGCTACTCTTGGGGACTAGCAGAGTCCCAGGACAGGGCAGAACTAGGCAAATGCCCCCAACCCCCCACCCTCGCAGTGACGATGAGGGGCGGGCGCCCCCTCCAGACCGTCAGGCCTGCTCCCCATCAGGGATCCTGCAGGGTCAGGAACACGCGGGTGCGGGCCGCCACCCAGCACCCTGAGATACACGGCTGAGTCAGAGGGGCACACACCCTCGTGGTCCCGTCCCCTCTAAGAGGCAGCCTGTCCTGGTGACTCCTGCAACTCATGTAGCAATGCTCCCTGGGGGGCAGTTGCTCAGCTTACCCCCTTTGCTGCTGTGTCCCTAGCTGGGTTGATGGGGGCCTCCCCTCAACACCCCGGCTGTGAGGGGGTGAGCTGTGTCCTTTGGCTTCCTGTCCACCTGTGGTGGGGCTGGAGGTTCTTGGGAGTCCAGCTGGCTGGTGCCCTGTGCCTCCTCCCTGCCCCCAGAGAGGTGGGTTCCCATGTGGCATCTGTAGCAGGTCTGTTTTTAGGGCACCCACCATCCATGACCACCCTTCTTTCTCCCCTGAACTTCTACTCATAAAGAATGGGGAGGGGGGAGGGCAACTTGCTTTCCCAGCCTGCCCTGCAGCTGGAGATGGCCATGCCACCCGCTCTGGCCCACAGGCGGGAGGAGGCATCTCCCTGGAGGCTCTGGAGAAAGACTTTTCCTTCTTGGTAAAATAAGCCTGGTGGCCTGGTCTGTCCCTGCAGTCTGCCCATGACTTGTGGAAGGAGGGTGTGATACGGTGCCCTAGGCAGCCATTCTGTGATCATGAGGCAGTGCCCAAGAACTTCAGGCTTGGCATCCCACAGTTGCGGATTTGGCCCCAGCATCACCCGCCTCCAGATTTTGAATTAAATAAACCCAAATGCCTTTTTGGATAAAATCACTGTGAAGTAGATTTCTGTTCCTTGACAACACATTGCCAAGACACACAGCATTCCTGTACCCAGAGCAGCAAGCCCATGCCCAGCCACCACGGGCAGGGCGAGCTCTTGCTGGAGGTAAGAGTCCTCAGGGCAGTCCTCCAGGCTGGCCCTTGGTCTGTTCAGGGAAGGGAGGCTGCTCCCCTCTCCCACTCCTGGCGTCACCCAGCTTCTTTCGTGGCGGTCCTGCCCTTCAGCCTCAGGCCCTCGGCACACGTGGCGCTGAGAAGTGTTTGGCAGTGCTGGAGGCCCCGCCCCGCGCCCCTCTTTGGGCTGCCCCAGAACACCCCCAGCAGATCGAGGGCACCCAACACTGCGTTGGGAGGCAGTGTGAGCCCTGAGTGCTGGGGTGGGGGGCAGAGGTCACACTTGCGACATAGAATGGGGCCGAGGGGGCAGGGCAGGGAGCCTGACACAGTGGGGCCGAGGGGGCGGGGCAGGGAGCCTGCAGCCTCCTGACAGAGTGGGGAGAGGGGAGTAAGCTGGACGCCCAGATGCTCCCGCAGCCCAGGGGTGTCGGCTGGCATTACAACCCGCCCCAGCCTCACCTGCAGCTCCCCCCACCCCACTCCCGTCCTCCCAGCCACGTGGCCATGAGCCTGCTGCCCGGCAGGGGGCCGGCCGCTCAGGACCCCGCGCTACCACTCCGGACCGCAGGCGTCCCTAAGTCACGACTCGGTGTGCCAGGGCGGCCGGGAAGGACTTCAGGGTGCAGTGGACGCTGCTGCAGCCAGGAGTCCCTGAGGCGTCTGGGAGGGCGTGGGGCCAGGACGGCCATGCAGACAAGGGCCTGGGTAAGCCGGGTCCTACGGAAGGGCTCGGGGGTTTCTCGTGCACGCACACGAATGCACACGCAGGGGCACATATGCACACGCAGCTCTCAAAGAGCCAAGCCCCTCCGTTCCCCTGTCTTGAGGAAACCAGGTGAGGACAAGATGTCAGAGGTCAGCTCAAGGAGCCTTGAAAACACTGAACTTCTGGGCGGTGGCATAGGCGTCCTGTAACCTTGTGCACACCGCGCGGGCGTCTCGGAGCGTCTGGAAACGGCTCCTACGTCAGGACGGTGTGTGGGGCTGTGCACCAGCTCACGTCCTCTGTGCTCCACCGAGGTGTGGCTGAATGCTGGTCTGGCCCATTTAGTGCCAGGCACTGGCAGAGCTGCCAGGAAGGTCCCAGTTCAGGAGACCTTCTGGAAATTTCCATGTCCTTGAAGCTCCTCAGACAGAGGCTCAGGAAGTCTCTCCTGGGTGTCGGGTCTGCTGTAGACTCGCAGTGTGGGCGCAGACTCTGCATGCATCCGGGGGGCCGAGGTGGTGGCCTGAGGGGCAGGTGGTGTGAGAAGGGCACAGGGGCAGTCCTCGAGGTGGCGGGGCTGCTGCCCTGGCTTCCAGGGATACCCTGTGGTCACGCAGCACTGCCCCTCTTCCTCAGCCCGCGCTGGTGCCTCCATCTGCTCCGGCTGCCACAGCAAAGTGCTGGGCTGTGGCCTCCCGGCAGACGCGCTGTCCCACGGTCCTGGAGGCTGAGGCCAGGGCCCAGGCGTGTTAGCTCCCAAAGCCTTTCTCCTGGGTGGTGTCTCCAGTGTCCTCACGGGGCGGGCGCTGGGCGGGCCTGTGTCCTTACCTCTCCTCAGGACCCCAGTCAGGATGGACTGGCCCCAACTACAACCCTGTTTGAGCTCAGCTACCTGTTTACGGCTCAACCCCAAACTAGGCCCCTGGCCGAGGAGCTGGGAGCTGGGGCTTTGGCCTGTGGACATGGGCCAGGTGGTGCCTGACTGCAAGCGGCCAAGGGCAGCCTGGCGGCGGGGGGTAGGCGGCAGGGGTGGGGTTGGTAGTGGGGGCCTATAGCCTGGGTCTGGCTGGGAGCTGGGGGCGTCAGCCTGGGGGTGTCCGGGGGCATCTGGGGGTAGTGGCGGGGGCGGCTTGCGCTGTTGCAGACGGTAGCAGAACAGCAGGGACCTGTGAGCCTGGAAGCGTGTTGGGGGGATGTGGCCACCTCGGGGCCCGTGAGACATGGTGGTGGGAGTGACGCGCTGATGGGCGGTGGCCCGGGATGAAACGGGTGGAGAAGCTGCGGTGGCACCAGAGCTGTGCGCTGGCCAGGCGAGCCGTGAGGGGCGGACCGCACATCTCCGGCTGAAACCCCCTGCCCTGAGCCGGCCCCGGGACCCCCGCGATGGCCCCACCAGGCTGTGTGAAGCCCCGTCTGACTGCACCAGCCTGCGGGTCACGGGGCCTCAGCGTGGCCTGGTTCTCACCTGCCTCCCCAGGAAGGCGTGTGCTGCCCGACGCCCTCCCCCTGGCCCCAGCTCAAACCGCAGTTCTGGCCTCGCCACCAGGCACAGCCCGAAGGCCCAGGTGGAGCGGGGCATGGGGCCCCACCCGGGGAGTGGTCCTCCCACCGCGCCCGGGCTGGCCCACCTCGCTCCTGCCTGTCCTTGGATTTAATCAAGTCTGTGGCTCTAGCACTTGGATGGGAGCCCCGGGCTTCTGGGCTGCAGCTGGTAGTTCTCGATCCTTCCCCACGCAACAAAGGGCTCTGCTCAGAAATCACTGCACTAAGGACCAGACTGGGAACCAAATCTTGAAGCCAACTTGTGACTTAAGAGCCTGTTTGTAGGTTCATGGAGAAGGATATTGTTAGCTTAAGAAAACTGGCCTGTCGGGCCTCCCCTGGTGGCTCAGGCAGTGAGCGTTGCGCTGTGGAGCTGCCCACAGCCTCTGCAGCGCCGGGTCCATCCCGGCTGGCCAGCGAGGGTCCCACAGGGCACGGCAGACCTCTCCTGTCGCGCCCGCTGCTCCCCTCAGCAGTGTATTTCAGTAGATCTGCCTGTTCTGCTCCCCGCTCTGTCTCTGGGGAATCCTCTCACCCTCCGGCACCTCTGGCCTGTGCCCTGGTTCTTGTATAAATAAATAAATGAATAAATCTTTAAAAAAACAAAACAAAACTGGCCTGTCTGTGGGAGTGGGAAGGGCAGCTAGCGGAAATAGTGGTGAGAGCCAGGACGCCTGAGCTGAGAGGGAAGAGACACCCCCAGTGGACAGACAGTCCAGCAGCGCCGCCCATGCGGGGTCAGCGGCTGCCGGGAGCCATCCCCCCTAAAGCTCTGAGCACAGGTTACATTCATGGTGAGGGATCGATGGTGCCACTTTACAGCTGTCTCCAACTGCTCTTCTCGGCTCTTAATGTTGCCCCGAGTGGGGCATTTTGGGGCTGGCAGGTAAAATTAGGCAAGATTCCACATGCTTATATGCATGTTTGGTACAGTGAGGCCGCGTGAACCTAACACAGAACATCTATTCTGAAGCAAAGGACTTTCTCCGCTTAATCTGGCCTAGTTGAGGCCTCAGAGGGCCAGGAACTGACCCACAGCCCGGCTTTGCGGACGCCAGCCCAGGGTGAGTGCCTGGTTC